TTTCTTTCCCTTGAGTAATATATATATTTTTTTTTTGTATTTTTCTAATTGAACTCTCAAATCTTAAAATCATTAAACGAAATTTCTAATGTATGTAGTATATTAATTTATTTTAACATATACTATATAAGTAGGTAGGTATTGTATATATTTATAGTGTATGTATTTATGTAATATTTTATTATATATTTTAATATTTTATTTAACTGTATATTTGTTTATGTATTAATAGTTGTAGCACTTCAGCTGTCCGCTAACGAAATGCTTTCTTACTGTACTGGGTTGACTGGAAGAGATCTCTGTCAGAGATAAGTCCACCCTTGCTCACAACATTTATAAATAGATTATTTTATATGTAACTTACAAGTGCAATAAAGAATATATATATAAAGAGAATATATTAATCGGTTACTACTTTTTACATTTTTCTGATTGACTTTTTTTATCTTCTATTATCTGTTTATTTGTAAGATATACGAGTACATATCATGTTTTGCTATCATTGTCTATATTGCCATCCATCCATTTTATACATATAATATACTAAAAACACGCTTAATATTAAAAACAAAGGCACCTAATTCTTAAATTTTATTTACTAAATATTTTTATTTACTTATTCTCCTAATATCCTTCCATCATTAACATCATATAAAGTATTATATATATTAAAAATATTATTCAGAATACGCTCACTATCTATTAATACCTACGTACTACATATTGTGAAATTGAGAACTTACTGATATAAAATACACATGGCCCTTCTATTGGCTAATGTAAATGTCAATATAAGTATTTTATCATAATCACCAATGCTAATGAGGGCTTTGTTTAATTTTCCTATCAATAATAAATAATTAATATTGCCATAAGCATTGCAAATGTGTCCATTATAATTGAAACCATTAATATCATATTCATAGTACGTAGATACCTACATTAGATGCGTGTGTAACATAACACATAAATATATGTCAGACTATTATAGTAACATAAAATAGAGCAAATAAATACTATAAAATCATCTATAGTGATAGATTAGTAGTAAAATATATATTTTATTGAGGTTTAGATCTCATATTATGGGACCAATATTTCATATAGATGCGAATACTGCATGAGTGTATTACGAATTAGAACGAAGTGTGTGTATAGTTTTAGAGAAATTCCTTTACAAAACATACCCACTTATAAAAATCATACTAAATTTTAAAATTTAAAAACGTAAACATAACATAACAATATATATACCCAGATGTCTTCTACTTAATCACATTTTAATGACTAAATAGATTTCTTTCTTGTAATAAGCATCATAGAATCACACCAACGCTTCATCTTCAAACTAGAGTATTCTATATAAACCAGGCAGAATAATAACACATACCACAACTTTTACACGACATGAGCACTATTAATGAAAAAGATAAATACAGAAAAGTTTGTTTCCCAAATTGACCCTACCGTTAATGGAACCCGAGATCTCATTTAACAAAGCAACGTGCCCACTACTGTACTACGAAGGTCGCCAAAATTTAATACAGTTATAAAATATATTCTTTGTCAATCTTTGCCTGATGAACACCGCTCCTTTTTGTTCTTAGAATATCGTAAGAGACAATTAAAACAAAGAGAATGAAAATCAGAAATAAAAGCATGTGGTATACGGTTTTTTTTCGGATTTGCATTTAGAATATATTACATCTATAATCTCGCAAGCAGAGTCACGAGCTGCGGCTATATTAAATTAAAAATAACGACAGCCACACATCAGCACATCTGACTTTTTATGATTTTATAATTGTGACTGACATAGGGACGAAAATATGATATTACCTCATTCAATAAAACACCAAAGCGTCGTGACTGATATTCTGCGTGAACAGCTTAACTAATCAAATTCTATTGAAATCTCGTTAAACCAAAAATGACGCGCGTTGTAACAACAAAACAAAAGGATGTACCATCGGCATGTAGGTAAGTACTTCATCGCAATTAGTCAGACGTGATTTTGAAATCCGCACAGTCTGAATTTCCTCGAGAAAAAATAAACATTATTTTAGTCGCGGAAGTGAGTTTTCGCAACGTTCAAATGACTAGAAACATTTGGACTTAGTTTTTTTATGTTCACTGTGTCTAATCTCACATGCGTGAGAATGTTTCCGCGTAGGTCCTTTGTGGTCTACCCACGTATGCTCCCGAGGTGACGGCAGTTTACTGTAGACCTTTTAATAATTATTATTCCATGAGTCTACCATGACTAAGGTTGAAGTAATAATAAATTATATTCTGTTTTTATTTACTTCCTATGCTATTCTATTAGCTGATGTCAATCATTCGCATTTAAAATCTGTAGAAATTTCGAGAAAATCATGCACTAAATTTCTACAAGTAGCGCACCCTTTTTTAGTTTCTTGTTCTATCTGCTAAGTATAGACTCAACAATCAGCAGCAGCTGCTTTTTGTCACCCCACTTGTAAAAGTCCTATGATAGCTTCATTCACTGCTTCCCCGCTATTCGCACTATGTCATTCGACCATTTTTATTCTAAGTGCACACTTTCCTCTTTGATACTTCAAGACTAAAAGCAAACTAAGATTTTTTCCTAATATTTTTTCCCAAATTAAAAATAAATATTTAATCCTAAATTAAAAAAAAAAGTTTGAAATGGTCGCATTTTTGCACCAAATTATAGACCATGAATACACATATTTTTCCTTGCAAAAATGCTTTATACTTAGTGATAACATTATACTTAGTGATTTACTTACATAACTAGTAACTATCTACTTATATATTGTGCCACATAAAAATAAATTTTCAATGTAAAAATATAATCAAATGATCAAAATATAATAAAAATTTAACTAAACAATGTCTGTACATGACAAATATTAAAAAAAATGGGAAGGTTTCTAAAGGTTTCAATGGATGCCAAAATAATATTGTTTAATAATTTTGTCTGTCTATCTGTACTGTCCGGTACCACACAAAAATTACTGCACCGAATTAAATGCGGTTTTCGTTGTTATGTTAGTGAAGGTCTAACTTAAAAATCTGGTATACGTTTTATGTTGATATGCCATACGTTATAAATACACTATCTAGCAGTGATCTAATTGATTTTCCCGTTTCTAAAATTCATGCGTATGAAATAGTGGGCAAAAATCTAGTAATGCATAAATAAATTTAGAGTAAACATATTGAAATACAAAAAACTACACGTCTTGTGGCACCTCTCCGTAAATAATAAATTACACCATTTAAAATTAGCGTAACAGAATGACTATTATTTAAACCCTGTGTCACATAGGTAGTTTTGTTGACTTTCCTTGTATTTCTTACATATTAACAGGCTTGTAAGTTTTTGTTGCTACATCCCGGCCTTCAGGGCTCGGTTGGCATCTATTGTTCAGCAAATTACTGAATCCGTCTCTAATTCGTGGCAAATCCATTGTTTCTCACAACCGACTGCCCGATTTTACGGATACTGCACATCGAGACACTGACATCTCAATAAAAACAATGTATGCCAGAATAATAACGATGTCTCAACCACGTAATTAATTAATAAGTTTTTATCGACATTATTAAATTCACTGTTAGGTACTTTAAAATTTGGTCAAAATTAAAAAAAAAATCATTGTCAATTTTTTTATTAATGATTATATTACGTATTGCTGTCAATTATGGACATTTTTTTTTAATTGATACCATTTTCTCCCGTAGTTGTCAACTATGAATGAAATAATTATTGCCAACACTGTATAACTGTGATGGCGACTTATATTTGAACCATATTAACTAACTCGATAAAGAAAACATTGTGATAATTAAAGCTACCGTTTTGTTGCGTAGTAAAATTTACCTATGAAGACGTCCTACATTTATACATTAATTTATTCTTATTCTATTCTATTTACAAAATATCTTGTAATCATCAGTGTATGTATTTATGATTGACGTTAGTGTTTTTTTTTCCATTTTGCAAAACAAATTTTAGGTACTTGTATTACATATGATTCTGCAGAAGATCAATTACGATTAATAGCTATGCAATCAGTGTAAGACCGAGTGCACATTAACAATAAGTCATTTAATTGAGGTAGTCCTTGACACTACTACTAATACATAGTTGTTATAAACAATCCTTACTCCCACACTCCTAGCAATTTATGATTCTAAAGAGTAGAGTGTACTAATCGACTACTTCAAACCTTGTCTAAATCTACTATTACACATACTCATAGTACTATTAGCTAGCTATTCTTTGCTATATTACTAAACTAAACAGGTACAAATTATCAGCAAACCTTTGATATAAGGTATATAGGTAATAGATTTTATTCGTATTGGAATATGATATTTGGTATTATAGAGATACATATTCTTTTCGGGTCGAAACGATATGTTACTTTTATTTTAGGATAAAATGTTTCTTTATTTATTATTTTACATATTACTTATATTTACAATGGCATAGTAGTACTTATCATTATTTTTCTGTTTGATTTATTATAATAATAAATATTAAAATACTTCTTTACCCCGGGAATATAATTTTTACTTATATTCATATATGTCGTCATAGATTGACAAATCTTTATATATACGCTGTTATCTAGGTGTAAAACCAGTTATTATAATTGAAATATGTTACCTACCAGAATAGAATATTAAAAGTAGCTTTACAATAGAAGAACAAAAACTGAATAATCTTACTAATATAACAAAATTGCAACTAGACCATATTTGTTCCGGTATCTCGCAAAAACTATTGCACTGAATTAGTTGCGATTTTCACGGTTGTATCTATAAAGGCCTAACTTGAAATTGTTTTATCTTGATGTGTCATCTAGAAGTGATCTATTTAATTGGTGTCTTTACTTCTGAAATCCACATCTACGAAGCGGGAAAAAGCTAATTAATATATCTAAAAAATATAAATTTCATTATGCTACTAATTTTAATACATTTTACTATTCTATCGCTTCCAGGTATGGGTATGCGGGGCCTTGGCTGCGTTAGATGGTTACAGCCCGCAACAAGATCCCGACCAATTCCACATACAAACAGACGAGGATGACGAACGCTACTTTCTCTACCAGACTCACAATGGACAGTATAGAAAAGAGAGAAGACTCAAGGATGGCTCTGTCGTTGGTACGTAATATTCATTATTCCTACCCGGCTTTTATTTTTGCTCTTTGTATTTAAATAGTAATTAAAATCTGGGCACATGTTTCATTCTTATTCATGCTGCCAAGCTGCTATGCCGGTATAGATATACTCGTATTTCGGTTTAAAGATTGGGATATGGCAGTGAAATAACTGTAGAAGATGGAACATAGAAGTTGGAATGCATAAGTGCTATGGCCTATAAATATTAACTTCTAAATGTTAATATTCATTTTACGAGTATCATCAGTCAAGAGAGACATCGGCTTATTTACAAAAGTACTTTTTTTTTTATTATTATAATTAGTAAACAAGTGTAGGGCCAACTGGATAGAAAATGGTAATCATCGCTTAAGTATGTATTTACACCAGATGTCCCTTTAAGTTTCGAAGTTTCTACCAATTTCTATGAAAATAGGTATAATAGTTTCATTATAAAAATACTTAGATACCTTTTCACTATTGAAACTACACATACAAAGGAACCAGTTATTGTTGCGTTTGTATTATTAAGGATAAATAATAGCAAGCAGCACCCACGTGCATAGAACTATGGAAAAGTTAGATAAACATATAATATCGTTAATTACTTCTTAATATCAATTTCTTTTAACTAACGAACTTAACAATAAATTATAATTTATATTCAATTAAGTCAGCGGATGTTTACCAAATTAATCAAAATTACGTAACTTTCTAGTTATTCGCTCTATTCACATTACAGGTACGACGGGTTGGGTGGGCGCAGATGGCTACCTACGCCTCCAGGACTATATAGCAGATCACGAAGGCTATCGGATTTATAAATCTAAAACAGTTTACGTTGGTCAAAATCGACCAATAGGAGTAAGTTATTTACTATTTTACCTTTTAGAATACACTTAAACTATACTCAACACGCAACCATGAATCATATGCGTACCTTATTGACGAAAAAAATATGAATAACACGCTTACCGCTCTGCCACAGAAATCGATTGGATTGTTTATAAGTTAATGTTCTGTTATTTAAAGTCAAAAAGTTTTATCTGCAAAGGAATAAAAAACATTTCCTTTTCTAAATATTTCAATAAAACAGTTAATAGTTAGGGCTTTTCTTCTACTAATAGAAGAAAACGCCCAAATTTTTTACAGCTAATATAAAACCAATTTAGTGCACATATTGAAAAGTACAACAGAGTGATGTGTTGATTGTGTTTTCTATTCGTACACAAACATAAAATCACTGCAACAACCAAACAGACGATTGGAGATCATAATATATTTTATCTTGATTAGCCTCTCTTTCATTTTAATATAAGAATATTTAGTCAATTGCAAACAGAAAATTATTAAATAATTTTCTAGTACTATAATATTTTTTTTCTTTTATTTTAAATAAAATTTATAAAAATTTAAACAATATTTCGAACAGTAACAAATGCAATTTAATTAATTGAAAATCAGTAATAATCGAATAAATATATATAATGAAATAACTAAACTTTACATTCCAGGAATCATTGAAAATCGCCAAGACAGCTCCTACAGATTCTGGTTATGGAGTAACACCAGCGTCTCCTTTGAATCGAGCACGTGGCTCGCCACGTGTCAGTTCTACTACACCAGTACCGTTACAACCTTCATCTACCTTAACACCACCCCACTCATTTCCCTCTGAAGTGGCAGTCACTCCTCCACCTCCGCTTTATCCAAGCTCCACACCAATACCCCACGTTGATGTATCTCCTAATTCAATTGATACATCTTCTACTCCATTCAACTTTAGACCTACAGTTCCACCAATTACAGCAGCAGATGCATCACCATCTTCGAATCCTTACGATTACGATTCATCGAATACCAACACAATTGATGATGGTTATTATGCAAGTGACAGCACACCATATAGACGATTCGATGTTTTTAATCCCAACTCATATAGACATGCTGATGACTGGCTAAGAAGACAACGACCCAAACTTAGACTTGGCGATGGATATACACCTCAATTCCCTCAATATGATGGAATCGCTTTCAGACAAAACGGCTTCAGATATTACTTGCCTAAACAGTATCACGAAGAAGAAACTGGAAGCTCCAATGATAGAACAGGAAGCTTCGGTTACATCGATCCGTTTGGTATTCGCCGAGTTATATATTACAATACTTCTCCCGGCGAAGGTTTTCAAATCCGCAAAAATAATAGATACGTCGGACACGACGCTACTCCTTACGATCCACGGCCAATAGATTGATACAAAATGTATGTAGAGTGATTAATTACAGCATGTTAAAATTGAAGTTACCTAATAATTTATTAATCAGTATTGCTAGTTCACGAGAACTGTTTTTATAGGAGACATAACGATCGATCCACTCGAACGATGCGAATTCTTAGCCATTTACTTTATTATAAGTCTATGTCATTTGTTTAGCGTATTCGCAAAGAAGAAAGATACTTTTAATACGTTACCTATTCATATCATTAACATTTAGGTACATTATTTATGTATATCGTTAAGTTTAAATATATTGAATGAATTAATTAATCTCAGTGCCATTGTACTGTATAGCTATCTAATTAACAGTGTAATTTTATTTCTATAAGTAAATTTTAAATACAATTCATAGCCAAAAATTTACAAAATCAGAATAGAACGTTTGCTCTTTCAAACTTTTAAAACGTATAAGTTATCATTGATGTTACATTTAAAATATAAGGTTAATGAACTTATTATGTATACTTTTACCTTTTTAGAAGAAGATCGTATTTTCGCCTACTTACATGCACCATATTTGTAAGTAAGTCGTTAGGAACATTTTTCGCGATGAGTCTTATACAAATAAAGTATTTTATGAAAGCCAGAACAAAGTTAAAAGTCTTGTGTGTTGTACGTGCTTCAATACCAAAAATAAATATATTTCGCAAGATATAATCTTGTATTGTGTATGGTTTTATGTTTTGCATATGGTAGTTTGCGGAGAAGGCCTGTATTTAGTAGTGGACAATGAATGACTGAAATCACGGATGATAATGTTCTTTGTTAATGCACTAATAAGCATAATAATTATGAGTTTAGTAAACTTTGGTCGCTTGATAAAACTTATCTATTATATTAATATTCTAAGTATTTTAAAAAAATCTCATTTAAATGTATAATATAGCTAAGTTTGTATTAAAAGGACATAAGTCATAAAATTCATAACAATTCAAAATATAAATATACTGCCAACTACTAATTTTACTCTTTATTTACAAATAACTTATGTGTAGTTTTACCGATCTATTTACCTAAAAAAATTTCAGAAAAGTTTATAGCCACTTCATAATGTTCATGTGCTAGGTGTGTGATATATGTCACTGCTAATAATTTGCTATTATTCGACATTGCAGTAACAATGTCTTAATGTCAGCTTGTTGCAGTGACTATCAATCAAATGGGTATTAATTTATGATTATAATAATATAGTTAACAATGTAATTGTCTTCACTATTTATGATTTAATGTATATTCGATGTATGTATTATGTTGACTAATATTGTTTAGATATATTGGTGAAAATAAAACTTGTTAACAAGACTTTTTTTGTATGTTTAACTATTCCTTTTTGTAGAATATGTTAATCTAATTATTATTACATTGTAATTATGATGATCATCATAATTAAGTTAATGATCTTACTTTACTTGTTTTAGGCAAATTTTGCTCTATTTATATAGCTTCACATTTTGTAAAATTACATTAGTTTACTTTAGCAGCTATAAGGTAAGCTATTAATTAATAGTTTTTTTTTTAATCTCCTGTTTTATTTACTATTATGACATTTGTTTATACGTTAATATTTTTCAGAGTCAGAAAAAATGGTAGCGCTTACAATTATTCTATTGTGTGTGTCATCAGCATTGGCTGACATTTCTGATAACTACTATCGACAAGGGGATAGCTATATCCCAGTAAATACTAACCAAGTAAACAATATAAATAGTAGTAGATACCTACACAGACCTTCGAATTCATACTACAACTTTGAACAACGTCGAGAAGATCAACCACCACAAGTAGAAATAAGAGATGAAGACATGGGAAAATATATGAACAAAAAATCTACAACAAACTTGGCTACACCCACAGTGCCTAGCTTCCACAATATTTCAGAACACTTATTTAAAAATCAATCAGAGCCAATGACAACTCCTAAAGCTCACGTCGTTCAAAACTGGAACCAAATCATAAACAAACATTTACCAGCAAATATGCCACCACCACCATCTACACCAAAGTGGATGGACCTATCTGAAAGCTACAACCAACCAAAGCCGTTGCTTTCTTCAAGAAACACGAACCCATCTCATAAACATGCTTTTAATCCCAGTCAGCCACACGCATTCCACAAAACAGAACATGTTATACCTCAAAATCAATATCATCATACTGTTTCACTTGATTGGCATCTGCCTTTACAACCAAAACCATTTAGAGGTAACCACAAATTTAACTGGCATGATATTGATGATCTTCAAGAACCAGTGACAACAAATTCTCCCATTAAAGTACCTACCCAGAACCACAACGCACCATTTTCTGTGCCTACTTTATCCCCATGGTCTGGTGACAATTTTGGAAAATAATATTAGATTTCAATATTTTATACAAGGGCTATAATAAACTAAAAATATAATAAACAAAAAATAATAATGTCTACTTTTTTAAGAACAACCTTTATTCTTCTGTACAAATTACATGATACTAAAGATCCACAAAATTTTTGTTTGATATTAATTTTTATAAAAGTTGAAAGAAAATTATACTTGTTTATACGTTGTTAAAATTATACGTTACCATATTATTTTAGCACTGAACAATTAAATAATAGATATACATTTAAACACGCTTTTTATTAATTAAGACGTGAAAAAAACTCGCCATGATAAATATAAAAATCCTAATTGTTCGCAGCTTTACATGACTAGAACTTTACATAAATTACTTAAAGGGAGTAGTAATTCATGTTACTTTATGAGTTAGATCCGAGGTTCCCAAAGCGTGCGCCGCGGCACCCTGGTGCGCCGTTGAAAGTAAAGAGGGTCGCCGTGAGTCGATCCTCTATCATTATCTGAAACCACAAATATTCGCAGGTACCTTTTTTAAGCGCTCGCATCGGTAAACATACGTAACTTACGTTGCACGCGTTGCGTCACTCACTCGCCGAAAGTATCTATGCGCTTGATAACCGTTGATATTTTGTTTTTCTCAAGTCTTTCTTGTTGTTTTCTGTTTCAATTTTTTATAATAATAAAACTCAATTTCATATTATAGATGTTTTAATTTTTGTTCCCAACTACCTAACCTAACTACTATTATTGTTGGTACCTATTTATTTCGACTATCTTTTTCAAATAGCTATCTAGGTTAGGACCCCATGACAAAATACTACATTTGTAACTGCGCCGCGGGCTGAAAAAGGTTGAGAACCCCAGACTTAAATTATATAATTACAAATTGATGAAAAAGAAATTTAATGATATTACAAAAAAAAATTAGTTACATATAACATTTCTTAAATAATAATGTAACTACAATAGCTGCTAAATGTTATTGGTTAATGTTTACAACAATACAGGAATATACACTTGACGATAGGTGGCAGCGCCAGTATTACCGCCGACTACAGGTTGGGAGAAAATTGATGGTAGGTATGGTAAGTGAATATTAGGGAAAGAGACAGGGAAGGAAATAGGTAAAGACGGAAAAGAGAAAGGCAAAGATGGTAGTGAAGACCAAATCTTAACTATAGGTTCCATAAAAACGTTCAGTTTAGAAGGAGCAGGCATTTTATCATTTTCGTTTTCAAGCTCCTCTTCACGATGTTCTTCCTCTTTTTTTTCTTCAAGCTCTTCTTCAGGTCCTTTATATTCCTCTTCATTATGTTCCGAATCGTCTTTGTGATCTTCTGATTCCTTAGATTTATCGGAATCCTCTATAGTATTTTCTAGCACCGGCAACGTAGGTGCTTCTGGAATATTAGGTGTTTCTGCTTTGTCTTCTTCCTCTTCATGATTCTTTGAGTCATCATTTTCTACTACGGGTACATTAGAATACAGACCAACGTCTGAATATCCTTCAGGAGCAACATAAATTACTTCAGGTAATTTTGGAACGAGTAGATCAGCAGGCAAAGCTAAAGCACTTCCAGCTAATAATAAAACTAAAAGTAACATCTGAAAAATAATAAATAAACCGTCGTTTTATTAAATTTATTTATATAAACTTTAATACACAGTTAAATTCTATGTACATTGACATATTTAACATCGGACCCTGTTCGCTGCCAATCAATGATTGGACAAACCGAAAAATAAGTAGATGGTGCATTACTAAATGGAAGAAATATAAGATAGTACTCAATATAAAATAAATACCTAAAATATTATTATAACAAACAATTAACTGCATTAGAAAATTAAATAAAACGATCTGTAAATCAAACATATTAACCAGTAAGGTTCAGTTTAAAGTAAAAGTGAGAAAAAAGGAAATAAAGTTTATAAATCAGTCTTTATTTTTAGAAATAGGAGCGCTATTTATTTTTTAAAGTGAGTTTATTTAGGGCAGATGTTATGTCAAACGAGGGTGCATTCCAGTATTAATTAGCTGGAACAATAAAAAAATAGAAATGAAGCTTGTACAATGAGCAGGTATGTAAAAAAGAAGATTCCTGCAAGGACGAAGATAATGATTGGCAATGTCCCCATGAAATTGAAATTTACACTTAAGATAGTCGGGATTGTTTAGATCGAATAAGATGAAATGCAAAGTACACAACATGCATGTAATTTTACACTATCGGATATAAAACCATTTAAGCTGAGCGCGATAAAGAGAGATATACTCATACTTTCCAAGAGTAAAAATAAAACGTATGCTATTATTGAAAAGATGATCCAATTTACTAAACCAAAACGTTCATGTTTGTGCAGTAGACATCACTGTAATCAAATATGGGAAGAATAAGAGACTGTACGAGCACGATTTTAGTGCTAATAGGAAGAAAATGTTTCAGTTGATAAAGATTGCTATCAATTGATAAGCCGAGATTTTGAGAGAACAGAAAGGAATCAGGCATTTGAAATGTCATTATAATCTTCAGTAGTATTAAAATTTATAAATGGTTTTTAAAATTTATAATTAATAATAAATATTAAGACAAAATTTTACACTATATTAATATTTATCTATCGTTTAACTATGGAATCTTATTTCCTTATGTAAGATGATTGTAAAATACTGTATCAATACATAAGTAATTACGTACTCCTTAACATATCATACAGTACCTTTGGGATATGGCAGTGAATTTACAGGGTACAGAGGAATAAGACCTGAGTCCTCAGGAATGGCAACGCATGGGGAAGGGGGGTATCATAGTTAAAACAGTATACTCTGTTATGTCCATAATATACTACACATGTTTATAGGCGACGGTTACCACTTTCCATCAGATGGTCCATTAGCTTGTTTGCCATTCTACGTTGTATAAAAAAAAAGTTCCATATTAAGCAGTACTTAATGCATACATAATTTAACAATATTAAATACATTTTAACTCTGCTGCAAATACATACGTATATATACAAAAAATACAAACAAACATACCTTTTCTATTTTTATATTACTAAAAGAGAATGTCAACAAATTATTGTTTGATTTTCACATAGCATTTATATAATTAAATTAAACTATAAAATAGTATTGTCTTAAATTACTACATTCAGTTTGATATATAGGCGATAGATTCCACTCTCCATGTTTGCAACTCTTAGTAGTATAAAATACCATTGAAAATTTTGTTCACTTACCTCAATAGTTTTGTTTATATCTTCAACTAAAATACTAAAGTTTAAAATATTTTCCTGTCCTTATATCCTAAAACCTCATGTACCTATCTTTAATTGTAAATATAATTCAAAACACATTAAAATATGATTATATGAGTACAATATCCTATTTGTGGTTAATAATATTTTAAGAAAACGTGACTATTAAAGAAGCTATTAAATATGATCTAGATTCTCTGTTTCTCGACTTAAAATTAAAATTAATGAAATATCACACAATAACTATTATACTAAATATTACGAATAAGATACTTTTCTGCTGTATAAGTACCTATCTATACAAGATGTTAGTTACAAGCTGAGTATAAAAGTAAATTATATAGGTGTTAGGTAGCGACAAAAAATATTACTCTGTAGTAATAATTTTTTCTTTTCTTTTTAAGAATTAAGAATAAACTATTTCATTTCAACAGAGACAAAATAAATAAAATAATTTGAAACAATTTTATATTAAATGCAATATTAATCTATATACATAGATTACAGATAATACCTATCTATGGGTGAGAAACAATGTTAGTATGACAACATTGGTAACCCATTATCAAACTGTGTTTTCATAAAAAAATCGTAATCAATACAAACCAGCTCAGCATGGGCGTATTTAACTCTATACCCAACCCAGAATCCCAAAGACATCTCTGAAAGTACATATACGCCTTTTTAAGGACCCCGGCCTCACCTAGAAAATAATCTTAAATACAACAATGCAGCCTAGACAGATCTCTGCTAATACAATAGTTGAAATAAAAACTTGATAGAAGAAGGTAAAAAATCATCTAATTCTCTTCCATTATATTGCTTGAAGTGACTTCAATAAACAATATTGATGGATCGGAAACAATTTTTTGAATGTTATAAATGTAAATGATGGCACAAAAGGAAAATACCTAGATAATTAATAAATAATCTCTCACTTGTAAAAAACAAAAGCGAACGATAAATCAGAAGATTAATTCTTTTTTACATTACATATTATTAAAGCACCTACAATGTAAATATTTGTAGAGAGTTTAGAAGTATTCTAATGATTTTATTGTGTACCTACTTGCATATTTTTCTTGGTACACTTAATTGTTTTAGTAAAATAATGTATTGTTTCATTAAAACAATTATTATTTTTTCATACAAAGGAATACTTCGTACACAAAGGAAATTTATTACTTTTCTCTACCTCTCTCTCTCTCTACTCTCTTAGAAAATTAATGTGTATGCAGGTCGATACAATGCATCATTATAATTAATAGTCATATAATATATACTGGAATTTTTGGTGACTGAATTTCCAACGTAATTGTAACCTACATTCGTAGCTATCGTGTGCTAGCATTTTGCCCGCAACTTTGTACGCGTGGATTTCAATAATAAGAAAAAATAACTAATGAAATAGACTCCTTTTGTATGGCGCATTCAATATAAATCAGATTTTAAGTTGGACCTTCAGGAATACAATTTGAAAACCGTATCTAATTTGGTCATCATCATCATATCAGGCCTTAACCGTCCACTGCTGAACATAAGCCTTGGAAGGTTTTGCCAATGGCAATAGTTGACACGCTTGCCAGGCTTATAGTTATGATATCTACCTATTATGACTAATCCTATAACCCTACATTTTGTATCTCTACTCTTATGGCATAAATATTCCACTCTATGCACGAAATGCAATGAGTCTCCTTTCGTTATGCATACAGCAAAGGAATCTGGAGTATGTTCTTGCGTCTATTTTTTCAGATATTGTCAGACTTTTGTAGGAACTGGAATGTAAAATCCAAGTTTAATCATATAATCACTTCCTTTAGGTGAAATAAGGTTCATCGTAGGACTTTTTAATAGTAAATATAATTATTCTAATAATATTATAAATGTAAAAGTTTGTAAAGATGTTTGGATATTTAATACTCAATTACGCTCAAACAATTGAATGGATTTTAATGCATTGTAATTTGATATATAGAGGAGTGACACAGAAAATAGCTAATATGAATATAATATGACACTTTCATTTTGCAACGACAGAAATAATATGTAGTAAATATTATAATAAAAGATTTTTTTTTTATACAATTTAGAATGGCAAACAAGCTGACGGCCCACCTGATGGAAAGTAGTAACCGTTGCCTATAGACATGAGCAGTACCATGGACATAATAGAGTATACTGTTTCGCCCATGATACCCCCATGCGTTGCCATTCCTGAGGACTCAGGTGTTATTCCTCTGTACCCAGTAAATTCACGCCATATCCCACCCTTCAAACCGAAACACAGTTATGCAAACACAACTGCTTCACGGTTGAAACACGAATGGGACAGAGGTACCCAAGCAATCGACTTTTGTACAAAGTCTCCCTCTGGTAAACGGATAACGGACGGTAAAGTACGGATATGAATTAATTATTTGTTATTACGTACCTGAGCCTGGTATTTTAATAAATGCAATGAAGATATAGGTAACCTATTTAATTACATGAACGTGTTTCAATTATTGTATGTTCATTATTGGTTACCATTCTAATGGATTTTACCAGATTAACTAGTTTTTTTTAAGTAGTAAATTGAACTATATATTGTTGTAAAAAATATAATCCGCAATCAATCACCTGTATACATCTTCGACAAGCAACATGGTAAGAGAATAATTTAATTTTTTTTTTCTTTAATAACACCTTTTTATCATTATTTACATTTTACGTATTGAAAATATTAAAAAAAATTCATAATATATGTATGCTATCGTTTGGAATTAGGTATAGTTCGTCAATATATCTACAATTATGTAAACAATTCCATTTATTATCGTTGAGTACTGAACGCGAAATTTCATATATTACTTATTTGATAAAGATCACAACGAATGTAGTCGAAAGTCCCGAATTCTTAAGTAAAATAGCAATAAATATTCCTAACAAATCATCTAGACATTACATTTCACATGCCTGTCGTTTCTACAAATTATCAACAAAAGGCGTTTCTGTGGTAAGCTTGTAATATTTACAATAAATTATTGGTGTTATCACATATAGATCATCCATTTAATGCTAATACGACTACGGCGACAAGAATTTTGAGTCGAGGATTTTTCATATAAAAATTGAATTAGCCTATTTTGCCTCTAAACATATATGTGATGACAAGCCTAATTTTGTTCTTGTATCCTTGTTATATATGTATTTTTAATGTTAGCTTTTAAGCATGATATAATTTTCTTTTTTTAATATTATTTTATAAACATATGTACATACAGTATCTTTTTGAAACTCACGAACATAACCTTCGTTCCAATAATACTCTCCAATTATCTTTCCCCTCTCACCGTACTGGTTACGCTTCAAACTCTTCTCCTACATTCTTCACGACTCTGGAACGCGCTTCCTGATGCCATTAAGAGACTACCGACTAAACCATCTTTCAAAAAAAGCGTTCACGCTCGCTTTTTATCTTTATCCGAGCAGTAAGTGCTTTATATTATTCCCAAATTCGTGTATAAAATAGTATATATCATATATGTGTAAGTATATTTGTTATTCGTATATATTTATTCGTTTATATATGTAATTTTAGTATGTATGTATGTCAATAATTAGTAGTACCGCATTCGAGTATTCTGATACTTCCCTATGGTTGACTGGGAGAGAATGCTTTTAGCATTAAGTCCGCCATGTACACATATTTGTACTAATGAATAAATAAATAAATAAAATATGTATATATACTTGCCTTTACTGTTGCCCATCTCATGCGTTTATTTATATTCCTTAACTATGCAGGAAGGCCTATTATTGGTTATCTGTTTCTTTTTATAATTTATATTTACTATTATTGTAGGAAAAATTGTTGGTCTTTCAAATACTTAAATAAATAATAAAATTAACATGCGTTGACACAGGAGTAAAATCCAACGTTTGCAGTAAGAATTATACAAATGTGTTTCAAAATTGGTAAAAGCATCACGCAACATATTCACAAAAAGAATAGGCGGATTTTTTTAAGTAACTAAAATTACACTTGCCCATGCCCTATTACATCCTGTGCTTGATTATGCTGACTATGCTGCTATCTAGATCTCATTAAAAATTAACTAAATAAACTTAAACGACTTCAAAATATCTATGTCAGGTTTATATTTGGATTACGTAATTATTACCATATTTCTCACTTCCGTTTACAACTCAAGTGGCTCCTAATTCACCTTCACCTTTGCTTGCATATTATTTTCTTTATTCTTTTTAATCCTGTTTCTTCTTACCATCTCTAAGAACGAATAGTATATCCCGGTGATGTCTAGAATCATGGATTACACAGTGCTGAAAACATCCGCCTTAAAACTCCTCTCATAGCTCTTCGTTTTACTCTAAACCCTTTTCTGTGTACGCCGTACGACTATGGAATATAACCATCCAAAAATAACCATCCTCATTACGTAGCGCCCAGTCATTAGCCACCTTCAAGAACTAGGTTTTATTTTGATTATTTGGTTAGGTAACATATTATAACCATTTTTATACATATGAACAAATATTTTAAATAATCTGATTTATCTTTATTTTCAGGCACAAATAGAGTCACTTCTTTTCCTTTTAGGATTAAGTATTGTGATATCATATGCAGAATCATTCGTACCAACAAAAACATCACCAGGATACGAGGTACCATCTGAAATAATCATCGCCAAGCGAAAACAAGATACTGATAAAATAATTGAATTTTCTGGCCCATCAGAACGTCTACCTTTTATCACTAACTTCATTCAGAAGGGAACTAATGTATTTTTTAAACCACAATTTCTACTCTCTCCAACAATCATCCCACCACCAACACTGATTAACTGTAACCAATCACAACTTGTGCCTGTTTTACCTGTACCTCATGTTCCGGAGCATATTGTAATTGAGGAACCTGTAAAAATAGTGGAGACAACGTTAAATGAAAATAAAAAGTTACATGAAAATAATGAATTATACGAAAATAATAAATTAGACACATATGTGAACGAAGTAATAGAGATTAGGCCCGTAGCAGTACCATCAAGTCCATTTTATAGTGCACCTCCTTCTGTCAAAATTGCTCAAGAACCCGTCATCAAAATAGAAGATAAACCAATACATATTCCGGAAGCCCCCATATTAACACCTTTACCTTTACCGGAAATGCCTATTGTTGTTCCAGAATATAATATACCTGTAGAAATTCCTACTGCACCGATATTGCCTGTTATTAAACCGGAAGTAAATTTTGTTGTGGAGCCCGACGTGCCTGAATACCCTTCAGTTCCTGAAATTGTTATACCTATCCCAGAAGCACCTGAATTACCTCCACTAACAGTTCCCAAACTTCCACTTCCAGTTATTGTGGAAAAACCTTTTCAAGTACCATGTGTACAACCTGTTAGTACAATTTCAGAAGAACAATCAGAAAAAAATCATGAACTAATTGAAATATTGAAGATTCCCGTTGCCTCCGTCACCAAAGTAGAAGATAAACCGATACACATTCCAGAAGCGCCTATATTAACACCACTACCATTACCTGAAGTTCCTATTGCTGTTCCCGAATTCAATGTTCCTGTAGCAATTCCTGCTGCTCCGATATTGCCTGTTATTAAACCGGAAGTAAATTTTGTTGTGGAACCCGTCGTACCTGAATACCCTTCAGTTCCCGAAATTGTTGTACCTATTCCAGAAGCACCTGAATTACCTGCACTAACAGTTCCTAAACTTCCACTTCCAATTATTGTGGAAAAACCATTTCAAGTACCATGTGTACAACCTGTTAGTGCAATTTCAGAAGAACAATCAGAAGAAAATCATGAACTAATTGAAATATCGAAGATTCCCGTTGGTTCCGTCACCAAAGTAGAAGATAAACCGGTACACATTCCAGAAGCGCCTATATTAACACCACTACCATTACCTGAAGTTCCTATTGCTGTTCCCGAATTCAATGTTCCTGTAGCAATTCCTGCTGCTCCGATATTGCCTGTTATTAAACCAGAAGTAAATTTTGTTGTGGAACCCGTTGTACCTGAATATTCTTCAGTTCCCGAAATTGTTGTACCTATTCCAGAAGCACCTGAATTACCTCCACTAACAGTTCCTAAACTTCCACTTCCAGTTATTGTGGAAAAACCTTTTCAAGTACCATGTGTACAACCTGTTAGTGCAATTTCAGAAGAACAATCAGAAGAAAATCATGAACTAATTGAAATATCGAAGATTCCCGTTGCCTCCGTCACCAAAGTAGAAGATAAACCGGTACACATTCCAGAAGCGCCTATATTAACACCACTACCTATACCGGAAGTTCCTATCGCTGTTCCCGAATTCAATGTTCCTGTAGAAATTCCTGCTGCTCCGATATTGCCTGTTATTAAACCGGAAGTAAATTTTGTTGTGGAAACCGTCGTACCTGAATATCCTTCAGTTCCCGAAATTGTTGTACCTATTCCAGAAGCACCTGAATTACCTCCACTAACAGTTCCTAAACTTCCACTTCCAGTTATTGTGGAAAAACCTTTTCAAGTACCATGTGTACAACCTGTTAGTGCAATTTCAGAAGAACAATCAGAAGAAAATCATGAACTAATTGAAATATCGAAGATTCCCGTTGGTTCCGTCACCAAAGTAGAAGATAAACCGGTACACATTCCAGAAGCGCCTATATTAACACCACTACCTTTACCGGGAGTTCCTATCGCTGTTCCCGAATTCAATGTTCCTGTAGAAATTCCTGCTGCTCCGATATTGCCTGTTATTAAACCGGAAGTAAATTTTGTTGTGGAAACCGTCGTACCTGAATATCCTTCAGTTCCCGAAATTGTTGTACCTATTCCAGAAGCACCTGAATTACCTCCAATAACAGTTCCTAAACTTCCACATCCTGTTATTGTGGAAAAACCATTTCAAGTACCATGTGTACAATCTGTTAGTGAAATTTCACAAGAACAATCAGAAGAGAACCATGAACTAATTGAAATATCGAAAATTCCCGTTGCTCCTAAATTACCACCTTTAACATTGCCTGAGCTTCCCATTCCTGTGACAATTCAAAATCCAACATTGCCTGAAACTGTGGTAGTGGAATCTGTTGAAACTAACGTATTGCCAAATGTTCACGAACATACCATAATTGAGAAAACGCCTATAATTCCAGCGGCCCCGGTAATACCACCTTATGTACCAATTCCCGTACCCGCATTCGTTGAGGAAACCCAACATATTTCACAAGGTTCAGAAATAACATCGCAGCCAGTTGTTGAAATTCACGAATATGTAAAGCCTTCAGTAATACCAGAAGCTCCTGTATTGCCAGTTAATCCTATACTCAAACCTCCTGCTCCAATCTTTATTGAAGAACTACCATCAATTATATCTCAAGAAAATATAGGAACTATTAAACCTGTAGACATTCCCACTGCTCCAATATTACCTCCTTCATCTGATTTTGTTAAAGAATCTGTAGAGGTACCACATGTTTCTAAGGCGTCAAAATTACTATTAGATTTATTATCTCTCAAAAAACAATTTTTATCTTCATTTTTATCAAAATTATTTGTCCATCATTCATCTTCGATTAATAATAAGGCTTTATCATTCCCAACAGAATGCGTTCAAAATATTGTTGCAGAAAGAGTCTTACCTAATATTTTAAACGAACACAATTTTAAAGTAATACAAAACGTACCCGCTATACCAGTTCCTTCTCCATATCTACAATCCTTACGGCACCCATTTTTCTAGGTAAACGATCTAAAGGCTTTAAAGGAAACATGTAAATATAAACTCTTATTAAAAAAAGTTGTTTTATTATTTTAATACTATAAGGATACCAAAATTGCTGTTTACATAGATCTTTTGATAAATGATAATGCTACAGGTTGATCGGGCTTATTAATTAAATAAGTTCGTACACCGAGCTCTCCTCCATTCCACTTTATTTCAAATTCACGTATTACCTGAAATAAAGTAATATAAATTCATGTTATATATGATTATAATAAAATATTACAAATAAATATTTTGCATAAAAAATAAACACATGATTACTTACCCTAATCAACGTGATGCATATGTTTTGTTCCGCTAGTCTTCTTGCAATACATGACCTGGGGCCAAACCCAAAAGGCAAGCTTAGAAAAGGATGTAAGTTTTCATAATTTGATGATGCCCGCAGCCATCGCTCTGGTTTAAAGGCCAGAGGATCTTTTACGAATAGAGGTAAACGAGACGCTAACATGTTCTGCGTTACAACGACTGTCTGCAAATTAAACAGATCGTATTTAATACCTATAGTCTCTGATATGCAATATTACAAATGAACAATTAATTTATTGAATTAAATTAATTATTACTTTAATTTAAAAACTGTATGTATCTATTATTTATTATTATTATCATGGTTATATTCTTTTTAAGTTATATTGAAATAGACTATATATATATATGTGTATATATATATATATATATATATATATATATATATATATATATATATATATATATATATATATATATATATATATATATATATAATTCGGATTTATGTATTTTTACCACAAGAAGAGCATCATAGTGTATTCTATGATATTTATTTACTATATTTCTATTAGTTTCGTCAAAAGAAGAAATATTAAATTAATAAGTGGAAAATAAAGTATTACACTCACTCCTTTTGGAATCAAATAATCTCTTATTATAATATCTTTTTGTAGTAAGCGACCTACACCTATAGCTACAGGATTTAGTCTCAGGCTCTCTTTTATAACACTCCGAACGTAATTCATTTTGGATAGTATTTCTGGAGTTATATCTGAATTTTTTTCCGGAAGAAACGATACAATTTCCTTATACATTTTTTCTTGACAATCCGGATTTAGTGATATGTGATATAAGGCAAAACTTGTCGTATATGCGGTCTAGAAAAAAAGAGTAAAGACTGTAAAAACACCAAAATTGAATGTATAAAAAAGCAGTATTCACAACGTAATCCATACTAATATTATAAATGTGATAATGAATTTGTTTGTTTGTTCCTTTATAACGCCTTAACCGATTGCGATAAAATTTGGTTTACACGTATTATATGAAATGGAAAAGGACACAGACTACCTTTATCCCAATCACTAAAAGTATCCTGGTCACAAGGACAAAGTCACGAGTAAATAGCTAGTATCAAATAAAATCTTACCGTATCTATAGCTGCCATTAAAATGTCAACCATCATACCAACTATGTCTTTTATATCCACATTTGGTTGCAGAAGAAAAGACGCTAAAAGCGATTGATCCGAATCGGTTTTGTTCTCTTCGAAAAATTTTATCCTTTTTAGTAATATTTCAATCGATATTCTGTGAAAATGAAATAATTTAACAATAGGTACGATTGCAGTTGTAGACAGCTACCTAATATTTATTTATTTATTCTTTATTGCACAATAAAACTTTGTACAAGTGGCGAGCTTAATGCATTCTCTACCAGCTAACCATTAAGTAAAAACAGAAAGCATATGAAGGGTAGATGTGGTGAAAAATATGTGACATAATTATAGCAACATACTGAAATAATTATACATAATAATACATAAGAAATACACATATAACACATGAATACATACACACATACATATACATATATACACACATACATATATATACATACATACACATATATATACACATACACATACATACATACATAAAAACTATGGTAAACATTATGAAATATAGTAACTATTGAGTAACCTGTAACTAGAGCTGGTTTTGTTGACTCAACAAGTAATTAAAAAGACTTCTTTTAAAAATATGCTTATTAGGTGCTCTGGTAAAATTTAATGGTATTTTAATACATACTTCCCTAAATAATCTTGGGATTCTACCAGTTTCTTATACAGTGGTGTCTTAAAAAATTTCCAAAGAAATCCTTTGTCGAGTTTCATAATACCACTATTCGATCCAAACGCAGCTGCTATAGTTTTGCTACTCCGAGAATTAGAATTTTGTTCGCTTTGTGAAAAGCTTTGAAATCGTTCATTGAAAGCTACCACTCCAATAACTGTAAATTATAATTAAATATCATTAATTATTTATTTATTATTAATCAGATTAGATTACTCAGGTATGGGTGAATATTTTAAATTTCGTAACTTGTACTGCGCGCATAGAATAGGTACATTAAATTTATAAAAAAAATATTTCATATTCGTCATTCTAATTCATTAATATCCTCGTTGCATGATGGAATTTATACCAGCGGGCCATTATTTTATTTATTTATGTGCAAATAGCACATTAAACAGATAACATTCATTATAAACACAATAATAAATATTTATAAAAATCATAATCCAAAAATATCGGGACATGTTACACAGCACCATCTAGTCCCAAATTAAGCAAAGCTTGCACTATAGGTATTAGAGAACAGACAGAAATACTTTTTTTTATAAATTGATACATATTATACCTACATAAAGGTCATCCAGACCAATACAAACAGATATTACGAATATATTAATTGCGTGGGGATCGAACCGTCAACCATCGGAAGGTGAGACACCAAAATCGTTGATATGCATATATTGCTCATCATATCAGCATTTTACTGTCCGCTACTGTTCATAAACCTTACCTTTGGAGGGTTTTGCCAGTAATTGTCATGCTTGGCAGGCGGATTGACAACCACAGATAGGCTTTGGAAATACTTAAGAGGCACGCTACTACACATCCCTCGCCCTACCTTAGTCGCCTTTTAAGACACCCACAGGAAAGGAAGAGGTGACCAAGACCACGCGGCAAACTCACCGTATTCCGTATCCGTATGGCGGGATTACCATTTCATTATCATCCATAAAAAAAACTCTTATTCATATAAACGTCAAGCGTCTCATAAACTTATTTTAGCTTTTGAAGTGTTTTATCTTATTCCACTGTTCTAAATTATCAATATGAAAGAAAGAAACAAAACACTGTAATAGCTAAAATAGGTTTATAGTAAGTTTACTTTTTATAAATAAGAGGGTAAGTGTTACCCACTTTCTAAGTTTAGTCTATTTAAATAGAACAAAAAATCTTCGTGCGCTGACAGTTTCTTTTCTTTTATCCAGTGTACAAATTCTTTAACAACACAGTCCGTAGTCTTCACATGACTTTTAACACTTTCTGGTCCAGTGAAATTTTTTTGAAACGTGCTTCTAAGACGCCACCAGTCTGGTCCATTTCTAAAAAAATAAAATATTGTAGATAATAATAAAATAACGATATATAAATTATAGGATAAAACGTTACGGTTTAATTTCAATAAGTATTGACAAATACTTATAGAAACAACACAATTATAAATATTTCTATTTTAAAAATAATCACTTCAAACATATTACCAAACTTTATAGATTCTTAATTTAATACTAATAAACCCAAGTTAAGAAATGAAATGACAATCAAATATAACTTGCACTAACTGTAGCAAGCTAATTTAGTTATCGAGTTACGTACAGTCACATGTATTTAACAATATATTAATTAAGTACGTACAGGATAGAAAAAAATATCACACTTCATTAATTATAAAAGCTATATACGAAAGTACAAAACTATTTGAGCATCTTTAAAAGTACATTACTATCTTAAATAATAGAAGATTGTGTTCCACAAAAAAGACTGATTTCAATTGGGTCAAAACCAATTATTTTGATTTAAAAACTAATAACTGAACATATTATGATAAAATTTCTATGGGACCAATCTGTAATTATTGCTATTTATCTCTGTCTGTATCTGTTTAGAACTAACAGATTTATAAGGTAACAAATATAAAAAAAAAACAATGGAATTGAGAACCTTCTTTTAGAAGTTGATTGAAAATAGATAAATCTGACTGAGGTCTTATAAGTAGGTATTTTTGGTAATCTATTATCTCTTAATTAAAAATCTTTACTGAAAATCGTCGTGAGGACTAACGAAAAGCATTTTGTACAGTTCATCAGCTTTAAATAACGTCATTATTGGGTATTTACAACTTACAAAAAGCAAAGAGTATGAAGATACGACTCGTATAAGTATTCTATTTAATTATTGGTCCCTGTTATTTAATCATTCATTTATTAATTAATTTTATCCGTGACTTCGTCCTCGTGACCGGGATATATTTACTGACTAGAACACAAAATTACCTGTGTCCTTTTCCATTCCATATAGTACATATATACCCAAATTTCATACTGATCGATTAAGCTGTTAAGGCTCTATGTTTTTTTTTTATAAAACTTAGAATGGCAAACAAGCTGATGGCCCACCTGATGGAAAGTGGTAACCGTCGCCTATAGACATGAGCAGTACCATGGACATAACAGAGTATACTTTTTCGCCCATGATACCCCCCATGCGTTGCCATTCCTGAGGACTCAGTTGTTATTCCTCTGTACCCTGTAAATTCACGCCATATCTCACTCTTCAAACCGAAACACAGCCATGCAAATGCAACTGCTTTACAGTTGAAACACGAAAGGGACAGAAGTATCCAAGCAAACGACTTTTGTACAGTCTCCCTCTGTAACAAACATACTCGCTTTCGTATTTATTAGTAATGATTTCGTTATTAATGCACACTTAAGGGAGAATTGAATATAAATAAACAGAATACCAATCATTTTCCTAGATAGTTACTAGATTCTATAAAAAATATTTTTTCTTTGCGATACAGAATCCGAAATAAATAATCGAGTGATGACCTCCTATGCATTGCAGGAAATCAGTGGATACAGCTAGCTCAGCACCATTCCTTACGGCAATCTATTGAGGAGGCCAATGTTCAGCAGTGGACAGATAATGGCTGAAATGATAATGATAAATGTGGCATACAGAAACTATTCTTATATAGTATTCTACCTATACTAGTTTTTATTTGTAAAATTAATTATCCTCGACAAAAGCTAAAATGTCCTGTACATTTCTCCATTCCAAAAGTCATAAAATTAATCAATAGTCATAAAATTTACTATACATTTACATGAATAGTAAATTTTATGACAATTGCTCGAGCCGTTAAGACGCTAAATGATATCAAACAAACTCACTTTCATATTTATATCATTCATTACAAATTTAAAAACTAAAGCTAATATTAAAATAATAACAATATTACGTGGAAAGCAGCCCGCCTGTATTGTAAAGGTGCGGTTTATTGACACGATAATGCTGCATTGCAACATGACTCCTCCTGGCGGGATAGCGGTGATCTTGTCGAAATACGGCTTCGATGTCATCTGGCTCAAACACGTGAAGCACATTTACACCTGGCTCTTCCCGCACTAACGTACCATACCGTTTCCAGTTCAGCCATGCATTCTTATCCAATGCTTCTGCATCATAATCGCCTGTAAACGGCACCCATGATTGTTAAAAATAGCACTTCTTTTGCTAGCAATATACCCGGCATCTAGTCGTCCCCCACATGATATCTACTGGAAAACAATATGATTATTCCATGGCGATTTGTTAATATGGACTAACCTACTTCATCATCTCCTATCATATACCCCACATACTGATGCACAAATGGAGTTACCAATAAATTATCATTAAAAAAACCTACTTACCGGCCTCAAAGGTCGTGAGTTTGAATATAGACGACAGCAAAAACTTTGTATAAAAAATTTTGTATGTCAATTTTAATTTCCGGCTAACTTTCCGGGAAAAGGAAACGCCGTTAACAAACTAAAACAATCTAGAGGTAATGGTATCCGCGCTACCCTCCATGTTGATTTTAAATATGCTTGGCAAAATATGTAGGTAGGTCGAATTTTACATTATCTATAATGACCTCTGATAGCCCCATCAAAAATTATAATTGTTATTCGCCAGACTTTTTGAGACTATTATGTGACACGTCGTCAAATCTAAACCGATTTTCACAATTCCTATATATCGTCAAGTCTTAAAGCTTAATAAAAAAAATATAAACTATAACAAAAAGCAATAAAATAATCAAGATTAAATAACTATTGTACTTACCTATAAAAGGTAGATATTTGTACAAAGTACCTATCAGCGGATAACTTTTAGGTCCTGGAATTTCATCGAATTTTTTAAGACCAGAATCCCCATTATTATCTTTAGATGGCTGATCACTTATTTTTTTTAATCTTAATTTAATATTAACACATTTTTTATTTAACAAGGCGTTATTTATTTTAGTTTGCACAAATTTAAACATGTTATAAAAGTTAAGCGTGAAATAAGTCAGCCACGTAGGAATCGTAACATAAAACTGAGGTTCGTATTACTTTTAAAACGTTGCTCTCTTTAAAATATTATGCACATAATAAGTTTAGCTAAAGCAAAAGGAATTGAAAAAATAACTCAGGTCAACCGTTGGCTTGACTTTCCTATTGCCAGTCTAAAGCGCATCATAAAAAATACCTGAATATATAATATGTAAAGTTATTAATAGCTATATTTTTTTAATAATATATAATATTTTGCTTACTTATTTCATTACCTTAAGTATGATTTTTCAAAAGTACCGAAAGACGTAGATATTTCTTAATTTCAAATTAAAAACCTAAATACAAAACTTCAAGCATATATAAATAGTAACTCTGTGGTTTGAACTCGATTTACATTCCCGTAGAAGCTCTAAATTAATTAAATTTAAATATAAGTGTAAAGCAAAATAATTTGTACCTCACATTTTCTATAAATAATATATCTCTCTACCTAACGTGTAACATTTTTTTAACAGTAAACCAGTGTAGTTTTCAATTATGGTCGAAAATGTGAGAAAATAAATTGTTGCCTTATCTTTGAAGTTTTTAATGCGAAAATTCTGAAATAATTATAGTTCATAAAGGTATAAGTGAATATTATAAGAATAAAGAAAAAACAAACTTAGTTATACGGTTCAATTTTTAACCACAATTATGACCCAAAAGCATAATAATCGATAATAATATCTACTAGGTATCTATTTAGTAAGAAAAATATAACAAAGGCAATTTTATCCCATAATTATATATTTATGTATACGATCGTAAAACAAAGCCAAATCTTTTTGTAATATAGATAAAAAACATATTACGCCTACTCCGTATAAATAATTGGAATAAGAGTAGGAAGAAGAATTATATATTGATGTACGGAACCCTCGGCGTGTGAAGTCACGTAACCAGTTTTTTTTTTAATTATTTCCGTTTGCTTACCGGTTAGTGAAGCAAATATTTATACTTACATTATGAGAAAATTGTAGAATGGGCTTTAGAAAAAATTTCGCAGTTGTCACATTATTTTTTATAATATTGATTAGCATATATACCTAAGACATAGAGTAAACATAGTTTCCAAAGACGATCGCATGGACTTCGACTTGAGAGTTCTCTCCTTTAGACACCATAGTGATTAATTCCTAACAAATTCGTCACGATGGATCTTATATAACTGACTTAATTTCGCCCTCACCGTTTCATCCACAAAGCAAGTAATCACATGATTTCAACCTCCACTGGTTTTTTTTTTCATTTGATAACATGGTAACCCTGCCTACGCGGGGGAAAGGGATTATTAGTAATGGAGACAGAATCCCATTGCTAGCAATATACCCAACCAGGTCGACCTCCTCGCGGTTCCCCCTGGGAACTATCATGGTTAATTCCTGATGAATTCATCATGATAGGCTAACTGGTCTGTTTTCATTCTTATCTATCACCCTTCACTGGTGCTCCGCCAGCGTATTACGTTAGCGCAAGCGGGGTTACCATTTCATTTTCACCCATCAAAAAAAATATAAAGTATATAGATTGGCAATGAAAGAGAAAATATAATAACCTGTACGTTAGAGCAAAAGAGACAATAGGATAATAATTAACATAACATAAGCTCGAAGCTGTTTCGGCGGGAGTATGAACAAAATAATTTCTAATTATTTTTACGTGTTGAAATTAAATTAGTTTTAAATGAATATAATTAATTGGAATTAAATGTGCTTTACCTGAATGTAATATAAATAACAGTGAAAACACAATTTCATATTTTACGTATTAATATGCTTGAAACATTTCACTTATTTAAATACAATATTTACAACCATAACAAATATTTTATATATGAATCGACAGAGAAAATTATCACAATTAAACCTATTAATATTTTCAAGGCTCAAATATGCAAATTAAAATAATAACAAATACGTGAATATGTACAAATTTTAACTTAAATTCCTTAGAAATTGTCAATAGGCGCCAAATTGCTCTAATCGATTATATCAATTGAGTTGACACAGGCAATAGGCTGTTACATGCAGTTATATGCAGCTATAATAATTCTATATAAATTTTAAAAAATAAAAATAATTTTTGAATGATGCTAAATTATACCATCGTTGATCAATTGTAATACAAGATTTTAATTTTATTCTTATTTCAACTTTCTACCAAATCTTCTTCTTCTATATTATGACATAAACATGGTTTTAAAAAAAATATATCGACAGAATTAGCTATTTATAACTTGACAAGGAATGTAATTGACAACATAGATAGTAAAAATAAAACTGTAGTACATTTCTTTGACATAAAAAAAGCATTTGACTATGTATATAAAGTACTTTTAAGCAAACTGTACTTCTATGGAATTCGAGGGCCAGCCTATAGTTGGTTAGAAAGTTATTTGGTGAATAGATATCAACATGTTGAAATTATTCATCTGGATGAAAAATCAGTGTTAACATTTTATAAATCAAATAGTAAGCACAATGGCTACGGTGTACCTCAGGGATGTATTTTGGGGCCTTTATTATTTTTTTCTTATATAAATGATTTACCTAAGGTTACAAAACATTAATGAGTATTATCGCAGATGACATTTCTGTTACTATTACATGTGACTCAGAGAACTTGGAAAGCTTTGAAGATGACATTAACCTAACAGTTAGTTCCATCACACAATGGCTTAAAGAAAAATATTTTACTTTGAATCTTGATAAAACCGGATATATTCAATTTAGAAAAAAAGGTGAAACAACTTGGACTAAATATAAAATATAACAGCGAAGCATTAAGCCATTTCATGAAATCTCATTTCTTGGAGCCAAAATGGATTATCATTGCAACTGGAAAGCCCAAATAGATAAGGTCTGAAATAAAATAAATAAATGTGTATACTTCCTTAAAAGATTAAGTAAAACTACTGATGAGAAAACAACTCTGATAGCATATCACGGATATGTAACCTCACCATTGCGATATGGCTTAATAGTATGGGGTAATTCCACTGACATTAATAAGGCTTTCTTGGTACAGAAGAAATGTCCTCGTGTTCTTTGCGAGCTTCCACCATGGAAGTCTTGCCGACCACTATTTAAAAAATATAAAATTATCTACTAACTGGCATGTATATTTATGAAGCAGCTGTATTTGTTAGAAAAAATTTAAACAGCTTTATTACTGCCAAAGAACGTTACCCGCGAAATAGAAGAAATCCAAATAGGGTAGTATTAAATAGAATTCCTAAGACTACGATTTATCAAAAAAAAAATTATATTAGGTCCTTACATATGAAATTAGCGTTTTGCCGTACTGACCATTTTGATCTGAAATATCTCCTCTTTGGTTAAGAACTCCAAATTCAAATGTATAATAAATTAGTAATTAATTCATTCATTCATTTAGCGGGTACATTTGAGTTTTGAAAACAGCTATTCATTTGTTTTTTCCTCATAATTTTTTTCATTGGCATCACTTATTACCGCACAATGGAAAATATGAAACATCGGTATATTTACGAGTACAAGTCTACCGTGGCACCAGTGCTACAGAAACAGCTTGAAGGATTAATGATGTATACGGCGATGGTGGTGCAAAAGAAAGCACGGTACGTTTTTGGTTTTAACGTTTTCGTTCTAGAAATTTCCACTTTCAGAACCAACCCCGTGGACGGCCGGAGACCAAATAGTAGGAAATGAAGAATTAAAGGCTATTGTGGAAGCGGATCTATCACAACACTTGAGGGATAGCTGCAGGCTTCGGGGTAAGTAATAAAACTGTATTAATCCACTTGAAGCAAATCGAGAAAGTAAAAAAACTTGAACGATGGGTATCTCATAAATTCAGTGAATCAAACTTGCAAACACGCGTTAACTGATGTGTGACCAATACAATAATGAAGGGATTTTAAATCTAATCTTTATTTGTGATGAAAAATGGATACTGTATGATAATCGGAAGCGCTTGTCGCAATGGCTGAACCCTGAAGACCCAGCCAAATCCTGCCCTAAACGAAAATTGACTTAGAAAAAGTTACTTGTGAGTATTTGATGGACTAGCGCCGGTGCCGTTCACTACAAATCTTTCTAAAATCTGAACAAACGATTACGGTAGATATCAATTGTCAGTAACTGCAAACTATGAGGGAAGAACTAGCTGCTAAACAACCGAGATTGGTCAATCACTCTAGGCCACTGCTGCTTCACGACAACGCAAGACCACACACTGCACAACAAACAACCACTAAGTTAGATGAGCTACAATTAGAATGTCTGCGACATCCGCCGTACTCTCCGGACCTTGCTCCAAAACATTACCATTTTTTCCGGAATTTGGACAACGTCTTACAAGGAACAAAATTCAACTCCGATGCGATTGTCCAAACCGCCTTCAAAGAGTTTATTGATTCTCAACCCCATGGTTTTTTTAATAAAGAGATCAATGAACTACCTATGAGATGGCGAAAGTGTAAAGATAACAACGGTGCATACTTTGATTAATTAAATATATTTTACAAAAAAAATCACTTTATATTCCTCCCGTACAAAACGCCAATTTCATATGTAAGAACCTAATATAAAGACACTGAGACAATTCAAGAGCACACTGTACAAATGGCTTTTAGACAAGTGTTATTACTCAATTAAGGACATAAAATAATTCCATTTTATAAGCACATACATAATGTTTTGTCATTAGTATTTAAAAAAAATTACCATAAATATTAAACTTTTGCATGCCATTGTTTTGGCAAAACACGCCTGTTCCTAAAATGTTATTACTACCAACTGTATACCGTGTTTTTCAGCAAAGAAATTACATTTTGAATCGCACCCAACAATATATTTTACATGTTACTCTATATTGTCAATTTAAAAATAAGTAAATTTTTGTCTTTCTCGATTTGGCGCATCATTTTCGATTAAATTAAAGATGTCAAGTTAGTATTTTAATTAATTAATTTTTGGATTTCGAAAGAATAAATATTTTTTTTTAATACGAATGGCACATAAGCAGACGAAAAAACATTCACCTATGGAAGTACAACACCTTACTCTTTGAGAATGGCAATCTATTCATACATTGATCGTGGCAAAACCAGTTATTTTGATTTAAAAACCAAATTACTGGAACGATTATTCTAAAATTTCTATGGGACTATATGAGTACATAAAAAAATGTATTTCTGAACTGATTTATAAATAATGACAAACGATAACAATGACAAACAAAACAAATAATAAGATATTGCTAGCAATATCTTAATCTGTCAAAACGACCTTCACGTGAAAACAATTGTAATTAGTTCTTGTTGAATTCATTACAATGGACCAACTAATCTACTTTCACAGTTATGCGGATGACAGCACTGGGGATGACCGTTATATGAGTCATACCAATGTTCCTCGTTCCATTGTGGAGGACAATCGTGAACAGCTTGTGTCTGAAATTGAGAAAACGTTAGATGGAGTCTCTGATTGAAGACGACAAAACTTAGTCTAGTCTAACCCAGTTAAAATACAAGCTTGCGCGTTCACCGCTAAAAAAAACATTTGTTGGGACTACACAATCTCAGGGTATGTCTCTTAACATTGGGATCCTTGGTGTCGACATCTCTAGTGATGTGTACAGTTCCGTGAATACCTCGAAGATAAGGTGAAGCTGGTATCCAAAAAACTCGATGTGCTTAATAGAGCGAAGCATTAGTTTACTACTAATGCTTCGCTCTATTGATTTGCTCTACAAATCGCAAATCTAGTTAGTGTGAAAACCTAAATACCATCCCGAACCCTTCGACTCAGTGCAATGACGAGCTGTGAGAATTGTGGACGATCCCAAGCTTACAAGCGGTATCAAACTCTTAAATCTTAGGAGAGATTTTGCCTCACTATGTATATTCTATCACTTGTACAACGGATTGTGCTCAGAGGAATTATTCAATATGATGCCCACAGTCACTTTCTACCATCGTACGGCTCGCCATCAACAGGGAGTTCATTCTCATGTTCTACAGCCTCAATGGTCGCATACTGCGCGGTTTCAGAGATGCTTCCTTCCACAAATACTCAGGTTATGGAATGAGCTCCCTGCCAAGGTTTTCCAAAGAGTCTATAGCATGGGGTTCTTCAAAAGGGGAGTAAAGAGGTTTCTTCAGGATCGGCAACGCACGCGTAATACCTCTGGTATTGCAGGTGTTCATAGGCGATGGTAACCACTTACCATCAGGTGGGCCGTATGCTTGTTTGCCACCTCAGTGGTATAAAAAAATCTATCATCACACACTTGTTCCACAACGATGTATATCGATAGCACAGGTAAAATTACCCTTAAAATATGATATATAGTGGTAGAGCACTGATAAGAGACAATGAAAAAACTCCACTCTGACCTGACTTCGTCCTCACCTATTATTCTTCGCTGGTATCCCAATTCCACGTTCTATTTACCTATTATTATACTTAAAAAATAATTCAACCCCACCAATACGATATTAATATAGGTTATATAATTTATCTAGTAGTATTTAAATGACAATTCAATTTTTGTTATTGGTACATATATTGATTATATTACTGATAAAATAAAATAAAAAATTGACTCAAATTTGTAAATACGTAAAAATGAACGAAAGCATATCAATTTGGGTAAAAAATAAAAAATCGAATCTGGCAACCCTATTTGTCAGTGTAATATTGTGCTGTTTCTGTTTTGTGGTTATGTCATGTTGCAGTGTCTTGTAATGTTTAAATTTATAAAATCTTTCTAGTCGTATTATTTATATTTATATTTTTTATAAATAATAAGTTATTTTTTTAAGTTCTAGAATTGGAATTCTTTATTAAAATACTTATGTGTATAATTATTTAATTTTTATGATTTTTGTTGAAATTTAAAGTCCTTAAAGTAGAAAAAGAAAATTGGAATAAGAAATGAATTTAATATCTAAAAAGTGTAATAATATTTATAAAAATACAGAAATATTTTTGAAAAGTATCTCCCGTTATAAAAAGTATTCAACACACAAAATTCTTGGTATAGAAACATCATGTGATGATACTGGTTGTGCAGTAATCAATGACAAATGTGAATTGTTATCAGAATCATTATATTCACAGCATCTAATACACTTACGACATGGTGGTATTATACCAGATGTAGCTCAAGATTTACACAGATATAACATTGAACCAATCGTTTCTGGTACTTTGCAAAAAGCAAAATTGACTATGTCAGATATATCAGCAATAGCAGTGACACTAAAACCTGGGTTGCCTCTAAGTCTTGCTATTGGAATGAAGTATGCTAAACATTTGGCTCGTCGACATAATAAACCAATAATACCTGTTCACCATATGGAAGCTCATGCATTGGTAGCTAGAATGCAATACAATATACGATTTCCCTTTTTAGTATTGTTAATTTCTGGGGGGCATTGTTTACTAGCAGTAGTACAAGATATTAATAAGTTTAAACTACTAGGAGAAAGTATTGACTGTGCTCCTGGGGAAATTTTTGATAAAGTTGCACGAAGAATGAAATTAAAAAATGTGCCTGAATATTCAAAGATCTCAGGAGGACAAGCGGTGGAATTAGCTGCAGCTAAAGCAACTAATCCAAATATGTTTAAACTTCCTTTACCATTAGCAGAATATAAGGATTGCAATTTCAGTTTTAATGGCTTAAAAACCTCTGTTTTACTTCATCACCATAGAAAAGAGGTTGAACATAAAATTGTAGCTGATGAATTGATACCAGAAGTAAATGATTTATGTGCGGCCATGTTGATGGCTACATCTAAACATTTGGTGCATAGAACACAAAGAGCTATGGAATTTTGTCACAAAAGAAATCTCATTAGTGAGGACAATAAACTACTGGTAGTGTCTGGTGGCGTAGCATGTAATGACTACATATTTAATGCTCTATCAATATTATGTAATGAAACAAATTATAAAATATTTAGGCCATCACATAAGTTATGTACAGATAATGGTGTAATGATAGCATGGAATGGTTTAGAAAAATGGAAACGAAACATAGACATAGTTACTAATCTTGATTCACTGGACATAGAAGCAGTTAGCCCGCTGGGTCAAAATCTTATTTCAAATGTTAAGGATGCAAGAATTGCAACAAAATTATTAAAAATTAAACTATGATCTTATTTTAATGAGTTTAAGTTAAATTACTGTACCCTCACCCACTACTCATGCCGACCATATGCATAGCACTGAAACACCCATTTGCATTACACAACAATTAAAAAAAAATTAATTACAGTAAAGACAACTGAGAATAAATTTTTGGATAGTAAATGCTTATCATATTCTATGAAGATTAGAAATACTAGGACAATTTTTTTTTAATGAATGATAATGGAATGGTAACCCCGCCTGCGCTAACGGTATACGCTGGCGGGGCACCAATGAGGGATGATAGATGAAAATGAAAAGGTAGGTCAGTTAGCACATCCTAATGAATACACATTGAATTTAGCACGATGCTTTCCAGAAGGGACCACAGGGAGGTCGACCTGTTAAGGAATATTGTTAGCAATGGGACTGATAATCCGCATTACTAACAGCCCTTCCCCGCCCCCACCCCCAAATATCAGGACAATTACATTTCCATTTTTAATACCGAAGTTTAAATTTCTAAGGAAAAGATAAAAAAAGCATTTGAGAAGACTGTTATGTCCATGGTACTGCTTATATCTATAGACGATGGTTACCACTTTCTATCAGGTGGGCCGTCAGCTTGTTTGACATTTTATGTTGTATAAAAAAAACTACAAATGTACATTAATAAACCCCTCATTACAGTTTCTGATTTATCGATTTAAACTTATTAACGAAGATAAATCATACATACATGTTTCGGTACTTGTACAGTTATATATTCTTTATTGCACTAAAACATACAGTAACAACAATAAGTTAATAACAATGTTAGTAAAGGCGAACTTCTCTCTAAAAAAGATTTCTTCCAGTCAACCTAATACAGTGGCATAGTAGTGAGTCGGCAGTAGTAGTGCAAAACAGAAAATAAATATTTACATAAATTACATATCATTATATGTGTGTGTGTATGTGCGTATGTGTGTTGCGTGTGCGTGTGTGTGTTTCTGTAGCCGTTCCAACTTATTTAATTGTTTCTCTGTGACATCCAGATAACATACGTCAGCATAATCCAGAAGAGGTAGTAATAAAGCTTGGGTGAGTGTGATTTTCATTTCAATGGGCAAAAATTTCTGAAAACGTTTGAGCGAGTGAAAAGAATAGTATAGTCTCCTACTTACTCCATTGATATGCTCACTCCAGGATAAGTTACTATCGAACATGATTCCAATTTTTTGGCACTTCTAGCATACGGAATCGGAGATTTCTCATGTGCACTATATCTCCAATGCCTTCCTATTATTACTGCCTGAGATTTACGGAGGTTGACTAGAAGTCCGTGGGATTTTGCCCAATTGGATATTTTATTTAAATCTTGGTTTATACGATCAATAGCCTCAGAGATGTCACAGAGTTCAAAGTGTTGGTATAGTTGCAAATCATCTGCATAGAGATGGTAGGGAGAAGAAATGTCTTGAGTAATAGCATTAATAAATACTGAGAAAAAAAGCGGGAAGAGAACGCCGCCTTGTGGGACCCCAGGTGCAACCTCACACCAATCTGAGTATACCTCATCATAGCGTACGCATTGCAATCGGCCCTGAAGATATGAATTTAACCAATTGATTACAGGTGAAAATATGTTAAGAGATGAAAGGATACTTAAAGGAATGTCATAGTCAACAGAATTAAAGGAACTGCTGAAGTTCAATAGAACAAGGAGTATGAGGGAGTGGTTGTCCATAGCCCAGCGTATATTATCTATTACTTTTACAAGTGCACTAACTGTGCTGTGACCAGGATGGAAACCAGATTGATAAGGATTCAGCAAATTATGGCCTGACAAATAAACGGATAGTTGCTTGCGCACAATATGCTCCAATACTTTAGATAAGGTGGGAAGTATTGAGATAGGTCTCAGGTCAAAAATACGTATACGTATGTTAATATCACAGATAAAAAAAAAATTAAACAATTTTTGTGAAAAAAATTGTTATTTTACAACGTTGCTGCGTCAGTTCTATTCTGTTGTGGATTTGGATTTATAAATCGATCAAAAAGTTTTAATTAATTTGAAACTAAATCTCCTGTAATTGAAAACAAATCAATGTTTTTGTTCAAAATTTGTAACTAACCTAGCAACACTAATTTGACAGCTCAGATAATTTTCTCTACAATAGAACGAAATCCGAGTCACTTTAAATAAAAAAAAAAACTTGTATAAAATCCATACACTATCAATAACATCATAATGAGTTTATCAATTCTAGGAATTTAAAGATTTACTTTAAAGTAGCTGAATCCTTTTATAGTATTTAGTTATTGATTTTGTGATATAAATATTTTGAATAAAGGGTAATTATAAATACTTGTATAAACTATGAAATTTGAATGTTCATTTTTATAACGTTGATACATCTAAGTGGTTACATAGATTTATTTTCTAGTTGTATCGATATGAAAGTAGTGCCGACTCTTAACTTATGTCTTGTTTGTGCTGATAGTCTATTCTATTGCATTGATAAAAAAATTGTAGGTTTATATACCTACTATAAATCGTAACACTTGCCAAATAATGTGTAACAAGGTAATTGGACGTAAATAAGCACTAAACCAGGGCACTGTAATTATTGATACAAGCCTATCTCAGGAATGAAACCATGGAGTACCTAGACAGGATTTATCGCAGTGTAAGAGGACAAATCTGCAACTTACCGGTTTCGCTACCAAAAACCATTGAATATGTTAATAAATCCGTGAACAAAGTTAGATTGCCTCCTTTCACAAAGGACAATGTCTTGTACTATTATTTACCTTTGCAAGGTCTAGTTAGTTACACAACTTTATCCATCAGTGTTATGAATCCTCATTTGATGGTCAGGTAAGGTTTAGGTTGATTGTGACATGAAATAAAACATTTTATTTAGCATTTTAAAGTTCTAAGTAAACTAATAACTATGTACAAAATTACAGGTTGTTCCCAAGGCGTGATATTACTGATGTATTATTTTTAACTGCTGGTGGAGGTGCCGGGCTTTGGTTATGGGCCAGACCACATATAGCAGCTGCTGCTCCAGCTCGAAGATTCTCTTGGGCATTCCTGGGAGGTTGCTTGTGGCCTCTAGGTTCCATTTTTTTGTGGGCCATTTTGAGAAGCTCTGTTGGTCAAAGACCTATTATTGGCACAATATTAGGAGTAACTACAGGTGCCATGCTTACAAATATTGCTTTAGATTATTTTCATTATGTAGAACTCATGTTTTGTGGAGAGGTCCACCTTCCAGAGGAAACATATACTCCTAATAGTGATGATGAAAAATATGACATTGATATTTAAATTTATATTTTATACACAGTATTTTTGTAAATTATAAAATTGCAAAACAATACAAATTTGTTTATGGACATAATTTGTAATCTGGTAGTCTAAGGAAACAGTATTTATATATGAATGTGGTGAAATCAAATTAATTTATTGCACTTAGTAACTTTGTTATGTTGTGACTTATCTAGTCTTTTCACTGACCGCTTCGAATAAATTATTAAAATAAAATTTGTTTCATTTTATTTAAATTTATGCCAGATTGTAATGCAGGTAGAGAAAACAAAAAGTAGGCCTCTTTGTTTTCTCTACCTGCAGGGGACAACACAAGTTTGTGCTCCTTATGTTTCTGTTATGACCCAGCATAGGTAGCGCAAGGGGGATTACCATTCCATTATCACCCATTAAAAAATAAAACCCAGCATAGGTATTTCAGATCAATGTAGCACAAAAATTACAAGGTACAGATGAATAGCACCATGTCAGGAATAGTGATGCATGAAGGATATTGTAAATCTCATAGTGTATTCTATAATGTCCATAGTTCTCTATAAGTCTCCATTTTTGATCCAGTGTGTTGTTAGTTTTTTAACATAAGTTGCATTAAAAAGATCTTGAGATTACATTCTAGCTATCTAAATATCTAAGCCAAACAAAATAATAGACATATTTGGCATAATTTTACATTACGCCAAATTTACCCATTATTTACTATTACTATGAGGTCACATGCTGTCTAATAAATCTTGTAAGATCTGTTTCAATTAGCTGTACCTGCAATTATTTCTGCATAGACAAGTGCAAAATTCTAAAATTGTGACCCATTTCTAAAGCAGCACACATAATTTCATTATTTCTGAACCAATTGGATTGAAACAAAGACTAAATGTTACAGAAACCTTGCTAATTGAAAATCACATTCAAATTGGTTCAGCAGTTTCAGAATAGTCAACTAACAAGCACAATTTTTAATAGACTAAAATCTTAAGAACTTTTTTTGCCTCGGTAACATGTGTTTCTGAAACATTTATTAGAAGAGTAAATAAAGGCACTGGCAATGCCAAACGCTTATATTTGTGGGTAAAGGTGTCCCTGACGAATTGACAAACCTAACTTTCAGACATTCTCATTGAGGCTGGCATAGTTACCCAGGCATACTGAAGTCTCAACAAAATTTAAAAAAAAATATAAAAAAAAGTCTGCCAGTACATCAACAACTATAAGTATGTACATGCATATTGTTTTTAAAAAATAATTATAGACATGACTTACCATTTTGTTATATGTACAGATGTAGATAGATCATACAGTAAAGCAAAAAGGACTTGCATTATATATGGGTATATAATATAATGCAAATGAAATAAAATACCTAAAGAAAATATTATTTATTTGCTTTCAAGGTTTCCATAGTGGTTCTATATAAAAACTTGATCTTCTAAGTGGAAATTATAGCACGGATATAATAGATGGTAAAAGTTTGTATTATATAAAAAGATAAAGAATTGTAGTTTAATTATTTTGAGGTGGTTTTGACCATTCCACATTCAAAATCAGATGATCATAGCCATAGCCGTTAAGAGTTTGAATAGCCTTTGCAGCGTCAGCACGAAATTTGAAGTGTACATAAGCAAAGCCTTTGCAACGACCAGTACTCTGAAAATAAAAATATAAAAATCAATCTCTATTAATATTCCTTAATTATTATTAATATGTCTACTATAGCTCTACCTAAATGTGGTGGCTCATTGATTATTATTTTTCAAATATCACATCTTCCTCTGAAGGAGGAGAGTAGGTCAATTAACCCCTTGCAAAAGTCTTTAGTTACGGTTCACAACCTCAACGAGAGATACCGATGCAATGTTAAAGCATCAAGGAACATAACTTGCTATATCTTTTCTAGATCTTTCTGAATCACGATTCCTGTATTTATTCTGACTGGTCAGGATAAGAGTGTTCACTGACAAAACAAAAAATATTTTGAAAGAAATATTGGCTGGTAGTAATTTGAATTATGCATTTTAAATGTTAATATTTGAGATTTCATTAATATTATTAGACTACTAGCTGTCCCGACAAATGTTGATTTGCTCCCTAACACCACCTACCAGTTTAATTTTTTTTCTTGATGGAATAAAAAGTATCCCATCTCTCATATTAGAATAAACAACCTAAATTTATAGAATTTTATTAAATTTCGTTGAGCAATTTCAGAAATTAGCACGACCAAACATTAACACAGTATCTATATATAGATTGATTTATACCTTTTCTTTGGCAAGATAGAGCTTTTGAACTGGACCAAAACCTTTGACAAGATCGTCAAGGTCAGCCTCCACCGCACAGTTACTAAGATTGGAGATACGAATCGCCGCCACATCATCACGGCGGGCGCCTGGCGGTTCACGCCCTGCACCACGCCCAGCGCCTCCCTCACGCATAAATGGCGTAACATACTTATTGGTAGCCGGTGCTTTGGCCTCTATAAAATAGAAAACATCTTAAGTTAATTATATGTACACATACAGTCCAACAACAAAATATTCATACATTTAAAAATAATCTGTAATCTTAATATATATAAGTTGTGTTCAGAATTGACTAAATAGTTTTGTTTGACTAAGAGCATACAAAAGTTTGGTTTCTCACCAAACTTGCTACTGTCCAAAACAAAAAGTATTTTACCTGCTGCTTTGGCAGCTTCACTAGCTTTAGCCTGAGCCAGTTGAGAGTGCATGAAAGGACAGCTTAAAGTCCAGTGATCTCCTTGGCATGTTCGACACTTGAAGATCACACTGCTTGTTTGAGGCTGCACACAAATAAACAAATTTTATTAATATATTGTACATGAAAACATACAATTACATTTATTAGATGTATTTATAACTCAACACACTCATATATTTGAAGCAAAAGCTTTTCAATTTATATACTGTACAGAAGTATATCGTATGTTTGTGTTAATAACTAAGATCCATAATTTGATATTGAAAGTTTGGTTATTTTTAATTTATTATAAATATAATTTTACAACTTTTTAAAGTGTGTTATGTTAGCTCATATATAATCAACCGACTTCAAAAGACAGAGGTTCTCAATTTGGTTGTATTTCTTTTATGTTTATTACCTCGGAATTCTGTCATGTCAGTTTACCAATTTGAAAAAATTTTTTTTTATACCACTGAGGTGGCAAATAAGCATACGGCCCACCTGATGGTAAGTGGTTACCATAGCCTATGAACACCTGCAATACCAGAGGTATTACGCGTGCGTTGCCGACCCTGAAGAAACCTTTTTACCCCCCTTTTGAAGAACCCCATGCTATAGACACTTGGGAAAACCTCGGCAGGGAGCTCATTCCATAACCTGAGTGTTCATGGAAGGAAGCATCTCTGAAACCGCGCTTTACGCGACCATTGAGTCTGTAGGACATGAGGATGATCTCCCTGTCGATGGCGAGCCGTACGATGGTAGAAAATGGCTATGGGCATCATATTGAACAATTCCTCTGAGCACAATCCGTTGTACAAGCGGTAGAACACGTAGAGTGAGGCAAAATCTCTCCTAAGACTTAAGGGTTAGATACCGCTTGTAAGCCTGAGATCATCGACAATTCTCATAGCTCGTCGTTGCAACGAGTAGAAGGGTTCAAGCTGGTATTTAGGCGCTCCCGCCCATAAGTGACAGCAATACTCCATGTGGAACTGGATTTGTGATTTGTAGAGCATTAATCGCTGATCCGGCGTGAAGTAATGCTTCGTTCTATTGAGCACATCGAGTTTTTTGGATGCTAGCTTCACCTTACCTTCAAGGTGGCCACGGAATTGTACATCACTAGAGATATCGACACCAAGGATCCCAATGCTTTTAGAGATGTTAAGAGACGTGCCTTGGTACTGTGGAGCTACAGCAAATGGGGTTTTTTAGCAGTAAATGCGCAAGCTTGTGTCTTTAAACCCGCTAGGTTTAAACTGAACTAACTAGTGAACGTGTTTTTTGGATGTGACTGAAGAGGTTTTAAACAAGCTGGAACGTTTACAAAATCTAGCTATTAGGTTCATCTTTGGTTTTCGTAAATACGATCACGTGTCTGCCTTTCGCAACCAGTTAAAGTGGCTCCCTATCCGACTTCGACGTGATATGCACATCCTTTCTTTCCTTTATAACACCCCAATTCTCCATCGTACCTCCACTCCCGGTTTAAATTATTACCACCACCAGTCCGTCCTAAACGCTTCTGTCAAGTTCAGTTCAGGATGCTCAAAACTTCCTGTGTATAGGACACATTTTATGGGCAACTCTTTCTCGTAACGAGCTGTCCTGTTATGGAACAAACTCCCTTCCCACATACAAGAGAGTCCCTCTATTACCTTTTTCAAGAAAAGGTTGAAATCACATTTTCTTTTGGGCAATTTCGATAGAAGACCCCGATGCCAGATCTGGTTACAAGTCTTTGCAATATCAAGACCGACAGCGAGCGCCTTACCCTGGCCCTCAATGGCTGACGCCCATCGGTGCGTAAGATATACCAAGCGGTCACCAGTTGAGCGACTATGGCGAAAGCCGTAGTGGCGGTCACTCAATAATTCTTTTTTTATTTGAAAGTATATACAGATTGGTCCCACAGGAATTTTGTCAAAATTGGATCAGTATTTTAGTTTTTAGATATTTATATAATATCTATATAATATAATATATATAATAAGTGATTTTGTCAAAATTTAAGTTGGCTCTTTTGTGGGGCACAATCATTAAATATTTTTATTTATTATATCAATATATTTATATATTAAATCCATCTACTTACTTTCAGACCATCCAGTTCACCATCATCGGGGCGTTGACTCTCCTCTTTGCTAGTAATAAATTGCATGTACACATCTTCAGAAACATTGGTGGTAGCAGGGTTGGGTCCTGGTTTATCATTAGCAGAATCTCCAAATTTACTCCAGGTTTTGCGTTTTGCAATACTCTGAAAATGCAGGTTATAAATTACGTATAACTATAAGTTAATGGCCTGGCTTAATCAAGCTATTAATATAGTACTAGCGGTCCGTCCCGGCTTTGCACGGGTGAACATTTTTACAACAATTTACACTTTCGAATGGAATATACCTTTGGAAAAATCAAAAATAAAAAATAAATAAAGGTAAAATAGAAGGAATGAGGGGAAGAGGGAGACCGAGACATAGTTACATCAGGCAGATCAAAGAAGGAGTTGGTGTTGTGTCGTATCAAGAGGTGAAGAGACTCACTGAAAATCATAGTGAGTGGCAAGAGCTTCACCGACAAGAGCGCAGCTCTTAAATAGGGTAGATAGATATGACTTATTAAATTCGTAAATTAAAAAAATAATCTATATAAATTGAAACAGTTTTGAAAACAATATGATTTATTTGGATAAGGATTTAAACAGAAGTATGAATAACATGGTGTAATCTTGGTTGGTATTTCTATCAACTTTAAAATGTAAAATGTGGTTATTGTGACATAACAATAATAGCTGGACATATAGTATCACAAAGTTTTTTGTAGTTATTGATATTTTCTTCAATATTGTAGAACATACTTTTGTTCTATCACCAATAGTTTCCGCAGCGCATGCAACGGAAACTATTGGTGATAGAACAAAATATATATATTTTATAGCATTTTTTACACCTTGAGTTACATTACTAGAGTTTTATTAAGGATCCCTTATCTTTTCTAGCAATAAATATAGCCTATGTAGTAACATAGGTTACCCTGAGTACAGGATGAATGTAGCTTTCTAATGGTGAAAGAATTTTTGAAATCAGCAAAGTAGTTTTTGAGTTTATTCATTACAAACATACATACACACAAAAATTCAAATCTTTCCTCTTTATAATATTAGTGTAGATAATACAGATAACTAAATTTCAAGCTATATGCTAACTAATATTAACTTTATTTTTTTTCAAACTTTTGGAATATATATAGTAGCAATAATTACCTTAGAAACAACTCGTTTTTCAATTTTATATGTCCGAACAATTTTCACCTTCTTGTTGTCATTATCATATTTATACTCTGTAACAATCTTCAGACCATTTTCTACTACCTCTGATGGTGGTGGAAGTGCTCCTTGATCTATCTCAACCTCATCAGCCCATGAGGACTGGATGTCATCTGCGACTGGCATCTGTCAATATTCATCAATTGAAACAAGATATTTTAACAGTAATATGTAATTATATACATATTATTGTAGTGGTTATCTTTATAGTCTTTGGTTCTTTATTGTAATTCCAAAGTCTATTAAAACTTATTTAAATGTAATAAATATATACATAAAGAATTTGACCTAATTTTAAAAATTGACAAAAGTTACTATTATTGATATTAAATAGAAGTAGATATATTCAATCATATTTTTGAGTAAAAAATGAATGAATATAATAATTTATGATTAGAATTGTATTTATTTCTGATTAATATAATTAAATTGTAATATGACAATGTTTGTAGATGAGATATATTTAAGAAAAATTTATATGTAAAAATATAAAAAGGTCACAATAAGAGCAAAAGAAGCCAAAATCTGTATGTTTGGTCTGGCATCATGCAAAAACTACTGTACCAAATTTAATGTGATTTTTAGAATTGTATTTCAAATCAAATCAAATCAAATCATATTTATTCGCTTGCTACATGGTACAATAAGACGTTACATACATATACAGGCACATAACATGCAGCACCCCGCAGAGGTATGCAAATGTTAAAATGGTTTTAAGTCTACATTATATTACAATTATAAGTCCAAACATTTTCCAAATTACATTATTCTCTATGTCAAATTATCATATAAACTTATGGTTTCTATTTTAAGTAATTTTTAATACATTGCATCTTTTATTACATTTTTTGTCATTTAAATATTCAATAACTGTATAATAGCACTTTTCCAAAAGAAAGTGAAATAAGTTTGATCTAAATCTCTCTATCGGAAGATCCTTTATTTTTTCTAAAAGTCTAACTTAAAAACTGTATTTTTTTATCTTGATATATTATCTAAAAGTGATCTAATTAATTGGTTTCTTGCTTCTTAAAACTATGCATATGAAGTAGAATATACATATATATATGTAATGATGTAATACTGCAAACAGTATTTTGTAGTAATTTATCATGTTTGACATATATATAACAAAGGGAAATACTTAAATAAAGTTGGTCTTAAATTTTTATAATACTACTAAAACACATACACACACACACACACACACACACACACACACACAAACACTATTTAAGATTGTATTGTACAATAAAGTACTACAAATAAATACTTTTCTAAGAATGTAAAATAAACAGAGGAACAACCTTATTGACTTTCCATCAAATCAATATGATATCAAATGATAACAATCACCTACAACCATACAACATAAGATTACTGTGCCTTTTACAGAGAATTAAAAGCAAAAATAATTAAAAATGTTTATGGTTTTAATTAATATATATACATAGATATAATTAACAGATATAAGATCAACCTTAGGATAACTTATAGAATTAAGATCTTATACTGAAGAGGATAGGGATAAAAAGCAAAAATAGCACAAGAAGACAAAAGTGCTCATTTTTTAGTTTTAAAACCCTATCTACTGACCAAAATCTCTTTTTTACAGTGGGTTGGTTAATTAAAAATTTTTTGGAAATTTTTAATTGTCTTCGTCTACTCAGTATAACACTAGGGGACTTTGTACATAAAAAACCTATTTCCTTCCATTCTTTGGATATTTACAAAGCCCTTCATGTATTTCAATATCACATGAAGAAAAATTGAGAACAATACTAATAAAAACTTTAAACTCATTAATATTTATATTTGACATTTTATTGTTATGTTGCTTCGTTTTTCTATCTTAAAATACCTATTTTAAAACATCAGAATATTCTGTGAAATTATCTACTTAATCATCTCGAAGCATTTAGCTGAAGTTGGGAGTCAGAGAAACATCACACATCATAACCTTCCAAGGTTAGGATAACAATGCAATATCCAAAAACCTTTAAGAGAGATCAATATTGTACAGTACTTACAGTTAAATTATGATATAGTATAATTTGGAATTCCTCAGTTATTTATAAAATCTTAATTATAAAAGTTCGACACCACGTAAAACCACGCAAGATATAATCCAGTCAAGTCAATAGAATGAGTAGAATCTAAGAACAAGTAATTACATAGAAGAAATAATAAAATAAAATTTGTAAATTATATAGTTGCCTCCTTTCTTCCTATGTAAATATAATTAGTAAAAAGAGGACGAAAGATACATCATCAGTTGCTATTTTTCTCAATTGAAAATATAAAATATATGAAAAACGTTTTGCATAAAGTGTGTCGAATATATAATCTATATAGTAATGTAAAATTTGTTATTGATAAATAATTGATATATCAAACATTTTCTAAAATTATAAAGTCATGGTAAAAAATTAATAAAGTATATTTAAAATTTTAGTGATTAGAAACCAATCATGTTTTTTAATATTCATGCACGTAGAAAGAGATTGCTAATATAGGTATTATTCTTAATCTTTGTTGGTAGATCAATGTGACTGAACTAATCATTTCAATCAATCAGTCAGTAATCGGTGATGTTGGATTTTCTTTAAATTTTTATTTTGTAATGTTATTTTTTATTTTATTCTTCAGTGCATAATTTAATAGACTTCAGTTTTTTATGTAAAATCACAAACTTTCGGATAATATCAGAGATTCTGGTGAGTATATTTAAGAAATAATTCGTTTGGTCCTTTTATTTTCGTCAACTAAATTTTGTCATTCCAAAGCTACTTTGCATTGCAAGTTGCAAGTTTGCACAATCAAGTTTTTGTGATGTATGGGCTTGACGAAAGATAGACTGTTAGTAGAGTTCATCTATCATAATGTATAGCACAAATGAATGTTATAATTGACTTAAAGGAACAAACAATTCAATTAAAAGAAATATTAAAGTTAGTTATACATAGCTCATAAATTATTTGTATTTCAGTTGTTTTATTAACTTTTGTTAATAAATATTATTGAAATCAAAATAAGTTTAATAGGTTTTTTTTTTTTTATTTTAATAGCATATTACTTGACTCAATGGTTTACTTTATTAACCCTAAAGTGGGCGCGGTATAAGCATTTTGCCGCCCGCGTTAAAAAAACGTTAATAATTTGTAAAACAATTAGCGATTAGTTTTGCGTTTTTTTGTAGCTGCCCCAAATTTCGTTTGCAACACGCGCTGAAAGGCTGCATGCCATCAGTGCGCGGGGAATCGCTTAAGGAGAAGGCGGTTACAATCAGGTATCGCCAGGAGGCAAATTGCTCACCACACGCCCACTAACGTATATAAAAATTGTATCATATATTTTTTGTCAAATTTTGCTATCAAAAAATTTTGCTATCTTATGTTCCAAACAAAAAGCAAAAAAAAGTAGTATTACTATTATCAACTTTGTATGAAATTTGTATAAAATTGATGAAATACCGGGCCTGCTACAAAACCTGCACTTATAACATTTTATAATGATACGAAAGGTGGTGTTGACGTCGTAGAAGTTCGTTCTGTTGGAAGAAAGACCAGCAGATGGCCAATGAGGTTGTTTTTTTTTGTTCTGGTTTATACCAGTAAACAGCCAAATTATTTACAAAGCTAATACTGGACACTTGATGCTACGCCGACAGTAGTTAAAAGAGATTGCCATGGTCCTAGCCAAGTAATATGTGACCACAAGGTCATCAATTGATACATTAAATATTCCTTAAGGTATCAAATTGCTCGCTTTGTATCTATAGAAAAAACATCATCTTCAAAAAAGGAGGGCAGATGCAGTATATATCCAGCAAAGAAAAATAGGCGCACCAAAAAAGGGTGCTGCAGATGCTCAAAGTTACTGTGCGTTGAATATTGCACATACCTATGTGAATGTGAATCTGAAAAAGACTCCATTTTCCGCACTTAGCCTCTCACTTGGGGCATTGTGCGTATGAGTCGTGGCTAGTGCAGGCAATCTAGCTCCGTCCAGAAGCGCAGAAGCTTCCTGGGTTCTTCACAGGCCTCACGGAGCGACCTCACCATTCCGAGGATTTCTAAACGTTAATGGGCCACAGCCTCTACTTGCACATACCTATGTGAAGACTGCTTCAATCAAGCATGTCCTGGCGATTTAGAAAACATATAATTTTGTTGTTTTTTTTTTCCATTTTTTTCAGTATTATAGAGTATTATATAGAATAAGCTAAAAAAGTCAATGAAAATATTAAATTTTCCTAAAAATTTTGTAAACCAAAGTTCTTCCCAACATAGATTAATAAATACGTTAATTTATCATTACTTATTTGTATATTAATTAAATCCTGAGAACAAAAACTAATTCAATAGCTTTATTTCTACTTAAAATGTTTATGAAAAGAGGCGGCAAAATGCTCCCCACGCGTCCACTGACGTTTCGTAAAAAGACGCGCCCACTCTAGGGTTAAACTAATATAATAAAGAGGAAAAATTTAGGTTTTTGTTTGTAATATATAAACTCAAAAATACTTAATGGATTTTAAAAATTCTTCCACCTATATAAAGCTACATTATCAGTGAATATTATTATATGATATTGAGGGTATCAGTGACAAGAGTATTACTAGTAATGGGTCAAACCCCATTACTTACAATCCCCTCCCCCCTCCACACTAAGGTATTATACCTCTGTACCCTGTAATTGCAATTAATCATTATGATTAACATTATAGCAACTCTCTTTAGCAAAGCATGTTTGTTAAAAATAAAAAAATAAGTATGTATATAGTTGAATAAATTCCATTCTATAAGACTATCTAAAGTTTAGATTTAAGTGTCCTGAACTGGGAAACATTGTTTCGCTCTACAAAATATATTGAGGATAAATTATCAGAATACCATACTATTTCCCAAATTAGAGCACTATTCACTAAATTTCTTTAAAATTGGTTAAGAAGTTTCAGAGCTAATCTGATTAATGAACTTTGTTACATTGGATTTATGTTAGTTTTTCAGTGTTAATTTTAAAGTGATTTTGAGTTAAAGTTTTTATTGTATTTGAAACACCTTGTGTCTTGTAATAACAAAATATCTATTTACTTTATTTATAATTTCGATATTTTTATAATTTTTTAAATTTTGCAGGTGATTCCATAGAACAAAGATGTTGCGGTTCCTGAGTAGAAGAGGGCGCTCTTCGAGCCAGAACCGTAACAAACAAGGTCAGAAAACATCTATAAATAAAAACCTTATTCAATGCAAGGTTATGTTGCTTGATGAAACTGATTTATCGATAAATTTATCAAAAAAGGCTAGTGCTGGCGATTTATATGAGCAAGTTTTTTACTCATTAGATTTGATAGAAAAAGATTACTTTGGCCTGCAGTTCACTGATACAAATAATGTCAAACATTGGCTTGATCCAACTAAAACTATTAAAAAGCAAGTTAAAATTGGACCACCATATACTTTAAGATTAAAAGTAAAATTTTATTCCTCTGAACCAAATAATTTAAGAGAAGAATTGACAAGATATCAGTTCTTTTTGCAGCTGAAGAAAGACATTTTAGAAAGTAAATTGGAATGTCCTCATTCAACTGCAGTTGAGTTGGCTGCTTTAGCTCTACAATCAGAGCTGGGTGATTTTGATGAAACTGTGCACACACCAGCAACAGTATCAGAGTTTAGATTTGTACCAAACCAAACAGAGGAAATGGAGATAGAAATTTTAGAGGAGTACAAGAAATGTAAGGGCCTTACCCCTGCACAAGCTGAAGTAAATTATCTTAATAAAGCTAAGTGGCTTGAAATGTATGGTGTTGACATGCACATTGTTTTAGGTAAAGATGGATGTGAGTATCATTTAGGATTGACACCAACTGGAATATTGGTTTTTGAAGGTCCCCAAAAAATCGGACTCTTTTTTTGGCCTAAAATAAGCAAATTAGATTTTAAAAAGAAGAAATTAACTCTAGTGGTTGTTGAAGATGACGATCAAGGCCGGGAACAAGAACATACATTTGTTTTTCGTCTACACAATGAAAAAGCCTGCAAACATTTATGGAAATGTGCTGTTGAACATCATACTTTCTTCCGTTTGCGAGCACCAGTGAAAGGACCATCGGCCAGACAAAACTTCTTTAGAATGGGATCGCGATTCCAATATTCAGGTAAAACTGAATACCAAACTACTCAACAAAATCGTGCCAGACGTACTGTACAATTTGAGAGACGGCCTAGTCAACGTTTTGCTCGACGGCAAAGTCATGTGTTGAGAGAAAGGGAGAAGCAAAATAATGCTTCAAAAACTGAGACAAATGCTCAACCTGAGGCAGCAAGTGAAGTACCCAGTACATCTGCTGATGCACCAGTATCTATGTCTGATACTAGTGCTGGCACTTTATCCAGGAAGAGTAGTGCAAAATCACAAAGATCATCTCTAGTAGAAAGCGATGTAAAAGTAACCGAGGTTGGTGAACTGTCAACAAAGAATGTTATAAATGATGAACCTTCTGAAGAAGTCGCGATATCTAAAGATGACGCTATAAGTAACAAAGTTCTGTTTAAAGTTGAAAAGGTGGAGGAGAAGAGAAATAATCTTACTCAGCTAGTTCTCAATAAAACACCATGCAATTGCTCACCTGTTACAGAATCTAATCCATTGAATGATCTTTTGATGAGTTTAGTCAAAGAGAAACTGAATAATGATGATTCTAAAAATGAAGTGAAACGAGACCAGTTGGATTCTATTAGCGACAAGGAAGTACCTAACAATCAAGCAAAATGTTACTTGTCGTCAACTAAAGCTCTTCCTCCTGGTCAATTAAAATGTAATAATATATTGAAAGCTCGAGAAAATGAAGTAAAGATAATCAATGAATCTACGAATATCAATGTTTCTATACCGTCTACGCCATCACCAAAAATTTTAAATGAATCATTACCTTCTAATCCAATAAATTCTCAATATGTATCGATTGTTGTGGTTGAACCACCTCTTACTCAACCGAAACTAGCATCTCCTAAACCCATGGAGAGGAAAGAGGATACAACACCGAAATCTCAACCTATATCATCTCTATCGCCGTGGCTTGTTACTTCCGAACCAAGTTCTCCATCTGGCATAGGAGAAAAGGAAATCACAATAATTCATCGTAAATCTGTAATTACAACACAACTGTAGCTTATGGTAAAATAATTGTATTTATTTGATTTTATAAATTATGAATATTCAAATAATGTTATTTCAAAAATATATACACTCAAATATATTTACCCAATGTAGTTTTTAGATATGATACTTAATACGTACTTTGGATAGAATTTGCTTTAATTGCAAATTTATTTATCATAAATTTTGCTTATTTAAAAAAAAAATACATATTAACATAAACTCGCTTAGTCAACCTTTCTATATTACAACAGTTATAATATATTGCCGTCTTATCGAATTGAAGCGGCCAATTCTACAAACATGAACGCTGTATTTGTTTTTTCAACTGTTTTTATTGAAAAAATCTTAACGTATGCCTAGGCGCTAGTAGGTATTATAATATCTTGTCTCATATTGATCCTAACATGCAAAAATCAAGTTTTTAGACCATCTAGTGTATGTTATACGGATCAGTTGAGCGAGCGAGATATGTATCATTATTATTATGTATGTATGTACATAAAGGATAAAGTATTCTTCAACATATTTTGAATATTTTTTAATATGCTACTTACTATACTTATTATTCTTACTCTGGTTTATTTGATAAAGGATTCATTAATTAAAAGTAGGTAAATCAGTTATAATGTAGAATTAAATAAAAATAGTGATATATTTCGTGCCTGAAAATACTTTGAATTTACTATGAAACTTAATTACTTCAAGGCTAATGAAACGAACAACAGTTTGATGATGATGACATTAGCTCCTAGTACTCATCCATCTTCATTCCAAAACCCTGTTTGGGTTAGGCAGAGAGATCGAATATTTAAGAAGTTTTAATTTCTCTTTAAAGTTTCGACAGAAACCCTAAAGTGAGAAAACTTATAAAACTGGGATCTTTATTTATTAAATTAAGGTACTCTCTGAGAACAGTCAGTAATTTACCTATTTAATTTCTATCGATTGAATTGTTTGAAAACAATCAATTCCTAATTTGTTTTACTATTGGGTATCAGCAAACTGTTTTGTTGCCAAGTCAATTATTTATTTGATTACATTTTCATAAAGCTCTATTTAAACAGGTTATAGTTTAATTTTTATGTACTTATAAGTATGTAAGTTAATTTTAAACTTTCGCGTTGTTTACACATAATTTTAAATATACAATCGGGACTTACCGCGAGGAAAAGGTTTTACAGTTAAATAGTACCTACATACCATCTTCTTTATTGCCGACGTTTCGACGTGGATTGTACTACGTCATGGTCACGACAGAACTGAAGTGAGTGAAGTGATATAGGCTTTCATCAGTATGGAATTAGTATACTAAAAATATGCGATAATTTGTTTAAACGTAGTGTAGAGACCATGAGAGGGGTGTGTAGGGTGGCTCTAGATAATAATGGTAACAATGTGAGCGTAACCGAAGAGACTGCGCGAGCTGCCAGACGAAACCGCCGCTCACTTCAGTCACGAGATGGTACAATCCACATCGAAACGTTGGCAATAAAGAAGCAGGTATGTAGGTACTATTTACCCGTAAAAGCGTTAAATCTCGATTGTGTATTTAAAAATAGGATGTAAGTTAATACAAGTATCAAGCATTCCCTTATAGTTAATATTTTGCCAAGTTGATACCTGGCTAATTATTATAAATATACATGTGATAAATGTTTATAATGCCGTCCATTTTCTGGCTTAGATACTTAAATACATATATAGTAACATTCCTAATAAATATATATATATATATATATATATATATATATATATATATATATATATATATATATATATATATATATACATTTCATTTGATATTTTTAGTACAATGAAATTGTCAGTATTATGAACTCAATTATACATTTGTGCCATAGTTGTAGAGATTACTATCCAACTCATTTTATAAAATCACAGTAGGTTTCCACTAAATCCCGTTTTCATACATTATTTAATTATTAAGTTATAGGCATTATGCATACAAACATATCAAGTAATATATTAATTGTGCCAATTTTTTGGTCTTAATCCATTATAATAATAAGAGTACAATGTTGATTTTTGGGAACAATTTTATTTAAATAAATAACAATAACCTTTGGATAACGGTTTCTATCATTTAAAGTTAAAGAGTTTCCATTACGTAAGTGCCTACGTATTAATGATTTAGACAGCAACAGTCGTCTATTATTGCGATTTTTTGTGCACTTACTGTAAACTCAGAAATCTTATTCTCAATTTGAAATCTGTCGCACTCGCAAATATAATCGACCAGGCCTCTGCAGGATATGATACACCTGTTGTTGAATAATTAATGCTCTTTCAGTAGGTATATTTGGGAATCTTTATCTATTATTTCTTTACTTTTATTCTATTTCCTAAATTTTTAATGATGATTTCTGAGAAACTTTAGGACGTGCAATGGTGCTGGGAAAATATTTGTATTGAGTTTATGAAAATTTTTAAAAATGAGTATATTATTTTTCTTATACGACTAGTAATATGACAATATGTGTGATTGACATGATCATTAAAAATACATTTATAATAATAATGACTGATATGACTTAAAATTTATAATTTACGAATAACAATATTTGTGGTAATGCACTTAATTACTTAACTAGTAAAGCATGGATTTAACAAAAGTACCTTTTATGATGTATGTGTCTGTCTTACATATTATTATGGATGAAACAGATTATAAATTACTGTGTATTTTTAAACATTTTTGAGATAGTATATGTCACATTATTAGCATTTTTAAGTAATAAAAATGTATGAACTTGATTTAAGTAACTACGATTTTGTATTTGTAAAATATAATATATTCAAGCTTATTTAAATTATATTGGTATTATATGTTACTGTAAACTTTTTATAATCAGTATATAATAAAATACCAATGCTATTGAGTTGGTATAACACTAAATTGATACTACTTATTTTAATACCACGTATGCGCATTATTTATATATGTTTGCCGTAATTTGGCTAATACATTTATAAATTTTTATGCAATGATCAATTGAATAATAGGTATTATTCCTACTTGAGGTGCTAGTTATGAAATAAAAGTTTAGTTATAGCTAATATACATAATATAAATAATGCGTGAATGTAATGAACAATTGTACTTAAATGTCTTTATATTTTACTTAGGTCCTTTTATTTTATGATGGACAATAAAATATTTTATCGAGAAAAATGTATTTTATTCATTATAAATGTAAACTTAATGAATTACACGAACTTAAACCGTGGTTTATGAAGAAAACAGAGTATTAGGTTAAATAACAACTTAACTAATTTTCATATATTTTTTTTATGTGATATTAAGATAATCATTTAGTTCTGATATCTGTATTATGTACCCCTACACGGTCCGATATCTTCACGATGTAAGAAAGCAAAATATAACTAGCGTTTACCCGCGAATTCGTCATGCCAATCAAACATTATGAAATTTTGTATAGGTTAAAGTACATACATGTTTTATTTGAGATGGAGAAGTGACGTGACATCTATCATGTGAACGTTTTACTAGTAAAATAGAGTAATAAAATTTGTATCGATTAAAGTAAAAAATAATAATATATGCTACATAATCACACCAATCGCCAGGTCCTGAAGCTAGGACAGTCTTTGTTAAGTTGTAGATATAATTTTAATTATTTACTTATTTACTTTACCTCTTTTTAATGCAACATAAACGTCAACTGATTTTATGGTTATTCATTTGTTCTTGTCAAATAATTTATAATATCTATATTAGAAAGTTTTAGAATAGAAATTTTTCAAAAAATATGAAGAAATCACTGGAAAAAATTTCCTTAGAGAAATCCTCATCTAAATCGGGAAACTTATTTTCTGTCAAACGTTATTTTGTTAACAACTTGGACTCGTATCATAGCCAATACGTGTTAAAGGAACTTTTTAAAATATTAGACAAATATGCCACTCCAAATTCTAGGGAGACATCTCAAACTGTTATTGGAGAGGACGCCGAACCTCTGTTGCGGCTGCCACCTGAACAACCGTACGAAATTATAGGTAAATAGGTAAAATATTGGTCGATAGCTTACCTACAATAATTATTATTCCCAATAAAAATTATCGATCCCAGGTACTGTTAGTGATGTAAAAGTCAAAAGTCTGGACAATGTTGCCCGTATAATTCCAAAAGCCAAATGTCTACCCGAAATGCTTACATGTGGAACTGTAATTTTGGATATAAGCAGCGATAGAGATGAGTTGAATATGGTTTTAGATTACGTGAAAAGTAAGTTAAAAATTGACATTTTTATAATAGCTATTGCAATTATCATATATACACTCGTACCAAATAATAATGGCATTGTACACTGATTACTATTTCAATAAAATCATTGAATCAAATCGATATTTATATTTACCATTTAATTATGTATTAATTTTGATAGTACTGAAGGATTTATTTGAAAAACAAACGCTGGCAAATCGAACATCCTCGGATGTGGGGGACGGGGGAGGACAATCGAAAAGGCGATATTTAATATTAATTTCTTCAGTTATGACATGGGCTGCTACGAAACCATTGGATCCGGTAATTTGTTTTTCATTACTTGGGCGTTTATTATTTTATATATTGTGTTTAGATAGTCCTTGTTACGATCCATTGCATATAATATATTGCGAATATGCGGGCGATTAGATATTGCCCCTATTCTATTATATTAGTAGAAGCCATTAAAATTCTCTATAATTCTTCCTTACCGAGTAACCTGGAAAATAACACTATCATCTGAAATCAACATGAAACTAAATATATGTACACAAATAAAAATAAAACATTTGATAAATGGCAGTACCGTGATTGGATTTTTATCTCTGCTAGACTACTTCTTTAATATAATCAGGGGAATAAAGTACTCGTATAATGCGTCTATCTTGAATCTTATAAGCATGTTGAACCCAGAACTTAGTAAGCGTGATCGTAATCACGGAATATTTGCCCTACTACGCAATAGGACATTCCATACTAATCAGGCGCCTCTCACGAGGACGCTACGCCTGTTCAACGATACCTCGTTGAGTTGCAAGTTCATAGCTGAATTTATTTCATTGTACTGCAACAGAGTTTTGCAGGGCAGTAATAAATTACGCAGAATTGAATTTTAATTCTTTTTTTTTTTTGTATATATTACAATTATATATTTTTTCTATTAATGTATTATAATTTTCTATGATTATTGGCGAGGAGATTGGTAAATCTGTAAATCTCACCAAATATATATATATATATATATATATATATATATATATATATATATATATATATATATATATATATATATATATATATATATATATATATATATATAGATAAATATCAGTACAAATTCTGGACACTAAATTTGCAATTAAATTTGTCCTAATATTATGTGATGTGTATTGAGTCCGTAATTAATAGTTTCTTCGATTACCTTCGGACTTAGAATCCCTAGGAAAATTTGCGACAGAAAAATGTATCATTTGCGGTCCATGGTGTGTGTTTTGAGACTTTTTTCTGTCATATATTTCTCTACCCCATTTTAACCACTTATTAAAATGCAAAATAAACTTCTTAATGAATTAAAAATATAATGCCTGATTTACATATAAATGAAATTCTAACTGTTGTTTCCATATCTTGTATTTAAAAAAAATCTTCAGCTTTCAAATACTTAATATACGTATAATTTGAAAAGTAGATAATATTTTATTATGATTACGATGTACCGAGTACTGCAATACAGAACACTTAAAAATTTTCTCGCATGAATCTTATTTATGACTAGCGGCCCATCCCGGCTTCGCACGGGTGGACATTTTTACAATATTTTAAAAAGTGGTTATTGTAACATAACTATAATAGTTGGACATATAGTATCGCGAAGTTTTTTTGTAGTTACTGATATCTTCTTCTATATTGTACAACATACTTTTGTTATATCACCAATAGTTTCCGAAGCGCACGCGACGAAAGATATTTTATAGCATTTTTTACACCTTGAGTTACGTTACTAAACTTTTAGTAAGGACCCCTAATCTTTTCTAGCAATAAATATAGCCTATGTTACTCAGGGTGAATGTAGCTTTCGAATGGTGAAAGAATTTTTTAAATCGGCAAAGTAGTTTTTGAATTTATTCATTACAAACATACACACAAAAATACAAATCTTTCCTTTTTATAATATTAGTGTAGATGATGCGTGATATATTTATTAGCGTGGTAAATTAAATAAACTGTAAATTTGAAATTTATGTTTTAAATTTTAAATTTATTTATTATGGACATTAAGAGAATAGTTTCAGTTCATTTTGTTGTTATTATTAGGATACTCCAGACATGCCATTTATAGAAACTGATTTCCGTAAAAGGAAGCCTCATCCTAATTATAAAATGCATTATGATATTGAAAATGAAATAGTTGCGATTGCCAGAAAATACAAGTCACAAATTGGGTAAGTAAAGGTACAAGTAGTTATGTAAAATAAATATACGTCTTGTAAGCGATGTATCTATCTGTTTTATAATAGGTACATCATCATAAGAATCATGTATTAAAATACGGAATATTCATAATATTCGATTGTAGATACATATCTAACATAACGTCCAAAGTATAATTAAAAGCAACTTTTTTATTAATTAATATTTTACACCATTTAGGTATTTCTACGTAGTTACATCTCTTATTAATATTGGTTAACAGAATAACGTGTGTTTACATACGTGATTATTGACTAACCATTAACTAAGCTATCTGTAAATTTTTAGTTTACTCAAATTATCTTAAATTTTCATATCTGCCATTTATATTCGGGTTTTTCAAAATGGGCGTATTAACATTTCTTAAGGGTCGACACCGTACGTGTGATGTCCTTGGTTTTACAGGCGTCCATAGGCTACGGTAAACCCATTTACCATCGGACGAGCCGTATGCTTGTTTGCCATCATAGTAATATAAAAAAAGCTGATCTCAGTTGTTTTGTGTCAAGCTTTAAACTACGTCAAGCTTCAAAATTCGACTAATACTCAGGAAGCTCAGAATTCTGTGATTTGGACATAATAGACGTATGCACAATCAATGTAATGATATTTGTTTGTCGAAGTCTTACTCATTTAATTAAAAAGCGATACACCATGTTTTGTCCCTGGTCTATCGCGTCAATTTTTTCTTTTCATGTTAAAAACTATCTTATTTTTCTATTCGGAGCAAACGAGTGACACGGTTTATTTATATATGTTATTACTAGCGAGATTTTTTTTAAGTAATCAATCGGAAACATAAAAAAATCTTCAAATGTTTTTGAAAATTGTCAGATAATTGGGATGTTAAGATTAATTATTCATATACTATAGTAGTAATATTAATTTTAACTATATTTAACAATTTTAATTTTGAATAGCGCGGTGGTGGTCAACGCTGGTGTAACTTACGGTGGCCGTGAGGATGTCCTCTTCTACTGGTTTCAGAAGGCCTGGGAGTGTGAAAGAATTTTACCAATACTTGGTCGTGGTGGAAATGCAATACCACTCATTAATGTACTCGATTTAGCGCAGTCAGTATTATTGTTCTTTCTGTTTTATGGAATATCTACAGACAAGTATATTATTGAAGTTTATTTTACTGATGTAAAGATTTTATTTACAGAATAATATACAACTTGGTTATAGACTTTCCGAAAAAGCTTTACATTTTAGCGGTTGAACAAAATGTTACGAAGCAAAGAGAGGTGATGTAATATTTCTTATTTGAAGAATAATGTGCATTTTTTATTTATCTTCATTTTATAAATAATAAGTAAAATACATAAGAACATTTTTTGTTTATTGTAGATAGTGAAACCACTTGGTCGAATTGTGGGATCAGGAATGTTTAAATGTATACCACCGGAAGACGCTTTTTTGATTCCAGAAATTAACGTAAGATAATAGATTTATTACAAACAAACGACGTGATCTTGCTTGTGTAGTGTCCGCTTTATCCATTAAAGAAAAGTTATTTAGTTACATACTACTATTAGCGACATTTCAGATTTATTAATGATTAGTATTTTACTCAGAAATAGCAAAAACTAATGAAATAGACTACTTCTAGATAATGTATTAAAATGGAATATACACCAGATTTTAGTTTTTGATTGAAATTAATCTCATAAACTCAGGTCTGCAATCTCTTAATTAATTTCAGTGCAGTAAAAAAATCAAGCTTCTAAATCGACGCAAAAGATTCGGCCATTTATGTTCCATTTATATTGCATATTTCGACATTCGCAGGAGGGGTAGACCTATAGGGTACTTCCCATTGACCTAAAATCGTGAAATTTGGCAAGAAGCAATGTCATGTAGCATAAGTAAAGGAAAAAATCCGAACACCGTAAATTTGTAGTTATTTAACAATTTTTTTTTTATTTGAATATTTTGTACGGGTCCCTCGTTGCGCGAGTCCGACTCGCAAAATTGACCGACTTTTTTAAGTGTCTCCCATATACAGACATCGTCTAGTTAATTTTATTATATTTTAATAATATTATATTTACAGCAAAGAATTTACGATCTGATGACTCTTAATTTAAATATGGAGCCAACGTTCATTGTGGAGACAATGGGTCTGCAGTGGACTTCGGAGTTATCCTTCGCTGAGAATATACCTGCGCTTATAAAACAATTTAAAAAAGAGAGAGGACTGAAACCTTTTAAAGTATAATACAACAATAGATCTTTGTTTATTTTGTTAAAATATGTGACATCATATAGCAATTATCTTTTATATTTTTTCGCAGGTTATAATTTATGGTCCACCAATCGTGGGAAAGACAACATTGTCCAAGCTGATATGTAAGGCCTATGGATTAATATATATATCGCCAGAGACAGTAGCACAGGATATTTTAGAAGACCTTGTGAGTTTTTTTTTGTAATTAAATTGATAATTGTAATTATAGTGTCTGCAGTTGTTTTAACTCTAAATCGTTATATGTATAATACATACACATACCTTAAGTGTTAACTATTCTGAAGGCTTGGCGAGTAAGACACTGGGAGGTTGAGGAGACAGCCGCACTTGGAATGTCCGTTGGAAATGATGAGGATCCTGCTTTGGCAGACGATGATGATACTGGCGAAGAAGAAGGCGTACAAGAGGCAACCAAGCAGACATTAGCCATACTGCAATCTGGCCGATTACTAACGGATAATGAAGTCATGGGGTAATAGTAATAAAAATTAAATAGGTACCTCTTAAAATAAATTGTAATAAATATTAACATCATTGGATTATATGAGATTGAATCTAACAATATATATGATTTATTCACAATTAAAATATGATAACTATATTTTAAAATAATTGAACAGGTATTTACGTCAAAGACTTCTTAGTCGGGAAGCTCTTAATCGAGGATGGGTTCTTGATGGATTTCCTACCTCTATGACTCAATGTGTAGCACGTAAGACCATTTATTAAATAATTTGGAATAAATAATTGTTAAAAACGGAGAAAATTTATAAAATGATTTAAAAATTATAGTTTTCGATAAAGGCGAAGAACAAGACTCCGATGCAGAAGAAGAAAACGAAGAACAAGAATTCGACGAAGATGTAAATTTATTCAATAACCTTTTGAAAAAGCTACTTCCTGGTTTGTAGTTTGTATACAAACAGTATTTATTTTTCTAAATTTATTTGAAAATTCTTACTGAAGTAACGTCATATTTGTAGATATTGTAGTCTCGTTAGAAGCAACAGACGATTTTATATGTGAAAAAGTAATGCGTCAGCCAGAAGGTGATTCACGCTTGAACGAAGAAGCCGTACTAAAACGGCTAAGCGAGTTCAGGGCTGGAGACGCCAGAGACATAACACCTCTGAATTTTTTTGATGAACTAGACATACATCCGCTTGTCGTAACTGTAAAAGATCATTTAGACTATGCTATGCAGGGATCTTATGCTGCTGTTGCTCTGCGAATGGGAAGACCATGCCGCTATGGTAAACTTATCGGTGAGTTAGTCTTATAAAACACAGTCTCTACTTTACATTAATTATGATTACTTGTATTAGGTACTTACTGTTTGTATTTTATGAAATGTATTTTAAAACGCTAAACGAAGAAAATGCATTGACCTAAATAATAAAAAAAAATGTTATTTTTTAAAGCGCTTATTGAAGCCGCAGAAAAGAAAGAAAGAGAGGAATTGGAAACATTGCGTGCTAAAGAAGCTAAAGCATTAAAAGAGTTGGAGAAAAAACTGAAAGAAGAACGCGAAGAAAAAATGGAATATTGGGCATGTATATATTTTATTATGTGTATATTTATAATTCCTGCTTTACCTGGAATTAAAAACATTGGTGTTAATTTAATAAAAAAAAGGAGAGATTATTTGATTACAAAATGTAAATAGGAGTAGGTCGTGTAAAAATAGTTTAATATGGGTTGGGTAGGTACGTAATATATAATTATAAGTAAATTTTATTAAGTGCCAAATTAAAGCTCTTAATAATTGTCTACATCTTTGTATACTTATTTATCTCGTTTCTACAGTCTGAGTTATACGCTTTAATGCGCGAAGAAGAAGAAGCAGCTCTAGCTGCGGCAGGAGAGCTAATGCGTAATTATTTAGTACGTTATATATTTCCGACATTAACACCAGCTCTCCTTGAAGTGGCTAAACTGAGGCCTGAGGATCCCATTGATTTCCTTGTATGTATATCTAAAATTGCCATTAGTAATTTATATAGTCTGTTTCAATAGAACCTAATGGAAATGTAGACAAAATAATAATGGTTCCGGTCATAAGACAGTTTGTTAATGTCCAATAGTAGTCCAAATTAAAAATCAATTAATGATTGTACGATTTGATTTGTTTCAAACAAAATTTAGTTACTTTTTCATTGAGTTCTATAAGATCATTATAGTAGGAATGTCACAAGAACATAAATTGTATAATAGTGTTTAATTTCTTCTAAATCTGTATCATATTTTGTTACTAGCTTTCCCGCGGCGCTATTATATGAGTTAAAATATGATATATATCTTCATAAAGTTATTTCATAGCTTTTGATATGTGACTTTTTTAAATTGATATAACTTTTTTATTTATGAACTGAATAAAACACACTAAATATTAAGTGGAGCAAACGGAAACGCATTAGTGAATACCGAATTCAAATCAGTTAAGCCGTTTTTGAGACTAGCGCGCACAAACGTACAGACAAACAGACAAAAATTCTTAAAATAATTGTTTTGGGATCTATTGCGTTTATAAAGCTCCCCTATAACGGTTTTTCTTAAATATCTTTCATGTACAGACAGCGACCAGTTACGATTTTATTAAATGTATTAATATTGATTGATTATAATATTAAATAAAGAGTGAATATCATGATCAGAGGCGCCGACTCCGTGGATGCCAGCACCCACGAGATGTAGAAGTTAGACATTATAGTGAAACTAAAATAATCTTCATCTTATTGTCTGTTGCTTAAACACGCTTGCTTGTCCAACAAGTATTGTCATCTTTTAGCTGAAATGGAGATAATGTGCCAAAAGAACATGAGCACCCAGGAGGTTTTTTTAGAAACCAGCGCCCCTTTTTTAAAAGATTAAACTATTTATTGAAAATACTTGTATGAGGACTATATAGATAATTTTTGTTACGCAGGCTGAATACTTATTCAAGTTGAATCCAAGTGGAAAAATGCTTGAACCAGGTTACAATCTACAAGCTGAGAGACTGTTAGGAAAGATTAAAATAGTTGATGATGCACTTAAAGAGTTAGACATTAAAATAGACCCACTTCTGCCACCAGAAGCGGGTGTTGATGAAGTTTATAATTCAAAGAAAAATATTAACAGAATGAGTGCCCTTTAATTGAAAAAAAAAAAAAACACAAGTAATCTGCTAACTACCTGTAGTAATTATGTCACGCTTTTAATACTCGTATAATGTATGGAGTGTTTTGTTTAGTATTTCAATGTTTATTTATTTATAAATCTTTAATACACTTAAAAAGTGTAAATGGCGGACTTAATATCATACGGCGATGTTATAGGTAGTTATTTTATTAAAGGTATGTTAGGTATCTGTTTACTTATTTATGAAATGGGCTGTATGTACATACATAATTTGTTATGATTTCACTGATGTTATCTGTCTGTATAGAATAGAATCGATGACACATATGCGTACTATGGGAGTATATTCAATATACCTACATACTTACAACCTTTATCTGTTTTATATCCCACATGTTTTGTTATTGAGAGGAGAGATAATAAAAATACGTTTATGATAATTACCTTGTTTACAATAATTTTATGTAATATAATAATCGTTAGGTATGTAAATTATGTACTACTAGACGTTTTCCACGGTTTTGCCCATGTGAATTAGTATAAATATTAAGTATCCTATGTTAAGTTAGGATATAACCTACTTGTACCACATTTCATAACATTCAAACCGAAGAGGAGGGAGGGAAGGGACTAGTCTCCATTACTAACAATGGAGAGTAGCAATCCCATTGTTAGCAACAAACCCTATTAGATCAACCTCCACGCGGTTCCCCTTGATCAATGATGAAACTATAGTGATTAATGCTTCATCGTTATCCATCATCCCTCACTGATACCTCACCAGTGTATGCCGACAGAGTAGGCGGGGTATTATTATCATTATCATCCATTAAAATAAAACCATTCAAACCATTCAGCCGGTGTAGCGTGATTTTGTAACAAACATACAACCAATAAATATTTTTTAAAGCTTTCACATTATTATACAAATTTTTATGGTGCTTTTTGGGAGGCGCGGGAGCAATTTTATTACAGTGATATTTGCAATAAAAGTAGATTTTTGAAAATTTGGGAATTACAATTTATATAACATCAAACCAGGAAGTACAATTCACGAGAAGTAAATGCGTTGACCAAAGGGCGTCGAAAAACAATCACGTACCTCAGCTTTGATCAATCAAAGACTAAGGTCGGATGCTGGATACAATAAAAAGTATTTTAATGGTAAAATACGAGGTGTGTTTAAAAAGTAAGGTGAGTTTTCATTTTTATCAAAAACTTTTTATTTATTCATTGATATTAATAAAAATGAAATATATTTATTTTCAGACAATAACCCGTAACGGTTAGTAGAAAAAAACCTTACAAACTATGTTAGTAGTGTCATAGTGGCTGTAATGTGGTGCTGTGCAGTCAACGATCAAGTTCAGGCAAGAAAGGGTTGTTAATTATTACTAACAATCTTTTCTCTCATGAACTTGATGGTTGAAGATCGCTACCTACCGTATACCTTAGTATTCCTACCGTATACTATTGCCAACATTTTGAGTATTTTAGAGCATATATAACTCCATTTTTTTACACAAAATTGGATGCAAACTTTTTAATCCATTTTATTCAACAGCAAAAAATCGCTGAGCATACTAAGCACTTCTAACCTTTTTTGCCTCCTACAAACAAACAAAAAATACTATATAGTTGAAACTGTGAACAAAAAAAATTTCAATTTGTAAATACGTAGCCCGCAGAATTAGAATTCACCTTACTTTACGAACACACCTCGTATATACATATTAATATTATTATGTTATACCAATCTGAAACGAGCAGTAGTAAAAATTGTCATGTAACCGTATCACGCAATGGGCAGTGGCAGTGTTACCTATCGGGTGGTCGATAATTTTGATGTTATCGAAATCGATTCGTTTAGTGTGCCCATTGTCATTAGAGCTGCTACACGAAATGTAAATTATTTGAAAAAATGTGAAAAGATAACATGAAGGTACATCCTAGACCACTGGGACTACGTGCAAGGAATAAATATCCTAAAACAGATGGCGATGAAGATGGGGAACGCTTCTCGTTATTCGCCACCAGTCTGCGTCATCAGACCACGGAATTCTTCAATAATTCTACATTGCACGGCGTTCGTTACATTGCCGAGAAGGAGAGACCCTTCTGTGAAAAGTTAGTGCCTATTATGCTTAGAATCTCTTGTGGTCAACATTCAAAAGTACTTTAGTCAAACTTTATGAATCATTATATTCGTAACGACTTTGGTGGTGTAACAGTTTCTACACTATTTTCTGATAGTCGGAAGTTCAATTCCCCACAGTACAAATATTTATGATTTAAGTTTATTTGTATTTGTATGGGTGTATTTTACGTAAATATATACTTAAAATACTATATATATATATATATATATATATATATATATATATATATATATATATATATATATATATATTATAAGTACATTATTATTTATTTATAAAAAATAATGTATTTATGTAATATGTCTAAATGGATATGTCTATCAGTTGTTTTAGTATCTAAATGGCCCTGCTTAGTTTGGGTCTAGATGTAGGTCACATATAATGTAGTACTAATATTATTATTTATTTATCAATTCTAGTTATATACAACGACACATTTTGTAAGTAAGACTTATTCTATTACTAGTATCGCTACGTAATATCTCCAATTATTATTAATATAATTATAATCTCCGTAAGAGACGTCATTTCATTTTCAATTTAGTTGACCAATGAATGAAAACTATTAATATAAACTTTTTTGTAGATTTATGTGGTTCAGTTTCACAGCAGTCGGTGCTGTGACCACCTGCATCATCATTGTCAGCTTGTGGGAGAAGTTTCAAACTAATCCTACCATTACCGGTTAGTAATCTGCTTAACTATCAGTTTAAAATTATTAAATCTAATTACTATTATTAATTAATTATGGCTTTATGGTCAAATTTTCATGAAATATGATTTCACTACCTTTGTTGATTTTTGCCGTTGTTGTGTGTCGCATAATCCCGGCAAAGAATACTCAACGGCCACTTCTTCGTTTCTCGTGGGTGTAATAAGAGGCGACAACGATGGAGGCGAGATTTAATGGCCGAAAGATAGGCAACAACGTCCCTCTTAAAACATCGCCAAAACTTAACTGCGGTTGCCAATCCACTTACCAAGCGTGGCAACTACTTGCAAAATCTGAAAGCCTAATTTCAGCAGTGGACAGTAGACTGCTGATATGATTGGTTGACTTTGAAAACCTAATAACTTCCAATAATCTATTTTTTTCCAAGATGCTGTACTTATTGTATAGTGCGCTCAAAGATATTGGATAGTTTTGTTCTTACTTTTCGCTAGTATAATAAATGTGTATAAGTATATTGTTACAGGATTGGACACTGATTTTCACAATTGGGACGTACCATTTCCAGCAGTAACATTGTGTGATTTAAATCCCGTTGATGATGAATTGTTACAAGAATATATTTTAAAGTAAGTTCTAATAAAGGATACGACATACAATTTTAATAGAACAAAATTATTGCAGATTATTGAAAATTAAACATGGTAATAAATGTTATTTCATTAATATAGTCAAATTTGTAAAATTAAGCACTTTTTTATACAACTTAGAATGGCAAATAAGCTGACGGCCCACCTGATGGAAAGTGGTAACCGTCGCCTATAGACATGAGCAGTACCATGGACATAACAGAGTATACTGTTACGGCCATGATACCCCCCATGCGTTGCATTATACATTATACAGACGTTGCATTCAGTGTCGTGCATCTGCAAATATTTTTCGTAATGTACCTAATCATATTTTGGTACTATCATAAGAATCCTTATTCTTATGGTCACAATAATTTATAGATATCACACGATTGCCATGTGTCGGCCGCCTAGCCATGAGTAATTGCGATACCATTCCATTGTAAAATAAAAATCGTCGAAACTGAATTCCCGGATTCGAGTCCCAATCGATTCAATACAACTTTTATATATCGGCTATGGTATTTTTAGAGAATTGTACTCCTTCTGTCGTTTACTGTTTTATAATCTCACATTACTAAATATTTAATTAAATGTTTTTAAACTTTATTGACACAAAAGGCGAACTTAATGGTAATATAATAATATATTTACCTGGTATTAATGTAATCTAATCTTCTAGTAAAAATAATAAGAAAGGTTTTTTTTTTTAATTTTCATACGAAAAAGGAAAATATAGTTGTTTTTGGATACTTATTTATATCGTAGGGAATTATGTACTTTTGAACTTGTACAGTAATATTAAAGCTACTAATAATTATTATTTGTGATAACTTTTAGATTCTAACGTTGGTTCATGGTTAATAAAAATAGGAATTTAGGTAAATGATTACGTTAATTTCCGTCTCTTATAAAGTATTATTTGTATTGTACTTATATTTATAGCATATGGGGTACAGATCCCCCTAAAAATGCAGCAAACATGTTGCGATGGCTGGCTACACTCAGCTATACAAGTATCGCGGAGCATGTTGCGAAATATGTCGATGACCGGGAACTTATAGGAAGCTCAGAGAGTGCATCACTTGAACCGTTCAGTAACCCGAAAGATGCAGTTTTTAATGTAAGCTTAGCATGTTCAAACAATATAAATAACTATATTACTCAGTAACTATAAATAAGTTATTTATAGTTATTGGAAATATTATATACTTACAATATTATACACTGTTCTAACTGGGTTTGCTGGAAAAGAACTCTTTTAGAGTTAAGCTCGCATTTGTACATTTGATTACTTCTGTCATATTTTTATGTATAATTTGTGTGTACAATAAAGTATTAAATAAATAAATAAGTTGCCTGTATTTTTAGATTGTACGTCGATGTGATTCATTATTTTACGATTGCGAATGGAAAGCAGACTCTGAGGAGTGTTGTGATTTGCTTGTCCCGGTGTTCACTGAAATGGGGTTCTGTTATGCTTTCAATTCACGGCATGCAGAGAAGACGTGGCCTTGGTGAGATTTTGATATCCATTCAATATCAGTCGCATTTCAATAGTTTTATTTTTGAAAAAAAAAACTTGAAACATATCTAATAGCGGGCCGTGTCAATAAAGTACTCCATATCATAATATCTGATAATAACGTCTAACTGATGGGCATCAGTAGTAGTAGCATTTCCTCATGAGGCGAATATTAGTTGGGACTAGCTAATCTTCATTACCAAACCCCTCCCCACTTTTAGCCCTAATGGAAGAGCGGTGATTGCTGTATATATGTATAACCCTATGTAAGGTGCTACTATGGTGATAGATGAACATTTACAGCTTAGATAACGGCCGTAGTTGATGCCCAATATGCATTATTATTCTAGAATTTAAAATTTCAAAATTTCAAAATTTCAAATTTCAAAATTTTAACGTCTATTAACAAGTGTTATTTATATTTTAGGCAAACTGAATCGCAGCCAGAGCAATTCCAAGAAGCTTTTATCCACGAGACCGACGCTAAATGGTCTTTTCTTTTTAATTCATATCGTAATGACACTACGATTGATGTAAGTACCGACTTATATTATAGTATGTAGGTACTCATGATTTATGTAATGTTTTGATATAAGGATTTGACATAAAGAATACTGTAATTAGAAAAACGTTTATATTTTATAATTTCAATGTAATATTTTAATGTCATTACATGTATTTGATGTCATTACATCAAATACAATTTAATGTTATATTTGCAAATAAATATGATTTGCATTGATCGCGATCTTTAGGTAACTCGTACTAAAATAAACACTTTTTCACTTTAATTGTAGATATATATTCACTCTGCTGAAGAAATGGCCGGATTGGAGCAAAGCGCGCAACACATGTGGGATCGTCGTGTAGAAAAGGTGTCGTTTTCCGTCAAACATACATACACGACAGAAGACGCCCGCCAATTGTCCATAAGGCAACGTCGATGTATATTCACCGACGAGCAGAAGTTAGAAACTTCGAACATTTACACATATTCAGCATGCATGCGGCAGTGCCGTATGCAAAGAAGTCGTCTGTTTTGCAAATGTGTACCGCATTTTTATCCTCTTATAAGTAAGAACCCAATAATTATATTACTAATAAAACCCAACTTCCGTAATATAAGTACATCGACATAGCATTTTATTCACAAAAATGTCAAATGTTTTGAATTCGTAATTGTGTGGGTAAAGGGCTGTTGTGTCTATGTGTCTATAGTCAACATAAAATTCTTAAAAATTAGGGCAATTGGAAGGTTACTAATTAATGCCAAGCTGTCATCGTGTTGATCGTAAAATTGTCTTTATTTAATTTACGTACTTGGATTATAAAAAAGTTGTTTATCGAAAATATTACATGTTGTCACCAAAGCTTTACTGCGGCTGCTAACCCGCCCGTTAAGCGTGGCAACTACTGGCAAAACAGAAATTATGCAAGAGTCCTGTGTTCAGCGATGGACAGTTAACGGCATTAGATGTTGATTAAAATATAGGTATACGTCTGTGAGCAAAAGTAGGAATGGTTGATTCACACTTATATTTGCGTATGTAAAATTTTTCCAAGCCCCTTAAAAAAGGTGCGTAAGTCTCAGCTACATATCTTTGTGTATATTTAAAAGCTTCGCTCATATACTGAAGTGAGCTCAGCCCATCCGTCACGTGGGAAAAAGGATTCTTAGTAATGAGGTCTAACTGATTCATTACTAGCAATACACCCTATCAGGTCGACTTCCACGTGGTTCCCCCTGGAAACCGTCGTGGTTAATTCTAGTGAATTCGTTAGGAATGGCTAACTGACCTGCTTTCATCGTCACCTATCAACTCTCATTGGTGCTCTACTAGCGTATATCGGTAGCGCAGGCGGGGTTACTATTCCATTATCACCCATTAGAAAAAAAGCCTACCCGTCACTCCCTTATATGGACCTATGTCCACTTGTAGATTTAATAAAAAATTGTCATGTTTTTTTTAGAGGGCTATAAACAGTGTACCGTTCAAGAGTTGGCGTGCATCGCAAAGCACGTAGCAGCCATTACGGACGTGACACGGTGCCCTTGCGAGCTGGGCTGTTCACATACAGTGTACGAAGTTGAGAAACTTACAGAAATCGAGTAATTATCATTTTTTTATTTAATTAATATAAAAAAAAACTAAGAGCATAGAATATATAATGCATTGAGTATACAATTAATGTCCCCAATTCTTATATAGGTACAAAGATAGTTTATTAAATTGTACTTATTAACTTTAGGAGGTAGATAATTTAACCAGCCTTTCTAGACAAGTGACAAACATCTCTATTGATAGTTTCGTTTTGGATAGCGCTCGCATCAGAAAGATGAAGACACTGGAAGTTATCATCTCGTTCTACCTCATAGGCTTGTTTGCTATAACGATTCTACCATATCGATAGATTCGTTTGGTACCTAAATAAAATCTATCCGTGCGAAGCGGGGCTGAATTGCTAGTTAGATGTATTAACCATTATGAGATGAAACAAGACGGCAACTTTTAGTGTTATCTCTATCGATCGATAGATATATTTGTCATATTCCTAGGGGGGACTGGTAATTATTGTAAAATCTGTGCCATAGTATTTATCTAAACTTGGAGGAAACAATAAAGAGTATCTATCTATCTATCTAAACTTCTCCAAACGATCTAAAATTTGGAATATATATCAAAGCTAATTGTTTTAAAATGCTACCTAACATTGATGGCTACAATAATTTTCAGCACAATGAAGAGTTCAGGAACAACTACATCCCTTGAGACGGAATTCGTCTCGTGGCCAATGGTGCGTTATAAGAGGGAAGTGCTGTTTGGCTGGGTCGATTTATTAGGTATCTATTCTATCGTACAGTTAGGACATAGTAAACGCTTTAGGGGAACGTAACGACATGCCTATTATATTGTTATTTTAGCTGTTAACTGTCCACTGCAAAATATAAGCCTTTCCCATAAGAGGAGTTTTGCCAGTATTTGCCATGCTGGCAGCCTCATTTAGGCTTTTAGAGTTGTTTTCACATATATATACATATTAGATAGTTTAAATGTTATATTGCAGTTGTATTAGGTTTATAGATAACTATATAAAAAATTCAGTTTAGAAACCGGTCGCGTGTATAAATTATAAAATCATTTTAATAAAAAAAAACAGTTGAACAAATTACAAGTATTTTGAATAATATGGGCCGTCCTTCGCTTTTACGTGGGTATCGTAAGAGGCAACTAATAGAACTTAATGGTCGATATATGGACAGCAGCGTCCTTCTTAAAACATCACCAAAAGTCTAACCGCAGTTGCCAATCCGCCTGCCTAGCGTGGCAACTAACGGCAGAACCTCCCCTTATAGGGGAGATTTATATTTAGCAGTGAAAAGTTACGGGTGATATGTATATGTGTATGTAGGATGATGATATGTAAGTTTTACGGATGTCGGAAGTCGTAACTTTTTTTAAAGTAATTTGAAATGGTCAGCAAGCTGACAGTTTATCTAATGGAAAGTGGTATCGATGTAAGTGACGATGTAGTATATATCTCCTTTGTTTTTCTTTAAAAAGCTGCTAAAGATGATTATTTATTGCAATAAAACATACAAAGGCGCGTCAACCACATTAGGAGGGAGTAAAAAATAATTTAATAAAATAAAAACAAAAAAAAAACCAATTCAATTCTAGCAAAACCAGTTATTTTAATTTAAAAACTAAACTACTGTACCAATTTTAATAAAATTAATCCATTTGTAAATAGACCCTTTTAGATAAAAATAATTTTCCAAATCGCTTTACAATTGACGGAGTTACGAAGTATTAAACATAAAAAAAAAACAAATTGAGAATCTCTTTCTTTTTGAAGTCGGTTTAAAAGAGGCGAGAGAACAATATATATCTATCACCTTCACTTATATGTTTCATTATACGCAACAGGTAGTCGGCCCTAACACTTAGATATCTGTTTTAATACCAAATTAGTTAACTAATTAGTGGCACGTTACTGCTTACTCTGCTACTTAGTGTTCTCGGTGTATATTTTAGTGGTATTATTGAGTAAATCTCTCTTCCTATAGTGTCGTTCGGTGGCATAGCTGGCCTTTTCCTAGGCTTTTCATTGCTGTCTGGTGTGGAGCTAATCTACTACTTCACATTGCGGGCCTGGTGTGCCGCAGTGCGGGAAACGGAGACATTACGGCGCGAGAGGGCAGAGAGACTCGCTCAACCTAAACCGCCACATAATCTCAGTCTAGTGCCATGGTAAATAATATTACTATTTAGATACGTCAAATAATAACAGGCTGTGAATTTAATTTCCACTAATACCATTCAGAGATTTCTTATCAGATTATTATCTGTATTGTATTATAATATATAAATTATGTATATATAAATTTTAACAATTCATCCATTCTAAACAGGCTGATAGCCCTGTGATAAGGGATGTGATCTAAAAAGCTATTATTAGAAATATACATATTTACTCTAATATATATATTTACTGTGGTAGAGCCACGCTGTAATCCTATATGGTATTGCAGCATGAATGGGCCGGCTCGACCGGGGAAGTATGAATGAATGAATGAACATGGAAGAATGGACATGTCACAGTATTATTCTAATTCATTTATTTTCCTTTAGGTGGAAAGAACCTCCAGGCTCCTATTCGAGTCGCCCATTAATGGTGCGTCCAAAAGGCAGGCCGCCACAATACTCCCCACCACCAGGCTACAACACTTATCTACCATAATGAGTTGCTTATCATTCCGGAAGTATTGAATTTAAAAAATGGGCCAATTTCATCTGTATGGCATTTGTTTGTGGTGATTCATATTTTTTTACTTATATTGGGCATTATTCAAACAGAGAGAGGTATTATTACTAATATCCAGTTAATCGCCTAAGAGGCGTCTATCAAATTTCAAAAACAAATGAATAATTTATGTATTGTAATGTTATAATAATTATTAATATTAAAGTCTAACCTACGTTACTCATTGCGCGGTCACTAAGAAATAGCAACAGATTAGAATAAACAAAAAATACAAAGACCAGTTTGTATTATTTAAACAGTTTATTTCCTTGTCACATCCATCTAAAATGTCACAATGTTAGTAAAACTTCATACGTATATCGAACTACATTATCATGATTTCCATTTGGGGCGCGAAAATAGTAACAAGTTTCAAAAATATTAAATAAATATAAACACATACGAATACATAATAAATGTAGCCCTGAAACTATGTGTCCACTAGTAACTAGCTTATAACTCTCCACACATTCGTGAAAAGAATAATTTCACCTGTAAAACATTTACTAGTGAATACATTATATATAACCACAATAATGCAGTTCAAAACAGAACACGTTCAAAAAGAGAATAAGTACATTTCTCAAAAATTTTGTTTCTTAAATTTTATTATTTGCCATAGTATCATCATTGTACATATATGACGGTATCATTTTTTTTAATGATACATTCACAAAAGTTACTATATAAGCATTTTTTTAGTTACAGCATTGATAATAATTGGTATTAAAGTTATAATTTTCTATGAAAATTATAACTTTAATACCAATTATTATTATTTTACATTGTAATCTGAGTTTATTTTTATAAACCAATAGCACAGCACACACTGCTAAACTAACAATAGGAATTTTAATATTATTATTACAATGTATAAACTACAAGGCGTGGCCATCGTCAGTGATTATTTTAGTAATTGATGACTATTTTTTTCTACTATGTAAAATATTATTTATAGGTACAATCAATAACAAACCTTTTAGTATTACTGTCAGCAAAGAACACCAAACAAATAATAATACAAACAAGCACCAAATAGCTATTTACTAACTTAATAAAATAGGAATGCTATAAAGCGTGTTGTTTGTTGCAATATTCTAAGTAACAATATAAGTCCCAAGTGTAAGTACCACAAAGTGATAATGAAACTAAAGTTCACACTATTATAGGTATCAACATTTAAATAAACTTAATATAACTACATATCGAATTAAGTTCAACAAAAAAAAAAGCACTTTTATATATATAGTAGTAATATATTTAAAATTTATATTTTAAACTAGATTTTTGCCCGCTACTTTGTATGCATGGATTTCAGAAGCAGGTAAACCAACGAAATATACTACTTCTCGATGGCATATCACGATAAAACATACATCAAACAGAAAGGCAAATAAAAAATGCCTTCTATTACTCTTAGTAAGACCTCTCATATTTTTATTTAAATATCCCTCATGTATAGACATAGTCTATTTTATTATATTAGTAAGTGTATAATTAAGTAAATAAAACACAACCAGGAACATTAGGTAACAAACTTTGGTATTTACAGTTTTGTCGATAATGTTAGGCTGAATCTATCGATAAAAAGCTTAAGATTCTAATTATCGGGAGCCATCTGTGTTTATTTAATACTTGTGGTAACAAAGTAGGTATTTTTATAAATTTATTAGCATTTGTTTCGGTTTATCATATATTTTATACAATATTATGATAAAAGTAATTTCCGACACCATCGTATTGACGGAATATTTTCTACATATTTTCGCAACATCAGACTACTTTAGAGCATACAACAATATTAAGACTTAATTCTCACAGTTCATTTTAAAGCAACTTTGTAGAAAGACAGGTCACAGGGAGTCTATTAATAGATAAATATTAAAAATTAAGAAAGAACATACGTAGAAGTGTATAAAAATTACGTGCTTTATGTGACGGCAGACGAAATAAACTGATCATACAAATATAGGTTAATTTTCAACCATTAACGATACTTTTATTATTGCTCACCATAACAGATAGTAGAATTTTTTGTGAAATTAATAGTGTGCCATTATTCGTTTCTCGAATATAATTTTATTTGTTGAATGCTCTAAAGTTGTCAAGAATTAATGACGTAATAGAAAAGTTTATTCGAAAAATATGTTTCAGACCTTTGACGTTACATCAAAACCAAATTAATCAACAATTTATCCAATTGCTTTAATTGAAATAAACAACATCACTCATCTAAACGTCTAGAACATTTTTCCCAAAGAAATGGATCAAGAATCGACAAATAAAGGGCCTCCCTTATTAACTCGAAAGGTGGACGTGCTGTTTTTAGTTTTGGCTCAAATTTTACCACAATCATATTTCTTTAGCAAAAATGATAAATTTCTTTAATAGGACATCTACAAGCATACTACTAATTTCGCTCTCTATTTTGCTATAATTATAAGAGTCAAAATAAATATAGTGAGTCAGCTTGTTTACTTTCCAAATAACATATATCAAAATTTAACATAGCAATCACTGCATGCGATCAACCTAGAGTTCAAATTAAAGCTTTCAACACATGAGGCTTTTTCCTTTGCCAAGGTCTAAATAAAAGGTTACATTCGAATCGATCAATTAATAAGCGAGCTATTTTTTATTATTTCCTCTAAGTACCAGAAAACTTGAAGAACTGTGAATATCCAGTGTTAATTTTTCTAGTAAGCAGGCAATAAAAAAAAAAAAAAATTAAGTACAAGATTATTAAGGGAAATAGACCTTACTAAATATTGATATGTTATGGAAAATCGGAAACATTTTCCACGTCTTTGCAGTCTGTATGATGGACAATATTATGGAAATGTATTTTACATCTAATAAAGTTTGACATGAAATATATAAATAAAAATACATATAAAAATGTTATAGGAGTAAACACGAAGTATTTCATATTGCACCATTATTATTGCATGAATTTTGCGTATTTTTACACAGAACACATTATATCTACACGCGGATTTGTTTATGTTTTAATACACATTTTCTTTATAGCAATTTGGGATCAATGATTGCGAGTCCTTTGTGTTAGGCATTTTTACATCTTCTCTGTACACTCCATGCAAAATGTTGGCTTTTGTGTCGGTGCAAATAGTAAGTAGGGTTCTAAATCGTTAAACTGAATTCAATTGAGGCAACTCATAATGGACCACGCCACACCGAGATATTGGAGTGCGCTTAGATCCAGAGACCCGGGAGTAGTTGACTCCGGAGTCAAAGCCGAGGTAAAGGGGAATTCCCTGAGGTCTCCACCAACCCTCACCCCAGAATGTATGGAGATCATTGATGATGATGAACACATGAGAAGTCATGGGCATCACAGTGTAATCTGTGACGTCCATGGTTTTGTTCATGTGTACCTATAGGCGATGGTCACCGTTTTTTATCAGATAAGCAGTCAAATTATTTGCCTATCATAACAAATTATTAGTAGCTTTTTTGCCAGTTATTTCGTATGCGGAATTCAGAAGTAGAAAAACCAATGAAATATACCACATCTAGATGCATAGCAAAAAAAATACAGACCAGTTTTTATTTAGAACTTCATAAAACTGAAAACGTATTTAATTTAGTGAAGTTGTATTTATATATATCGTAACAAACATACAGACACACAACATTTCTAATAATTATTGTTTTGGCTTCTGTTGTTCGTATTAAAACCTCTTCTATCATTATTTTTACATAACTTCTATTAGTCATCGTTCCGATACAATTTTGATATTAGTTGTATATATAGTACTATGTAGTATTGTGTAATATCTTAACAAGAGGTATAATATCTGAGCCTTGTGTCAGTGCACTGAAGTATACACAAGATGAATGCTATTGGGGTAATAGTACATTGTGATATTCATATATCAGATTGTTCACATGGTTTTTTATCATTAGTACGGAAAGACAAAATATTAAATCAATCAGATGATGCGTGGAAGAAGAAAATGGAGAGTATCTTTCATGTAGCAAAAATCGAACTAAAATCATTCAACCCGATATATCTAAATCCATAATTATTTTTAATTAATTTATATTGTTATTAGTTATTCAATAGAAATATAATAACTAGATAAGTAACACATTCACACATTACTAGATCATTTACATAATTTTTGTAATAATGACGTGAATATAAGCTAAACTAAATACGGATAAATAAACTGTATAATTACAATAATTCTAAATATTTTTCAATTCATAATCTAACCATATAAAATGTCTAATTTTTATGCATTTATTTACAGTAAAGTAGGACATTACTTACAGCAATTATTTATCTAAGTACTAATATTCCATAGTTTAAAGGAAGTCTGATTTACTAAACAATTTTATCTATTACATATAAATATAAAATATTTATTTATAATCAAGGTAACCAGTTGGGAAGTATATTTATTATCTTACTACTATGTATTGATAAAATTAATACATGTTTTTTTAAAGCACGCAATAGACATGCTTATAGCATGTGGACTTTATAGTCTTATATTCGAGTTGATTAATGTATAGACGACATTTTAGAGAAGAGTTCATTATATATGAATCAACTCAATTCTGCATGCTAAATTGTAATTTAATTAGTTTCTATTATCAATATTATTTTTTACATAACCTAAAGTTTTATCCAAACACTGAAAGTTGAGAACTCGATAAAACTTTTACTACAAAATATGTAATAATTGGCTATAGTAATTTTCAGTGATCACAGACGGAACTACTTTTAAAACAAAATAGCACTGAAACTGCATGACACATAACACTATAACATAATTATGTACTACGCCATTCGCTCTAATAAAGAATTTTTGATTTAATAAAAAAATATATTGATGGCAACTGTCTGAAGAGAAAACAGCGTAGTGCATGCTTAATTAATTACTGGGCCGAAGATCATCAATATCCTTACAAAAAATCTAAGACGTATATACCTGTACAAAAGCTACTCGTAAAACTGTTACTAATTATAATATACTTCATGCCCTCTTTTTAAGTTTTTAACTATACGTCTTAGGTTTTTGGTACATCGATGGCGTAGATGTGTCGATTTACATATCACAGCCTCGTCACATCATTGACACGTTCCACGTAACGATACATTACGACGATATAGCAATGCTGAATGAAAAATGTAGTATTAAAAAATTATATTTGAGAACCTAAAAGCTTGTAAGTGCAATATTTTATAATAAAAAGACATTTCATTAGAACCTATAAACCAATGGGCGATGGACTATTTTAAATATTTGAGAGATGAAGAGAAACTGTTTAATTATATCAAACAAATACTAACTTTTCTGTTTTAAAATTTTACATGAAATAAAAAATAATCGTCTATATCATCATCGTTATGCGGAAAACCTACGATCCATATATTGTGCAAGAGCGAGTAAAATTACAAATTGGAACTGTATGTTAGTACCTACTGATCTTATCACTACTTGTAAACATTTTGTGTTTAACTCCAACACTAGATAATGGAAATTATTTATTTGTCACTGGAGTCCTTTGAGTCGTCACCACTCTGGTTACAGTTTGCAAGGCGTGAGGTGAACTTGGAATTCGTGTGAGTGCTCTATATGGATAAAATTACAATCAGCCTATCTATATATACTATTATACGTCGCGAATAAAGATGTGCATTTGATATTTATTTATTAATGCATTTGTTTAATTGATATTTATACATAGATTGGTAATTACTTACAAATGTAAAGCTCACTGAACACCTTGTAAACTGTACCTTCAACAATAAGGCTAATAATATGCTGAGGCAGATGATGTAACATAACATAATACAGAGTCAGTAGGACATGACAGTTGATATACTCGTAGGCTATGAGTGTATTATGTAATGCAAATAAATGGCATAATATATTTGCAGTACGCAAACAACACATTAGCCCGCTCATTGTCTTTTAATTATCACTGATTTAAAGTAAAAAAAAAAAAAAAATGTGATGATCCCAAGAATATCTAGCATTGGAATCTATTGTTCCAGCAATTCCACACAAGTCTATAAATATTAAGTTGTACTACATTTACTTTTCAGTAATATGTGTCATTACTATAATGGGTGGCAGAGCACAGTTGTCATGCGTCTGTAATTTCATGTCTACATTAAAACATACACATCTCTATATTTGTTACTGTTACAAAATCGACTCTACCTCTAAGTGCAAAATGCGCCGCTTAAATCTCAGCATATCCTTAGCCTATATGAAGGTAAATGCACTCATGATACGTATTTCCACCATCGCTTACAGAAATGGCTATAGAGTTGTGTCGGTCAGCAGATAAGTGCCGGTGTGCGGGTATCGACAGGTGTAGTTAGTAGGGACGGTTGCACCCAGGGTTGGCATTGATCATCGGCATCTTCCTTGCCAGAGCACCGGCGCCGCATCACACGGAATATAGAACTGAACTTCTCCGTGTCGGAAAACGTTGCCTGTCGAAACGATTATAATATTAAACACACATATTTGAAAAAAGTATTATTTTTACCAAAAACTATATTGAATTAATTGAATACATCATCATCATCATATCAGCCTTTAATTATCCTACAGTCAGGCCTTAGAGATGTTTTAAGAGGGACGCTGGTGCCCATCCCTCGCCCTCCCTTGGATTTGTTGGATGAATTGAACACATGATTAGTAGGATTCCTACCATAGATTAAGGATAGTACCTGCAGTTGTAATAGATATGACATCATTAATTATTTTAAAAGAATGAGACATCTTTACAAGCAAAACACAAACAAAAAAATGTCTTGCTTTGCCAATACTTTTATTTTTGGATGATGCCAATTAGTTGACAATCAAAAGTGAAATAGCTATTATACGCGAGTAAATATTTGATTAAAATTAATTTATATTGATTAAAAATTATTTGTATTTTACATTCATTCATCATATTATATGTATTGAAAATGTAGTGACTTTTTCAATATCTATAATTAAAACTACATTGTTGTGTTTTTGTTTACCGCGATCGAAATAATCTACAAGAAAACCTAACACTTCACAAATCAATTATATTATTTAAACAACTGATTATTAATAATACATATAAAATGTTGCATGCCAAGCTGGCTGAATGTCATGGTTACACAAAATGTATAATGTTATCTAAACTTACCACATTCATCGCAATAAATTTCATTTCATTTCATTTCATAAAAAACCATGATATCCCTTTAAACTTTAACCTATAAGTTGATAAAAATCGAGATTTCCTGAACGTAACATTATGTTTACATTACCCGTTCAAATTAAATAACCTTGTTACTATTATACGTCGCGAATAAAGATGTACATTTGATATTTATTTATTAATGATGTCATTCTATTGCTATTTCATAATACATATTATTATGTTCATAGCAGTTCTACGACATCCTTCTACGATTTTCTATCAATTGGCATATCAATAGACAAGATGATTAATCAATTTTATGTAAAAAAAGAATGATTCTACAACATACTGAATTTATAGTACCCTAAACCAATTATGATAATAGATTTAAACATTAATGTAATAAAGCATTTCGAAACGTCTTCGACTCTATTGAACTTTGACAAATATTGAAGAAAAGAAAATTAGGCATTTTAAAGTTTTTAATAAATTTATCACCACAAAAATACTTACCTCGATAGCGATTGCCAGAATTAGATGCAGAATTGGCATTAAAAACAAGTATATACGGAATATTGTTTGTTCATGGTCATCAATATTCATAACTTCAACTTCCATGAAGTCAGCAAGCCAATGCCACGGGCAAAGCAATAGCACCACCACAAATACAGCTTGTGTAATTAATGTCACCACCATGTAATCTGTGCACAAAGGTCATAATATATATAAAAATTATTGATTCTCTAAAACTTATTATTTGTGAAAAAGTCCAACTTCGGAACAAGTGTGTGCAAGTTATGAAAGCAGAGAATGCAAGAGGTGTATTATCCACTTTTATACGTCATCATTTCGAAATATAATTCCGTCATATTAATAAATATGTAAGGCTTCCAATACTTCATCCTTTTTGTTTAAATACAGATAGATATATCTACAGGCCTACTCCTGAAACTAATATCGATTTCAATCCAGTCTAATGCCAATGACAATTTTGTACTGCACTCATGAAATAACAATTAGAAACTAAGTTAAAATTAAGATCGGTATTCAATAGTTTGCATTGTCAAGTTGCACTAATATGCATCTATCAGAAGAGTATTGAACCGTTATGTCACTAGTATTGCATTTTGAAAATGTGTAACGTTTCAATTCCAATATAGATTTATTGGAGTTTATTTCAAGAGTTGTGGGGCGACTCTGCACAGAGAATATTTCCACATTATATAACTGGCTACAAGATAGCGTCGCTATCAACTTTTATATTGTAGACCTATTATATTAATATATTTCGAAGCAAATAAATATATACAGGTAGGACAATGTCTATTAAATATGAAAGCAATACTTACAGTTGGCACAGAAGGGTTGTCGGAAGGGCCAACCTTTCGCGTACACACATGCCATTATCAAATACTGGAAGGATGAGATTATGAATATGACTGTGTTCTCCCAGCAAAGTATTACTTCCACATCAGCAGCACCTTCTACCGGCTTGAACCTGAAAAATTTAAGTTTACTGATGTCATGAGATATCCTCAATGTTTTTAAAAAGAACAATGTATAACCAAAGTAAAGCTCATGTAAGTAAATAGAATTAGATTATATTATTGTAGGATAAAGTTATCCTAAACTGAGAATATCCCATCAATTTGATCGTATCTTTCTATAAAGGAAGTTACCATCAAGTTTATGTAAAATAATATATGTGCACGGTTAAATTATTAAAATATTTCAATCATCAGATCTGCTATACCTTTTTATATATATAGTTTTAGCATCTGACTATTTTTGTTTTGTTTTACTTTTTTTAAGCATACTCTATTACTATTAAATAATTCTTATATTCATTTCTCGACTTTCCTCGTGTCAATTTATATCCTTCAAGAGGATCAAAGAAACACGTTGAAAATGAACGTACCAGGGCTGCTCGTAGAGTAGGTAGAGCGCGGCGAGTTGCAGTAGCAGTACGAGTGCCACCTGCAGCGTGAGCGGCAGCACGCCGGCGAGCGCGACCAGTGAGGCAGGCGGCGAGCGCCGCGTCAGCACCGGGCCTGGCGCCGCGCGGCCCAGCGACAGCGCCAGCAGCGTCGTCAGCACCAGGTCGATGTACAGGAATTGGTTGTTGCCCAGGATCGAGTAGAACTGCACACCGCACCAAACAAACACAACGATTTAACAACTTTCCTAGCAACGCTTATCCATCTTTCTTATTCATTAATACTAAAACCTTCTATAAATATACTTCAGTTTAGTAGGATATTCTGTTACTTTCTATCAAATTCAGAATTCAGCGCAAAAGAAAAAGACATTTCAATAGCTAAAGTAGGTTTATTGTTGTGAAAAGGGAATTATTCTATAATTAATATTTTAGTTAGCTACCGAGCACTTTTTTAAATAATCTATCAAAAATATTGATAAATTATTTACCATAGGGAGGCAGTTATATTTGCATGGCTGTGTTTAGGTTTGAAGAGTGGGATATGGCAGTTAATTTGCAAGGCACAAAGGCATAATACCTTATTCCTTAAGAATGGCAACGCATGAGGAGTGTCATGAGTGAAACAGTATACTCTGTTATGTTCATGATACTGCTGATGTCTATAGGCGACGGTTACCACTTTCCATCAGGTGGGCCGTTAGCTTGTTTGCCATTCTAAGTTGTATAAAAAAAATGTTTTTGAAAATTGACAGATAATTGCAACGCAATTTAACGACGTTATAATTGCGACAAATGCAGGTAAGTGTAATAATAATAAGTCCTAGAAAACTTTCTTTAAACTGCAATAATTCAGTTATAAAACAACCAACTAAACATAATAATATAGGGGACGGAAATAGAAACACGTAAAATTGAATACACTACAAAAACTTTTCCTAAGTCCTAATCGTGTTCCATTATTGCGAAGCATGTGCGTTTCTTAATGCGAGTTTAGCGAGTTCGTAATGTGGTAAAATTATACTCGTATAATAGGAACAAAAGTATTTTATCAACGTCAAAGGTTACCGCGTATTATCCGTTCAATTTTGGATAGAATATAAAAAAGCAGCTGCTCTTTTTCTTACGAAACATTTAAATTAGTAATAATTTCATATAACTCAAAATTTCATAAAAATTTACGATCATATAATAGCAAGACATTACAAAGGAAAGAGGTCGCATAATTAATCATAATTTACTGTTAATATACCGTAACAATCATTTCTTTTCCGTTGGTGTCGTAAGAGGCGACTAAGAGAATTTAACAGCCGAGAAATGTGCAGCAGTGTCCCTCTTTAAATATCACCAAAACCTAACTGCGTTTGTCAACCCGCCCGCCAAGTGTGGCAACTACTGCCAATCTTCCAATGGAGGAAGGCCTATACCAAACAGCGGAGAGTTAACAGCTGATATGATAATGGTACCGTAATAAAATTTATTCATATATTATAATTGTCAGTCTGTTTATGTCGTAACCATAAAGATATGAATGAAGGAATAACTTTTAGCCAGACTTAAAAACTGGTGTTTTATCAGAATCGGTTTTAATGGACTACAAGATTATGTGTTATTAATATGTTAATTTAAAGTAATAAAATATAATACTTACATTGTAAAGAATGAGGATAGAAATAAATTGTATTAAAGAATAGAGAGCCATGTATTTGAATATAGCGAAAGAAGTGCTCAATGCACAACGGCCTTCCAGGGCGAGCAATTTCACGCACCCAATATTCTGCACGCGAGAAGTAAACGGAGCCGCCACTGAAATAATATCAACATCAATATTAACATGAATGGCCATGAAATATATAAAAGTAACACCATATAATAGAATTAAAGGAATAAGGTTCTAGAAAAAATTATTTGTAAATTTGTTCACAGCATTTACGACGCTAAAGGGGTGAAAAAAATTAGACGCCAAAAGTGTCGCCGAAAGCTACATAAAAAAAATACAGATGTTTTACTCTATTTCTTGAGAACTATGATTCCTAAATATTTTGTATAAAGTTTATTATATATATTGGAGAGAGGGGATAATTATATTGTGCCCCAATTTTGAGCTTATGTAAAATTACCTGATGCGTCAGCTTCCGAAAGCGATATGCCAACGTGTGCAGCTTTGAGAGCGCCGCAGTCATTGGCACCGTCGCCGCACATTCCCACTATGAGCCCTTCACCCTGCAGAGCCGTCACTAATTGTGTCTTTTGGTCAGGACCGAATCGACCGAACACCATTCCTTAAATGGAAATGTAATGTGTTACAAGAAAAATTGAGGATGGCAACTTAATTTTTATTAATTAATAATAGTCACAATACGCAATAACATCAATACTAGGTGTTATTTGGAAATTATCATTCTCAATGAAAAGCATTTATTCTATCTGTGACGATGCGAAATAAATTTGAACACGTATATTGTATTACCTATAGTGTATATTAAATCGCGACTGCATGTAGTTGAGATGCAAATGTTGAGATGGATGTGTGGTGTAACAAGAATGGATGAAATTAAAAAGAAGTATATTAAAGAAAGTGTGAAAGTAGCGCCAATGATAGAATAGGACAAATTGTCTGTCCTGTTAAGTAATGACATCTACTTATGAGCACAGCGATGAGGAGCATGTTTTAAGAAAGGTATTGAATATGAATGTGGATAGCTATAAAGGCAGAGGAAAACTTAAAAAATATGGTCGAACTGTGTGCAAGACGATATAACCAGAATGGGAGTGAATGCGGAAATGACTGCTAATAGAGAAAAATGGAAGAGAAAGACATATTACGCAACAATAATAATTGGGATACGGGTAGGAAGATTATGATGACGGTGGTGATAGATGATTCGAATGTCATAATACTTTTATATTCTTCATAGATTTTCTCAAACTGTACTTCATATTTCGTTTCAATTATTTTTCATTTATTTTTTTTTTCAATCAAAATTTTCAAAGACCGCTAAATAAGAATATTATTGTGTAATTAATATTTTAGTGTGCTAGCAGAGTACCTTTTAAATAATTAATCAGAATCATTGAAAATACTTCAAATGTTTTTGCTAATAGACAGATAATTGCAACGTTGCCGCACTTTAGGACATTGAAAGAGAATTCAATAGAAATATTATGAAATAGCAATAGAATGACCTCATTGAACAAATTAACAAAACTACCTTCTTATACGCGACGAATAATAGTGATATAGCTTTTTAATTTTAACGAGTAATGTAAACAAAATGCTTTTGGACATGACAAGTCACTCAAATATAAAAGCTTTTATATTCGTGATAAATAATATACCGTAATTTTTATTACCTTTACTCAATACTACAGGCATCAGTTCTGGATAATGCGTACGAATTACTGACCACGTTTTTCCTTCTAAAGCCAGCACATACGAATCGATCGACAATTTAGGCGGTCCACCTTCACCCACTACCTACAACATGTAAAAATTATTACTACATTTATAACTTGCAGTGATACGGAAATTGACTTCTTGTTTATTTAATTAGATCCATAAATAAATTAAGACGGATTGAAATCTGTGTAAATACTGTACTCACATTTTCAATTAGATGTAAGCAAAGACCATGGACATAGTAATGCAAAAGATTAATGGATTTAAAAACTAACGAGGATTCATTCAATTGAACAATTTTTCTTACTTAGCCAACGTCGTACAGGTTGTTTAGGTTTACGAATACTATTACTGGGTTTAGTTTAGTATACCAATCACAACATTTGTGACTCATCCGGTATGACAGGAGGGAAAAGCGATTGTTAGTAATGGGTTAGCTATTGCTAACAATATACCCTATCAGGTCGACCTTCACACGGTTCTCCCTGGAAACTATTGTTATATTTTGAATTCGTGACGATGGGTCACCAATTGACATGTATTTATTTTCAGATTAGATCATCTCTCATTGGTACCCCGCCAGCATATACCGACAATGCAGGCGAGGATACCATTCTATCATCACCCAAAAAAAAATCGGTATGACAATGAATAAATACTTATAAAAATACACTCACTTCCATACAAAGGTGAGGCCTTGAATCGTCTACTTGCTGATGGTCAACCGTTATCAGGACCAGTTTTTGGTGTGGTTGCACCATGAAACACCCACGTGCCACTGACATTGCTGTCATTATATTATCACCTAGAATATATATTAAATAAAATTAATTTTACTCTTATAACAGAATTTTAAGTAGAGGATGTCTGTACATTGGAGATGTTTAATAAAAATTGTTATAACGGATTTTAATAAGGACAATAGAAGTCAAAATAATCATTTTATAAATGTTATCTATCTGCCTGTATATTTGTTCCAGCATGATGCAAAAACAGCACCAAATTAAATGCAGTTACAGTTGTGTTTCTGAAGGTCTAATTTAAAAACTGCAAAATATTTTACGCCATCTAGAAGTAGTCTATTTCATTAGTTTTTCTACTATTGAAATCCACGTGTGTGCCAAAGTAGTGGGCAAAAAGCTAGTTATAAATATTTTAATCCCATAAAACAAACTACAAACTTGACAAAAAATATGAAGCCTTTATAGAAGTAAACACCTATCAATCAATGATACAACAAAAAAAGACAAATTGCTGAATTTCATTCTTATAAAGTTATTAAAATAATAAGTAGACACACACACACTAAAAATAATTTGTATGGAGAATCTCCTCTTTTGTAAAACTGTTCAAAGAAAATAAATATATGTACCTGTGACCATGATCTGTCTCATGTTTGCTTCGTGCAGCTCTTTAATAACCTGAGTGGTTTCCGGCTTTAGGCTATTTTGCATGACTAGAAAGCCTAAAAATGTCATGTCACACTCAAGTGTTTCCCTCTTAATTCTTTGTGCATCAACCCATTTCATCTTGCGGTCAAGTTTCTTGTAAGCCAATCCAATAACTCGGAAGCCGTTTGACGTATATTCATTGAGGACTGAACTGAAGTTTTCTGGGAGAGAATTTTGATTGCACATACCTGCAACCTTAAATTGTGCTTTTAATATCTATGTATTGTAATATAAATACAAAAGAATAATAACAGAAGCAAAACAAATAGAAGTATTGTTGATAAACAATACTTCTATTTGTATATCTCTTATATTTTATTTAAGTTATAATTGTGAGAATATTTATTTAAAAACAAAATAAGTAACCACATAACTTGAGTCATAATTAATAAATAATACTCATTCTAACATTTCTATATAGTGGACAATGGGCAAGTTCTAAAGATATATGTTATTAGGTAAACAGATAATACATTATTACATGAATACTTTGAAACAATAAGTACCTTTTCCGGGGCGCCTTTAACAAAATACACCATTTGAGGCTGACCAAGTACTCTAGCAATAACTCCCATTGACTGTTGAGATGATGAGAAATGAAATCTTCGTAATAAACCGATCTAAAAAAATATAAATGTGTACAATAAAATACTAATAGTATGGAATCTTAAAATAAATAAAGAAAAAAAGCTCAGACTAAAATGGCTGAAAGAGCCTTACCCCTGACCAAAAATGTACCAAATCAGGTCATATTAGAAGGATAGAATAATAGAAGGACCTTCTGCTAAAATATGCTAGTGTTTTTAGATAAACATTGAAATAAAATTGTTTTCTGTTTGCTCATATCACACAATACTGTAGTAATAAAATAATATTTATGTAGCATGTGTCTATACAAGTGATTTTAAAGGAGGTGAATGATGGACTTATTTTAATGTTTGTCTTTTACAAAATTTTTAGAGCATTAACATCAAATAAATGAATCTAGTAAAAATACGTAAGGTTTAGCTTTGCGTTACTTTCAGAAAAATTTTGCGTTAATTACTTTCAATAAAATTTTTTTTGGTAAAGTGTAATAATTACTTCGTATGGTATTTCCATAGTAAAGGGATCATAATTTTCTAAATCTTGCAGGTTTCCTTCATACGTAGCAGCAGGTTTAACTATCGCCGGCGTTAAATTGTCATATCTAGTGTTCTCAGGACCCGGCTCCTCGAGTACCTGTCAAGATAAGGTAAATTCATCATCATAAGCGCCGACACATGACGCACATAATTTATGTACATAAGAATGTCAATATAACGACAAAATTGTTTGCTGTGACAATATAAAAGATAAATACTGGTTTGTAGCGTTGTCAAAGTATCGGTCCAGGTAGTACGTTTTGAGATACCTTTCGATTTTTTTAACATGTGTTTGTTTAAACTAATTTACATTTCGTAAGGGCAATACTAATAATACCTACGCCGATACTAACAACTTCCCATGTTATAATCATGTGACGTTACTATGATGAAATCACAATGGAATATCAAACATTCGTCATAGCGTATGTGAATCATTCGGATGAAATAACTGAATTAATATTTATAAACATTAATAAAATTGATGATGTCAAATAAATTAACATACATATAAAATTTATAAATTTCAGATTCCATGATATACTGTTTTTTTTTTTTTTTTTTTTAGTTTTGAATCACTTCATTATTTTAGGCAAAAATTCAAGAGGCGATCATCAAAATGTGCCTTCACTTTAAAAGATTCACTTCGAACAATTAGACTGGCTCAGTGTTAAACATTTATTTATTGAACGTCAATAAACCTAAACAATGTACAAAGCAGATTTAACACCATATGGCATTATCTACAATTAGCTGTAGACAGGAATAACAGGAAATATAATAGACTTATCAATTAAACCATGAGCAAAATCAAAGAGATACTTCACATTCCATATAGATAAGGATATATTTAAAACTCTAATGTGTACATTGATTGTACTATCTCGTTACTTTCCATGAAAAACATGTAAAATCTTTTTATACTATATTATTAGCACATACCCATTGAGTGAATTCAAACATTTTCAAATCCAATGGATCGCCTTTAAGCTGTCCCTGTATACTAGTGAGTGAATGGCAAGAGGCTAATGCTTGCATCATAGGACTCTTTACTGGCAACAAATTAACATCCACTACACACTTTCCGAATTTGTCACTGGATTGTGTTGGTATAACCGAGTAAAAATCCAAACCATCTTCAGTAAGGGTTCCAGTCTAAAATACAAGTTGAATTTTAAATTATTAAATACAGACGAAATGACTTTTATGAAAGGATTTTGATTTTAAAGAAATATATAAAAATTTGATCTACATTCTCATACAAAAATATGTCCAAGTAACCCACATTAAAATAAAAGAAATACACATTTATAGTAGAGACTTGAGTAGAATTTATCATTTGATGTAAACATGAAATCCCAATTGTATAAGTAATATTTTTGTAAATTTCGTAAGAACATTTCTGCTGGTCTTTCTGGTCTGTAATATGACCATTTGTGATGATTAAAATGACCGTATTAAGTTTTTGGTTTTGTAATTTGTATACCAATGAAAACATTACATACCTTATCAAAGCACATTACTTGCAATTTTCCACAAATAATAATCCGGGGTGGGGACACACAAAATATCTTATTTTTACGCAGTCGCTGTTGACTGTATACAATACCGGCTGTCATAGCAGCAGGTAAAGCTGGTGGTACCACAATGGTAATGATATCTAAAGTACGTAGGATTATCGTGCCTGCATGACTCTATAACAAAAAATACACATTTACTGCTGAATTAAAAATACAATACAAAAAACACACGGCATTATGGAATATTTGAAGACAACCATTTAAAAACTATATAATATTTATACTAGATTGAGACTTAACTATTTCTGAAAAAAAAAGAAACTTACGCCTCTTAATATATAGAGCCAAATTGAATATGCCATTCCTATTGCGGCTATACAGAACATGAAAATGACAAATTTAACAGCATCTTTGTAGAACTGAAATCCAAATCTCTTTGGAAATAGTATACTTTTAATCAATTCTCCTTTAGCAGTATTAAAGCCGGTTCGTACAACTTTAGCCAAGACCTAGAATCAAAGGTATTAGTAAAATTCGTGTTTGCTAACGATGACTTGATTTGAGTGTTTCTTATGGAACTGGTAAAAAATCTGTTTAAAATAAATATATTCTATTACTGGAATTATGCAGCTAAACAATAATCAGATTTACAATTCTATAACTAATTACAGGTTTGTGGAATTTTAAACTAAATTATATCATGTCGGACATTACTTAATACAATAGTTATTAACCATAAATATTTATTTAAAATATTATAAATTTAACATTGGCCATTAACAAAAATTGGCGACCAGTTATAAATATAGTAGAAAGTTAATACCATCGTTTTATAAAAAAACTTTACAGCAAAATGAATCATAAACTTTTAAACCTTACCTGATTGTTGCCATAAAATCTTGTTTGTATAACATGAGTGCCAGCAAAAAGTGTATGCCTTTTGTGTGCGTCTGTTGAGTATACTTCGGGGGAAATGCATGGGGGGCCCTTCATTACTGGTACACTCTCACCTATTATAGTGATGATTAATATTTAGTATCAAACTGCTTACAACATTGTATGTTTATCTTAGTGTATAAAATACAAATAACTTTTGGATCAGCTGCCTAAATGTCTGGAAACATTTTATTACTACATTAATATAATAGAACATACTAGGTCACAAATCTATTACTATAGAGTTGTTGCCTAGTAGTTTGCTCAAATAGGTCTCTTATGTATGAAATATGCAAATTAGACTTAATTAAAATTACTGATTAATTTCCTGATGTTAGTAAACAACGTTAACAAACATAAGGAGCGCTTTATTATAATTTATTCTAGCAAAAAATTATTTCATTGTCACGATCAGAGATATTTTTTCTATGACTCTATACAATAGGATGGCAAAATGTATGGAATTGCATAAAGACACAATTGACAATAATGTCATACTGATATCATGGATAATGTACAGGAAAAGTGTCTCCTTGCCATGTCATGATGAAAATTGTAAAAGCACCCATTTGGAAAATGAGACAGGGATAATATGTTTAATATATTTTTATTAAGATAATATGCATCTGTTAATGACATAATCAAAATATGAAAAAACATATTTGAATAATTATAATGTGAAAATTTCGAATTGTGCGGAATTTGAACCTGCAACTTTTATGCCATACAGAATAATCCTTGTATCGATTTATTTTACTGGATGTTAATCGCAAAACAATCTTGACTCAACGCTTGGCGTATATGCAGGGACTCAATATGTTATTATATCGTCATAGTCGTAGAATACTGACGGACTAATCTGACAAATATTACATATACATATCCGTCAGTATTCTACGACTTGACGATATTAATAATACAAGATTAGTAAAAACATAAAAATTGCTCACCAGTGAGCATGCTCTCGTTAACTATACAGGTTCCAGTTAGCAACATAGCATCACAGGGCATTACGCAGCCATCAGGGGGCAGCACCAGCACGTCGCCCGGTACAAGCCGGCTGGCACTAACTACGCACTCCTCGCGCCCGCTTCGTGACGGTCGCACAACTGTCACAGTGAATGCGCTCGTGGATCCAGCCATGCGGTGCAAGTTGATGCTCATCTATAAATTGTTTAAGTAGTTCATTACGCTAAAGGCCTCTTAAATTATTACTATATTAAGATACCTATCAACATAAGTGCCCCAATCTTCGCTATACATATACAACATTGAATTAAAATAAAGAAAAAACAGACATTTATAATATAATGGCCATACTGTGGCTACAGCCACTTTCAAAATATTACTATATTGAGTTTTGCATATTGTATTGTAACTAGGAGTATGCAAAAATTCAGCAAAGTTGAAGAGACGGAAATGGTTTTAATACTTTTAATTGAGTTTGCAAGATTTGACTCAACAAACAAATATACATTGCAAATTAAAAACTTGAAAAAAAAAGTGTGCAAAATGTACTTTCCAGCCAATTTTTTATTATCTATAGCTGGAGCAGTAGGAGCAAAATACCTAAATGTGTTTTTTTTTTTTAATTTATAGGTGTTGTCAATAAAATGTATTTCATTACTCAAGTGGTAATGGTACAGCTAATTAAACACAAGAGTTGTCAATAATACCTATTGGAATTTAAGTTTTATTAAAATTATCAGATTTCAATTCTACAGGTACATTGCATCTATGTTTTTCTATAGCATTAGTAAATATATTACCTGTTTCGTTTGATACAACGCCAACATACAAGATACGGCAGATAGAATAAAAACACAAGTCGCATACTGGTAGTATTCATCTAAAGACCAAAGAATTATGGAGAACACTTGGAACAGGTAAAATGGATTGAAGACTTCGTTGATGAACAGTGACCAATAACTCTTCACTTCTACTTCCACTGAATTTGTGCCATATAGTTTAATTCTAAAACAATATATTTTAATATATATTCTATTTGTAACAGTACAGCTTTATACTGTTATTACTTGCTGTTTGAAATAACAGCCTATAAAAATTCTAACACTAGACACAAATTTACTTACAGAAGGATATCAGCATATTGTTACCATACTGGCTAAGTAGCTTAATATAGGATTTTACTTCGAGACAAATAATGTGCAACAAGTGTTACTACTTCTTATATTGGCCATTTTATCCAATTTTCAACAAAAAGAGAATACTATTTTTTGGACATATGTATATAACTGTTTTACACACAGTATGACATTCTACATATATGGAACTGGACAAAAAAAGATAATTTATAGTTAACATGAAATCAATTATAAATATCTATACTACAAAATATATATTAGATATTAAGTAGTAAAGATATAATGTCTAAACACTTTAAAAGGAATTTCACACTTTGCCAAAAAGAATTTAATGTTTATCTTGTTAACATTGAAAAATCGATGAGAATAACATGGGATACCACATACTTATTTGCCAAATGACTTGGGTAAATTGTATATTAAATGAGTTAGGAAACATTACTCACAATTCATTTTGCTGTCGTTTATTAATACCAGATATATTTTCCATCAAAAGACTGATAGTGATCCTCTCATTGAGAGCCAAGACATTAATGAAGCTACCCTGATCATGAAGCCAGATGAAACGGCTATGCTGGTACACAAAGTAGCGTAGTTTGTTATCTTTATGGTTGGATAGGTTCAGATCAATCTCTTTGACTTTTTCTATTTTGAATAAACCATCAGCATCCGTCACTAAAATTATAATAATAAAAATCAATGACAAATTATAGATATTCTTCAATATAATTATAATGAATTAAATAATAGGAATTGTAATTATGAAAATTGTAGAAAAATTAAGCACTACTAAAATGGACTGAACAAGAAATCATCCTTATAAGATGTCCATTAATCTAATATAACGTCGCCAGTTAAGTGGTTTGGTATGTGATTTTGTTTTATTTTTTTATTGCACTTATGTATCTCTAATCATTTCTTATAAAATCCTGGTGGAGATATATTGCATTTTTACTCTGTCACCACATACAAAACAATATACTTAATGAGTTATTTAAAGAGTTCTCTAAAAGTATGGATTATTGATGGAAGTGAAGTAATATTCATGTTAGTTCAGTAAGAAATTACCAGCTTAGCAAAAGTTTATAATTACAAGGTTGTCTGGAAGAGATTGCTTAGCAATGAGACCACCTTTTGTACTACACTATACTTATTGAAAATTCTTCCAACAAGTCCTGTAATTTTTGGTGGAATAAAGCGTTTAATAAATAAGTACTCACCACAAATTTCTTCAGCCGTTTTCAAACCACATTTTACATATTTGAATCGGTTGTAGGAGGGATAAGAAGCCAAAATAAAATATGGAAGGCCACATAGTAATATGCAGAAGGTATGAAACAAAACTCCACGTAATTTCGAATATTTTAGACCATAGATTTTTATAATTTGTTCATCTCCACTGTTCTCCAAAGTTTGCCATTGTGCTTCCCCGATAACCTCATATTCGTCTGAAATTAATACATATATAATAATATATTGTCTCTAGAGATTATTGCCAGTTAGTAGAATTTGCAATGCAAATTCTTAAGTTAAAAAAGTACCAATACAAGACCTAACTTATGACCTTTTCCCATAAGCATTATGGCACCATATGTACTATGGCATTGTTAAAGGTAGAAAAATCTTGTCTTTTATCAAAGATATAAGGAAACTGAGGATGAGTATAAGTTTTTTCACTTATGAAAATATAACACAAATCACAGGTACCTGTTATGTCTACTATTTAAAATATCTATGTAAGCCATTAGCATATTTAATGAATGACCAACCCAGAATTGTCTGGTGCCCATCCCAATATTTAATCAGAGCTTTCAATTATGTGCAAAGACATTCCTGAGACAAATATATATACCTATTGCACCTTTTTAAATGTCTGGAACCTTCTAGAAACAATCTCAAATATGCACTGGTCTAAGCATTCTATCATTCCAAAAGACAGTAGAATGTATAACATCATGACATTCATTATTTAATTTTACAGTACAATTACAATTGTGATTTTTAAAAAAGACAAATTTTACACATTTTAATTTTTTTTTTTGTGTTCAAGATTAGATTATTAGTTATAAACCATTGCAAGAGATGCAGCAAAGCATGATCATAATTTTTGATTAATCTGCCCACATAAAAAATTTACATCTACCCAGGTGTAGCATATTGCTTGCTCAATATATTTGTTATCTTTACATAAATGAGATAGCAAGGTGACTATGGTTCGCTTATTGAAGTATGTCAAGTTACAAAAATACATTTTCCATGACTGATCTGAATTATAGAAGCTTTAAATGATTCAAATTCACCTGATAACAAATTACAGGTTTATATAGATAAACTTACTCTTTAGTAATACCCAACAATACTATACATTGTACATTATTTTTCTATAGAGATTTGTATTCATTTAAGGCAGTTATGCATGAATACAAATTAGACAGCAGATAATAAAATAGATACCTATTAACATCTCTATTTATATATTTTTTTCTATTTATTTTTGGTCATGTGACATACTATAACAATATTGGTATTCCTAATAACTGCTAATGTAATGTAATGGTAATAAATATTGTATATATACAAAATATGAAAATAAATAATTGATTATTTATATGCTATATATTACTAAAACTATCACTTTCATGGAAAATGACATTTCTACCAAAAGATAGTCACCATACATGAAAAATTGTTTTTGTGCTTTGCAATGTACGAACATTATACATCTTTATCATAATTATTAAAAACTAGCAGTTGCCAACAACTTCACCAGTATGTTTGGATCATGTTCACTGATTGGTATAAAAAGTGGCCTACATCCTTCTCCATCTCTTAAAATATATGTATATCAGTTTTCATAGTGACCAGTAAGGTGTCAAGAGGTAACAAATAAACTCACTTTCACATTTATAATATTATTACAGATTGATGAGAGTAACTAAATCGGTTTAGTTGTGGATTAAAAAAGTATTACAATTAATATTAAAGATGATATTTAGACTAATATAAAACAATAAGACTAATGAAGTAAATAATAAGGAAAGCTATATAGGCCAAAGTAAATGGAAATGATCCATATAATGATAACAATATTGAAAGTAACAAAAGCTTGCCATCAGTTATGAGCAACAATCAATTACTGGTATGTATGTAGTCTTATAGGTTATAATTAAGAATTCTGTTGCACAATGTTTTGACAAATGTTTTTATTATTGCAAATTTATTAGATATAAAATCTTAATCAATATAAACATAAAATTGTAGTTATTGGTTATTACTACAGAATAAAAATCACTTCAAGAAGTAATTATTATTACAAAGAAGTACTGTTAGCAAAAGTACATACATGATAAATAGAAAACACCTCAAGAGGTTTTAATATTAAACATAACCTAATAAATAAAGAATAATATTACATACATATAGCCTATCATTCCTATGAAAAGTTATGACCCTTGATATCATTGTCAAGCATAATATATTAATAATCTGCAAGTATTAAAGTATCATTCACAAGATCACAACTTGTAAAATTGAAATTGATAACCCAGTTGCTGGGTCGGTAGCCTTAGCTGTGTAAAATTCGTAGAGAATGTAATAAATGCAGGTTAGAAAATTGTGTAGACAAAATTTTAGCATAATCGTTAATATATTTAATACGTCATTATAATTTAAAATAAAGGAGTTGATTAAATGTTTTTTTATGTACTTCAATTATAAGGTAGTAAAAAGAATTCATTCATAATTTTCTATGCATTCATACCAAATATTCGACATTAATTTTAATCCACAATGTCTTAATTATTTACTTTTTCTAATAAGAAATGTTAGAAAATGTTGCTTATAAAAAGGCACATAGTTTTTACATATTTCAGTGACTCATAAAGTATTTAATCAAGTGTAAAATACGTACCATTGGCGACGGTGGCATTGTTAAGGTTCAGCATTCCCGCAAAAACTGTCGAAGCTTGTAAGACAAAAACTTTAAGGCATATTATTTAGTTGTTGTTATTAAATTACTATTAACCGCTGCTACCTCATTGCAGGTAAATTGTATTATACTGATTTTTCTTGAAATCTCCCAAATCACATTACACCGAATACATGAGACATTGAAGCACAGACAGGGACGGAAAGAAGCTGAGGGGAGGGGAAGGCACCACCATGACGTAAATGTCATTCATAATCGGTCCATAGAGTACATAGTATTTTTTTAAACCGATTCTTTCCGGATACTTACACTAAATACAGCAAAGAACAACTTCCAAAAACAGTTAACACACTTGCTACATTGGAATATTTAGAGATCAGTCACAAGTTGTAAATTATAAAATAATTTGTTTCACTAATTAATTATCAAATTAGTGATTCGTATAATTACTTACCTATTAATAAAAATGCTTCCTGAGTTTAAAATTTAATTCATGCTCTTTACTGGAAGATGGCGCTAATTCTTAAAATTGAATAGATAATATTGATTTGGCGCGAAGCTGTGAACGAATGAAGGATAAGCAAAAAAACAAGGAAAATACAAATATAATGTTTACATAATAGTGATAACCTTTAAGTTTTATTTTCAATAAAAGTATATTAGTAACGAACAAAAAAATGTCTCGTGGCGGATTACGATCTATGACAGAATATTTGGAAATCGCTGAATATAACTATTCATGGCCTGGAGAAAATGGTACCTTTCAAGATTTCGGATCTGTGAATTACACAATGCCATCGGGTAAGCAAACAATAGTGAAATTAACGTTGTGCTCGTAATGGAAAATAGATATTTAATAGATGGTGTTTAAATCTAGGACCATGGTATTGGCCTTGGTGTCCGCTATGGAGAGTTCCGCAGCATCCACTGTTTCAGGTACTTCCCTATTTAAATACTTAAATATATTATTTATGTTTAATTAATATCACTTTATATCTGTCATATCTAAATGAAATATAGTATAAGTACATACCTATATTTGTAAAATAAATTTATAAATAGGTACTTAGTGTACCTTTTTAGTTTATACCAGCCTTTCCTAAAGTGGACGATAACGCTGCAGGCCTAAAGGAAGGCGGTAAGGGATCCAGAAAAAAATAGGGGCGTTGTGTATAGGCTTGGGGGGGGGGTGATTTGTTGATCTTAAAGTAAGTTTTTAAGTAGGTGAAAAAATGGGGGCGCTAAAAAATAATTTATTCTCAAAGTGGGCAGTAGACAAAATAAGTTTGAGAACTCCTGGTTTATACCATAAATAGAACACCAGTCTTGGGGTACATTTACTATCCCTATTTATTGTAAATTCCCAAGGCTGTCAGCTGCTGTGTGGTAAATCTGAATACAAAAAATTGTATATATCTGATTAATTCTTTAATGCTGAAAGAAATCGTTAACAACCCAAATTAATTCAAGTAATTATGCTGGTAGGCTTGCCACAATGAACTACAAAATGTTTATTAATATAATAGGTTTTAATCTATATGTTATATTCATCACAATGGTAATAGCTGTAAATTGTTTCTGACTGTACCATCAGTAATTATATGTGTAAACATAGTTATTTATTGATTATCTAATATTATTTCTGTTGCTTTGATAAAAGAAATTGTCCAGAGAGAGAACTAAGTAATTGGAGTAATCGGGTGCCAATATTATGATTGTTTAAAATACTTGTAAGTATCTATTTAAACTTATTTGGTTTAAGTAGGTACTTTATAGGTAGGTAATTAATCTATTTTTGTTGATAAATCTTTTTATTTTTGACCTACGTATAACTAGTTTCGAGATGCATTCTGAGAGCTTCCAAATAAATAAATGTTAAAAAAGTCTATGCTCAACTTATGAACTCATTACAGCAATAGCAGCTAGTCATCATCTTCATATTTTATTTAATATTGATATTTAATATGTTTATGTAGCTATACACTGTAAATAATATATACATATGTACTTAAATAACAAAATTAATTATTATATATATATATATATATATAATTAACTATTATTTTCTTTACCTATCCCAATAATGAAGTACCACGTTCTTGATTCACTGGTTATCCCAAGGGTTGACTGATAGAAAATACTATTAGCATTAAGTCCGCTTTTTGTGCTATATATTTTTTTGTCAATAAAGGTATTTAAATAAATATAAAAAAAATAAAATTATTTGATACTAAGTACTAATATCGTTAGACAATATTAGTACTTAGTATCAAATAATTTGATTTTTTTCCTTATATATTTATCTACCTATTATTAAATTGAGATAATCTACTCAATTATAAAACGTCTTAGCAAACCGCTTATTAACTATTTTTTCGCAACAACGTAGACATCGATAAAATTTCTAAACTGACTGATTCTAGTTCTTTTGTTTATCTATTTTATCCTCCTTATATTCGGTATTTACGCGAAAAATAAAACACGTCGATTTTTTGATACTACAACTCGTAAAAATGTTTTTTTTTAAGTAATATAAATATTCTAGATACAAATTAACATAAATAAAAGATTTTTGTTGCATATTAATAAATATGTTTAAATCCTTTTAGCTGTCCAATATGTTGTTTGTGGCTTCATATTGCGCTCCAAGTACAAAAAAAGGCCAACTTTGGATGCACACAATTTTAATTTTTGGTAAGTAGCTAATTTCTTATTATTTTAAAATAATTGTTCACGTAGATGTGCGTGGGTACCGATACCGTGGATACCGATATACCGGTATTATCTGCAGTAGTTTTTTAAACATAGAGGAGGCAAATAATCATAGATATAGTATAAATTCACATACCAGAGGGAGACTTTGTACAAAAGTCGATTGCTTGGGTACCTCTGTCCCATTCGTATTTCAACCGTAAAGCAATTGTGTTTGCATGGCTGTGTTTCGGTTTAAAGGGTGGGATATGGCGTGAATTTACTGAGTATGGAGGAATACCACCTGAGTCCTCAGGAATGGCAACGCATGGGGGGTATCATGGGCGAAACAGTATACTCTGTTATGTCTATGGTACTGCTCATGTCTATAGGCGACGGTTACCACTTTCCATTAGGTGGGCCGTCAGCCTGTTTACCATTCTAAGTTGTATAAAAAAATCTATACTTATAATAAATCTGTAGAGAGGTCAATTCTATACATGAAATATATTTCCGAAATAACTATCAGGGGGTGATTAGTGATCGATACTGATGCCAAAAATGTAATCAGTAAAATATTTGTCTGCCTGTCTGTCTGTCTGTCTGTCTGTATGTTCGTTATAGAAACAAAAACTACTCGACGGATTTTAACGAAACTTGGTACAATTATTCTTCATACTCCTGGGCAGGTTATAGTATACTTTTCATCACGCTACGATCAATAGGAACAGTGAAGCAGTGAAGGGAAATGTTAGGAAAACGGGAGAAGTTACTCCATTTTTAAGCTTCCGTCGCGTGTGCAGCCTTAATGGCCACTTTTTAAAATGTAAAAATGTCCACCCGTGCGACGCCGAGACGGGCCGCTAGTAATAAAATAAATCTTATGATAAATGGTCACTAATGTTATTTATACTCGTGTGCCTATTGATTAAGAAACAATTACGCTATGATCTTAATATCATTAAAATAATTTAATTAGTGTATTTATTTGTCTATTAGGTTTCATGCTGTACTCGATATGGGCATGGCATGTTATTTGTTCCCCGGATGCCTTTTCTTGGAATTTCGGCTTCGTGTTCTTGAATCTTGCACAAGTCGTGTACTTAGTGTACGAGATGCGCCCAGTTAAGTTTGATCCGGAACTAGAAGAAGTCTACCATACACTCTTTGAACCATTTAGAGTAAGTTGTTAGCATAAATAAAAGAAATGTTTAAGGCAATATATTTGTGGTTCATATGCGGTTAGAAGGTTCACAAAACCTATTATAAGTAACAGGTTAAAATAATGAATAATAATTGGTTTTATTAAATTAATTTTAATCATCGCAATATTTTTTTTTTCTATTAACAAAAAAGGAGGATTTACATTCCGTTATAATCCAATGGAAAATGGTCATTGTGTATTTTGTATGCGGTAAAACCGCATATGTGAAAAAATAAACTCCAATAAGCACCGTCTGATACTATACTTACCTTAGATTATATAGATTGAGTGTCTCCATACAAATGCTTCGTGAAAAGCGGGTCAACTTTTTCATACAATTTTGCATGATAAATAGTTATGAGTGATTCTTTCATTACTTCTATATTTTTTTTGTCTTATAAATTCCGCACCTTTTGTAATGTACGAAAACTCATTTTATTTATTAAATAATTAAATATAAAATAGATCATTAAAAAAATATTACTACATTTTTTTTATGCACGTAGAAATGCTAGCAAGCTGACGGCCCCTCTGATGTACAGTGATAACCGTCGCCTATAGACATGAGCAATTAGCTGACAACAAGTTGACCTGTTTTTGAGGCTCGATGCTCTATCTGTATAATCTAAGTTACTTAATATACTTCATTACGTATGACAGGTATCAAGATTGCAGTTTAAGCGGATGGTTTCGCCAGATTTCGCACATATTATGTCACTCCATGCCGGCGAAGCGTATGCTTTGCAAAACTTAACTAAGACTGATAGATTAGGACTTCTACTCTCTGGAAAGGTAAATTACATGAAAATATTTTTTTTTACGGAGACAGCAGAAAACGCATTCTGATTTTTTTATACAAATGGCAAAACCGTGGAATTTACTTCAACTGTTTTACTTCTTTTCAACGTGGAAATTTCTGTGGAAAAGTTTGCTTGATATTAGTACAAATAGAGTGAAAAAGACTTAGATTCATTTAGATGTTCCCCTTATTATTTTTCCAACAGGAAAACTATTATGCTTTTTTATGTATCTAAAATTACATTATATATGCATTATAATAGTAAGTGACAGCTTTATCTAACAACGCTTGACTACAGTCGAAGAAAAAAAATTATGGAGGCCTTCGGCAACGAATGTGGATTAGAAATTTTATTTTGAAAGCATAAGAATAAATAAATATCTGTCATCAGAAGGGTCCACATTCGAACTTGTTTCGGTAGTATAATGTGCTATCGTGACTAATATTATAAATAATTTGAAAATGTGTTTATTTGATCGTTATCTCTTCGGCTCAATCAATTGTCACGCGAAAACACATATACGCACTATTTGGAATGAAGAAGGCTCTATCCTTTTCCATTCCAAATAGTACGTACATATATGCTTAATTTTGTGACACAGACTTTTTTTATCCTGTTCAATTATAATAATACATTTCGCAATCACGCGGATAAAGTCGCGTGTAAAAACTAGTAAAGTATACAGATATAAATTCAAATAGAATGGTTTTAGGTATTCATCGGCTCGTCCCCAGGCATGTAAATTTAAAATAATTTTGAACGTTCACGTGCCAATGTTTGCAATGTATAAACTATAACTGTCGCGATACAGCGTACGGTTAACGACGCAAACGTGCCTATAAGCGTAATACGCTTCATCAATATACTTTTCAAAATACCAAATGCTGTCATCACATTATTATTCATGATAGATACCTACTAGTATCTACTTTAGCTTTTCTATGGTCATTGTATTTTTTGGCCATTTTATTTCGAGACATTTAGCAATAACACAAATTTTCCGAGATTCATGGCGTATAAGTGACAACTTATGCTTCTAAATAATTTATCTTTACTTTCTTTCTAAATAATTCTTCTGAAGTAATTAACGTAAGTAATAGTTCGCAAGTTCACTATGTTTGTATATAGGAGTCAAGTTACTATTGACGGTGTTTATTATCATGGATTTGGTGAAAAAGTCGCCTATAGTAAAATTTGAACCACGTCTATTGTGCTGCCACCACGGTTGTGATATTCTTTACACGATTCGAGCTTAGTGACTCGTAACGAATTTTTTAACCCATTAGTCTAGGTTTTTAGCAACACACAAGCTAAAACTGCTGTAAAAAAATCTAAACGATCGAATACACAAACGTCTGCAGTTATAATGTTTACACGTGTTTAAGTATATAATATATATCTCAGACATGTATGTGTATACAAACAACATAAGATTTAAATATAAGAAAAAAAGAAATCAATATATGACCTATCATTAGGATGAAGATATAGACTCATTAGACTAGTTTGTATACGTGAATTTTGGATTTAGGAAACCCAATGTAGTAGACTACTTAAAATGGTATATTAAAATGAAACATATATCAGATTTCAACTTAGATTTTCAGGATACAACTATTCAGTGCAGTAGTTCTTGCGTAATGCCTGAATAAACATACAGACAGATTCAAAAATTCTAAAAATTATAGTTTTGTCTTTAATTGCCTGTGCAAAGTGCTTTTACATAAATTTTTTAAAATATCTCCCACGTACAGAAATCATCTAGTCAAAAAATCAATAAAGTCATCAAACGTATTAGTAAGATGTGAAAGTTTGTAAAGATACTTGTATTTGATATAAGCTATCCTATACAGATACACTCTACTTTAACTGTAGGCGTATTGGAGGGGAAAGAGGGGTCCGTATCCATCCCAGAATTGGCTGATGCAGTACCGACCTCATCGATGCAAACGAAGCTTTAAAAAGATATGTCTGAGAGTATATATGCGCTTTTTAAGGAGCCAGGCCTCCTTGGAAAATAATTTTGAATACGCCAATGAACTTAACAAAATACAGAATGTACATATACTGATACACGCGAGCAAAGCCGCGAGAAATAATTTCTTATAACTTCTTTATATAAAACAGATTAGATAAGTTTTTGCCGAGCAGACTATTCAGACAAAATATAAGATGTTTATCATAAAAAATAGAGACCTAGGCGCGTAAACGTATTCATAATATCCTTTTCCCATAATCATAGCAATGTTATAAACACGACTATATAAAGTTTCTATGTAGATAAGTAGGTTATACGATATACGTCATTATTAGAAAATTCTACAAAGTACTATTTGTGTGAATATTTTTTTTTCATTACCAGGTAAATGTGATGAGTGGTCACCAATTTCTACATCCGATTCTTCCTTGTGAGTTTTTGGACTCGCCTGAATTTGAGTCCAGCAGAGCCACTATTGACGAAAAATTTAAGGTGAGATAATAAAAATTAATTTTCATAATATTGATTCCTATGAGTTTCCAATGAGGAATTAGGTAAAACGATCAGTGTTTTTATTTTATGTCAAACTGATAGCTGTGTAGACAAATAGAAGGTCTAACTAAAATATCTGATTGTAATGGGTGTGTGAATTACCACAATCTTCGCGTATTTTCCCTTTAAATAAGGGTCTTTAGAATAAATGGGATCATACCAGAACGATAACCGAATCCAATGTACAAAAAATATTTAGAAATGTATTTTTTATGTTATTTATTGTGTTCCTAATAGAAGGTATAATGTGTAACACACTCTTAGGGATTGTGTAGGTATTACAATGTTGTTTAGACTGCTTCAATATTAGATTTACATTATGCACGGCATCATGTTGCGAGATCACGAAGCTGCCTTTTATCATATGCCATGAGAGGTTTATAACATACTTTCGAAGTCTAATTTCTTGCGTTCTTGCAAACGATATTAAAATGAGATATTGCAGCTATTAAATGCCAACTCAGTTTCATCTCGGGCCGTAATATCTTTTATGTCAACTGAAAGAATCTTATTTCACGCAAAAATGCTTTAGTGAAAGGAGGGCTTCACCTTGTTAAATAACGCAATGGGGCTAACTAACACGCTCGGGCGGTAAACTGATGAGTTCATTATTCAGGGGAGAAGAGCGCTAGCAACATTGGTCGGAAAGAGCCTCAACCCTCTAACCTATATAAACAAATGTTACAGTCGATGGATGGAGGCATGGAGGTCATGCTAATGCCAACTATAGATGCCAAGTTTGATGAACGGATTTATACAAATACATAATGGATATCTTTTTTACTAAAATGGATGAAGATAGCTTATAAATATTTCGAAAAGGAAAAACATTTTTTTAATATCTTGTACCATTAGACGATATTAATTCTATTGTCATAGGTACAAAATTATTATAGATTTCAATATTAGATGAACAGAAGAGAAAGAGTCGAAATTATATATTACTCATTCTCTTACTCATAAACTTTAACTCAAAATTTCATTCTTATTTCCTAATCAAATGGAAATATTTTGTTTTTCTTGAATTAAATTTCATTTGACTGTTACAACGGGCGCTCCAAATATTTTCCTGCAAATTTAATCCACCGTTTCAATGTTACGGAAATGAATGGCAACCAAATTAGAATTTTGGTGTTTTATAATTGTTTTAATTATTAACTATGAATAATAAACTTATTTTTTCATGGCCTAGATTCTAATTAATAAAGGGATTTTTTTTCTTAATATACTATGTCATTTCTAACAATATTGTCATACAAAGACTATATAAATATATATAAAATAATAAAAATATAAAAAAGAATAGGACATAGATAAACATATATCATAGTGTAAGGCGACCGCAGAAAATTCTTCGAAGTATAATATATAAAATACTTATTATTTCCATTTCATTATATAAAATAAGTGTGTTTATAGAGTCTATATCTTTATGCATCATTACTTCTACCTCTATCTATCTATAAAGCATACGAGTTTAATTTCGCGATCGGTTTGCTGTGTAGTACATCACGGCTCGCTTTGGCATTACCTACCTACCCCATTCCGGTGACCTATTTGTTGTCTGATATGGCTGTGTAACAGCCAAAGTGGCTATAAATGCAAGAAACGGGGTTAAATATCGATGAAAGCTGAACAACGTTACGCTATGTTTGTAGTGATTAAATATACTCTTTTAAAGTACTTTTTAAGCGATTTATTGATCTAGTGGAAAGATTGTAAGGTAAACAGAAAATATGTCGATAGGTGCCAAGTCATTAATGAAATATGATTCTTATTCACTTTTGATGTTCTCTATTCCATGATTCTAAAGAAAGTTGGTGTTTTATTATTGTTTTTTATTGTTTTCGAACGTTCGGACGAAATTTATTTACGTATATTTTTTCTAAAATTAAAAAATAAAATAACAGAAACTGGATACGGATAGGACGGGATAGAATAGTAAATTTGTTTGCACTATTGGTATACGCTAGCGGATTACTAGTGAGGGGTATTAGATTAAACTGAAGTAAAGGCGGTTGCCAACGCAACTGCCAAGTGTGTCAACTACTGACAAAGGCCTATGTCAAGCAGTGGATAGTTAACGGCTGATATGATGATAATAATAGTCAGTTGGTCCATCGTGACGAAATACACGACGATTTTTCAGAGGCAACCATGAGGAGGTTGACCTGAGAGGTTGTTAAAAACCAATTACTCGCAATAATGGCCGTTGGATTAGTTTTCAGTAATTGTTTCGCCCTGCCGTTCTTCTTTTATTCTTACAATATACATCTACCCATCGATATTATAAATAGACATATATTCTATATTAAATTCTTATTATTATAAATTAACTTAAAAATTTGTGATGAACAGGTGTCAATAGTAGCTGCATCATCATGTCGATACGTATATTGGCAAAGAAGTTCACTTGAATATCTATTTGTGAAAGAGCCTTACCTTGCTTGCGTGGTGACCACATTGATAGCCCGCGATATCACTACCAAACTGTATGCTATGAATAATAAAATAGTAACAGAGAGGGGATCCCATTTAGACATAAGGTTGCCGAGTATCTCCCACGCTCTTGCTCGGAGTCCGAGGAGGCTCCGGTCAGCTTCTAAGCCACCACCGCCCACAACAGTCCAGCCGGTTCCACCCGAGAAAAGACCTAGTAAGTATTATTACTTATTATTTAACACATGCGGCCTACCATATAAACCCGGATTAGAATTGATGTTCTCGCGAATTCTTATTAGAGTTAGCGTCCTTAAACAGTTAGGACTGGCCGCTCTACAATCTCTACAAAACAACTTTAGATAGCCGTGTACATGAATGACAGTTGTGTACCTTTTTTCAATTTATATTTATTAATTTAAAAACAATCTTATATTATTTACCATATTTGTGATATATTGTTATTATTTATTGTTTTTGTACAACCCTATTTCGATTTCGGAGACTGAATTTGAAAAAAGTGTATATTTTGAGGGCAATGTTTCAAACACAAATCAATTCATTTTATTTGTACGTGAACATTTTATTTTTATGCCTGTAATATGCTGATAATATATTGCTTTTTTTTTAGTTAAAATACATAATTAGTTATAACTAACACTATTTAATGTCTATATAAAGAACCTCCATGGTAATATAGTAGGCACATTCCTTTGCATAGATTATCGAACCTGGATCTTAATTCTCGGTTGAGCCAATTTAAGAAATGATCTTCCTATATTGTTTCGAGTCTCTCAACGCACACCTTAAATAAAATTACGCGCGCACCAATACGCGGTAAACAGTCCATCTATTTAAAAACTAAGAAATTTTAAAGATGTACTAAAATTCTGTAACAAGGAAATTACATCCTCAAAATGTTTTGTTTCTAGCGATTTCAGTCACATAATATTTATTTATATTACGTATTTTCTGTATGTTTATATTAGTCTAATTATATATTTATAATGTATAAATATGAGTATGTTAAATATTAATATATGTTTTTCAATTGTTGAATGCACCGCCTACCTATTCATCTGTTAGCCCAATGGTTAAATGGAAGAAAACACCAACCGGTGTCCGCCAAATGTACAAATAATTACATTGTGCAAATAAATAAATCTTCGCCAATTCTGAATCTATTTTGACAATTTCTTTTTGCAATCAACAGGATTTATTTCCGTGTTAGTTCAATAATATTTTTTCTGTAACTAAAATAATAGTTTTTTTCCTAACAAAACCTAAAATTATTATAAGCTCTATTACATAATCGATTTCTGTACAAAATTTTATTATTATCGATATCGAGTCGTGTTATTTTTTCTGATAGTAGATATAAGTATATAAGACTGTGACATTTGGCACGCTTCTATATGTATATAGCGTATCTTGGTAATAATACAGATTGCTGGAGTCGTGAAGCCGATTCTTTAATCAACACGATAAAACGGAACGGTATGACCACCCCTACCTATGGCGGAGGAGACGAGGAGCTAATGCCGTTAGCAGCTCACGAGGCTCCGGCCGCTTCATCTGACGACCTCTCTATAGCTGACAGCTGTCCTGATACTTCCTCCAAATACCACAGCTGCGAGGCTGTAGAAACTGATGATGAACTCAGGCATTGAGACCGCAAATTCTATATATTTACCAAATGTATATAAAGCTCTGCTTAGTTTGGGTATAATTTGGCTCTCTGCTATACTTACAGCAATTTATTTATAAAAAAATAATTGTACCCAATTGTTAGAGCAATCATGTTATAAATGTAAAAAATACCATTTAAATCCGTTCTACTGTTATGCATACAAACAGTATAATTTTTAGTAAATTTTACATTTATAATATTAGTAGGAGTTAACAAGATTAATAAATAAATAGTAATATTGTTTCAATATCTAAAAATATTATGATTATATTATTAGTTTCATTAGATACTTACGAGTATTACTTCACAATGTATTAATCAGTTGGAACTTATTTTATAGTAATGAATTGTATTAAATGAAGACATAAATTGCTGAAGGTGATATGTCACATTTTTGGATTTTCGCTATTAAATGCATGGGCAGGTGACGTACGCGCATACTAACAAGTATAAGCTATAGTAATAGATTGTAAACGTAAGTTAGTATGTACAAAGCAACTCCTGCATCCATTCATAGAATAGCGAAAATCCGAAAATGTGATCTATCACCTTCATCTATTTATGTCTTTAAGTTATAAGACTTGTTCACCTACATGCCTTTATTAATAAAATGGTAACTTAACATTATATACTCTGAATAATATATTTAGTTTGAAAGTTATCTTGTAAGTGATCATGGAAGCCTATTGCATGTACAAGTCGTAGTATTCAACGCAATATATAATGGCTGATACGTAGATGACCTTTATATCGTTGTACCAATAACATGTTGATATATCGTCGAACTCGATGAATATGAAAAGATTTGAATGTTTATGATATCAAGTACATAAAGGAACGAATATGGATATTCATTTTGATCAGAACATATTTTGATATTAGCAACAAAGAATGTGAGTGAAAATGTATAGTTTTATTTTTTAAGAATCTGAAAACATTTTTAGATTATAATTGCTCCATGTTTATTAAATACAGTTATATTTTATTTTAAGGAGGATAAAAGATAATGTGAAAATTAAAATTCAATATCTTTTAAATTAGTATAGAACTCTTTCTACAATGCTACTTATTTCAAGTAGTCGTAGAATTTAGAAATGTTATTAAAATATGAAATGACGAGTATTATTATTAGTACCCGTCCATTTCAAAATATTTTTTTTAGTAATACATTATGTAAATTTTAATATAAATGTTATATTTTAATAATGTCTAATACAATTTGCAATTTATAAAATTGACATGTGATTTAATATAAAATATTAGTTGTTCCCCGTGGCTTTAGAATCAGTTAAGTATTTTATATATTAAGATATAATGTATCCGTGCACCTAATTTCATTGAAATTTAAAGTGGTTTAAATCCAAACATATTTACAAACTTTCATATTTATAATGTAAGGAATAATTTTAATTCTCAAAATTTTATTAATATGACAAAGATATTGATTTGTGATATATTGATAGTCATTTTGTTGGATTTATAGATTTTTAATTTGATCACATTTATAATTTTAATATGATGGAGCGGTAAAATAAACTATAACGTGATTATGATGTAGCAAGTAATAACCACCACTCTTTTCTATTACGTTATTAATGGCATTTGCTACTACCCACCGAGTGGACTGTAAAATATACCTATTCTAGGGTTGCCAATTACTAAAACGTAATGTTTTTTTTTAATATTATTTATTTTATAAATTATGCGAATAGGGACAATCGGGGATGGAAATTTAGACTTTATAGGGTGGAAATATTCATGAAATCTGTGACAGAAACAGTCTACTTGATTACTGAAAACACAGTGACGCTTATAGGACCTCTTTGAACTCTGATATTACTCCTGAGAACCAGGTAACGAGATTGGTAGACTTGGTATCTTACTCTTGAACAACGAACGTGATAACTTCAAGGAGATAATTAAACACTATTTTCTCCAGAATACTTGGATTTATAATAATTGGAGAGTTTGAATCTACGTTATTTTAAGACATAGATTTCACAACATACCGAAAAATGTCTTGAAACAAAGTTTAAGTAATATATCTAATATTACTACTTCGTACAGTATGCTTTCATTCCTTTTATCTCACATATGACTAGGTATATAAAAAAAAGAACGCTCCCTGTTTGTTATTTTATTGTATGCGAGTAAACGGAGTAGTTTTTAAATAAACAATGTATTTTAATATTATTGAAATTCGTTCGTTAAACTGTTATTTATAAATAAATAACAGTTCAACAAACTTGTATCTCAAGTCTTTTTTAATAGTTTGAAAAGATCGATTATAAAAATGATAATTATAACACTAAAATGACATTGCCTAGAATTAGGACAAAGCCAACCTTGGCAACCCTAGATAGGCTGTAACTGGACAAACTAATCAATCAACTTCTCTCTGTGTTATCGTTGCGAGTAAAATATTTCGATAATTTATGAAGTCACTCATATATAAATATATTAAATAATTCTTATTGTGTTTTGTACACAGTATTTTTATAGAATGAAGATAATAAAATATAACATACGATATAATTTTTTGTAGTCGCAACACTTTAAGTTTTATAAATGCAGAGTCTCAAATGATTATCTACATATAGCTGTATACTATCAGGTGCTTGTAAATGTTTTTTTTTTATTTATTATATACTACAAGTTACAGTATTATTTTGTTCAAACCTATATACAATTATATTAACAGGAAAATATATTATTTCAAAAGTATATGTATCTGTAGTTTTATTAAGTCACACAATATTTTATTTACACTTAAATTATCCCTTAAATATTTTTTATATATTTGTACTTATGAGGTCAAGAAATATAAGGTTTAGAATAATCGAAAGTTTCTTGTTTTTGTACTCACTGCCCGGTTGGCTTCATTTTCTAATAATTTAGTTTATAGTTTAATTGATCACAAATTATCAACATTCAAATAATTAAAGTCGGTACATATTGTAAAAACGAGCCAACCTCCAACCTTCTAATCCTATGCCATCTGTCGAATTAAACACTTATGGTGTAGTCGTTTGGCGCGAGCCTTCGGTCACAGTGCCAGCAATAGAAGCAGATATCCGCTCTAGAGTGCCAAACACCAGATGCAGGACTTGCAGCCAAATGAAGCCCATCTAACTAAACTCTACGTAAAGACGTATGTGTTGGCCCGGTGCTTTTTGGCTAGTGTTTCGCAGTGGAGGTTACTTTTGCACAAATTAACTTTAGATCATCTTCACTAATAACTGCCTACAAATAGTTATTATTGTAATTATTTTTTTATGGAATATGAAAACATAGCTGACGGTCTACATTAACACGAGTGGTAACCAGTATCGAGTGGTAACCTTGAACAGTACCGTAGACATTACAGAATATTATCAACATAATACCTAATGCGTTCCCATTTCTGAGGACTAAGGTGTTATTATTTTTAATGGATGATAATAGAATGGTAACCCAGCCTGCGTTAACGGTATACGCTGGCGGGACACCAGTGAGGGATGATAGGTAAGAATAGAAAGGCAGGTCAGTTAGCCCATCGTCATGGGCTAACTGACCTGCCTTTCCATTCTTATAGGACTAAGGGTGTTTAATGGTTAAGTAATGGGTAGTAGCGTCCCATTTTAAAAAACCATCAAAGTCTAACTGCAGTTGTCAACCAGCCTGCCAAGTGTGGCAATTACTGGCAATATCCTCCAAGAGGGAAGCTTATGTTCAGCAGTGGACAATTAACAACTATTGATGTAGTATAGTCACTTTGGTTTGTCTTTCTTACCTTCTAATTCTGATGGTAAACTGTCCATGATCATTTATTTATATTTAAACTAGTGATCCGTTCTGGCTTCACACGAGTGGATAGATAGCAACATAATAGTTTATATTCATTTTAATACACAAAATTTTGTAATCATGAGTTCGATTGTAATTTTTGTAAGGATCTCTAATTTTTAAATAAATAATATTTAGGTTATTTTACTTGCTAATAAAATGTAGCTTTCAGTTTTTGAATTTATCCACTATAAGCACACAAATAAACAATCAAATTTTTCTTCCTTATAATATTAGTATAGATATATTCAGTAATTATACTTGAAATATTTATAGCTGCCTTTTCCTATCTATTACTATGACGAAACAAGCAAGGACGGGAAATACCTAGAATTACCTTCATTAAAAATGTGCAAACCTCCCATAGCTTACATAACATCGATTTCACAGGTACTGACTAGTCGGCCTATTAAAGTTTGCCAATCGTGATAGAATGAAGCTGCTTTACTACTTTTGGATTTATGGCTAAAACAATAGATAACTCAGCGCTTATACCTAAGTAGTTTAAAACAAGAGACATGTTAATTCTCTCAGAGAAATTAATCATATACTTATAAAACTATTTAGGAAATAATTTTATGTGAACTAACATTAATGCAATGCTGTCAATATTTCATTATTAAAATGCTATTTGGTCTCGTGCCTCGTCTAAACAGTTACTATTCAAAGACTGTAGTTTTATTCATCAAAGCCCGATTTTAATTCTCAGATGGAACTCTTTTGTGATTTATATTTCGTATTGAACAAACAGGCCTAACAGTATTCATTTATGAAGATCGAGTATCGCAGTGGCTTTTTCTGAATAAAATTAATAAAATGCTTTAGAGACAAGTAGGTAATTCTTAACCAAGTTGTAACTTGCGTAATATACTTGTATTCAATTCTGCTATAATTCAAACTTTGTGTCAATTTACCTAAATTTTAGATGAAATCTTTGATCTCAGATAAAAACTGATGGACGTAGATACTGGTAAGATATTTTTCGAGATGCTTTATTTCTCTCTAAAACTATTTATAATAAAAAAGAGAAATTGATCGATTAACAAAACTGCTGGATTAAACAATATATAAAGATTGCATAGAGGATACATGCATTATGTGAATTAAATTAGTACTAAAAATAGATATTTTAAAATTCCCACAAAACGTAATAAGGCATCCTGTTTGGAGCAGAGGGAAATAACATAGTATATATAAGACTAATACACATAGGCGCAATAATAATAATTTATGTTTCTCGTCTTTAGAATTGATATGAAAGTAATGTTTTTGTTGTTGATTTCTTTGAAATGAAACGAAAAACTTTTTATAATGAGCCATATTTATAAATGATGCTATTTTATTACGTACAGCTATTACTTTGTAATCATTTTGCTAATATTTAATCGTTCTTGCGTGACCTGTTTCTGTAGGCTATCAAAAGTTATGATTTTATTAAAAAAAATGTTATGATTGCAATTTAAAAATGGTTTATACAGCACTATTGGCCTCCATACAGCAAAGGTACTTTCAATTTAACCTCGAGGTAACGTGTATTATCAACCATGCAAACTTACGATAATAAAGTCGTGGGTTTGATTTCTAGTCGAGTCGGTTTAGTTTTTTTTTTTTAATGAAACTGTTTCAGTAGTCAGAATTAAAACTGTCGTTTATTAATAGAGCATTAGGAATTCTATAATAGGTATTATTCAATAAGAAAATTGAAAAAATGTATATAAAATAAATAAGGCTAGAAATTAATTTACAACGGCTTGCTCAGATTTATGCTAAAATGACTTTACAATTCAATATAAATGAAATTTATGTTTTTCCCTAATTCTGAATTCTAAATCGATCGTAATAAAAAAAAATATTGAAAAATGTTAAAAGATTTTAGACACAAATATACGTTTTTGTTTTTATTGTACTTGCTTTGCTTTTATTATATTATATTGTGATTGTTTGCAAACACGACTGAGTAAAACAACACATTATGTTTTCTGTTTAAATCATTGTGGTGGTAAGTAAACTTATCGTTCACATGATTGCAAGCGGTTAATATATATATAGCCTATGAACGCCTGTAATATCAGAGGCATTATGCGCGCTTCGAAAAAGAGGATATAGAGGTTTGTTCAGAGAAAAGAGGTTTCACAGAGAACATTCGGGTTGTCCATGTTGGTCTGAATCTGTGTACTCATTTATAATGATATTTTATCGAGATAGAATATTAATAGTAGTTATGACGTCGGAGCTAAGTATAAGTACGTTATATTACTACTATGCGCCGGACAGTTACTTAATCTAAATGGCGTAGGCCAAGATGGAACAAACAGCTATTATAAATGATTAATTTGCTAATAGAAAGACTACATTTTTTTTGCTTTAAAATTTTGTATTTATATATTTTGATTTTGTTGGAATCGATGACGTAATTAACGTTATTTACCTTTAATTCTATTCAATTCAAATCAATCATTTATTGCGATTTTATTTTGGCAGTACGCCATTTTTTATACTATGTCATTACTCAGATAAAAGTACTATGTAGCATATAACAGCAATAGCAGTATTAACAGTCCTAACATAGTTAATGGGTGAAGGGGTTTATTAGTAGGTCTAGCTGCTCTATTACTAGCAATAAACCCAATAAGGTCATTTTTAAATTTCATCTTGGATACTGTAGTTATTAATACATGGTTAATTTAATTATGTCACAGTGGGTCAACTGACTTCAATCTCACCTAATTCACCATTCACTAGCACCCAGTAAGCGTAGTGCCATCTATCTATATGTCGGAATTATAATTCCATTTTCATCCCATAAAAATACCCAATTGGTGGAATACGGGAAACTTGAAAGTAAATGGAACATTCGGGTCGATTCCGTCATTTCTTTAAACCTATCTCTTATCATTAATTTGAAAGCTCTGCGTAATTATTGTCTTCTGTGCATTATTAATTAAACTTCGAATAATTAATCATTGAAATTTTGATTTAATTAAATTAAAATTTCAATTTTAAAAAAGATTTCGTTCTTTAAATTGAAATTTTAATTTTAGAGAATCACACAAATAACCACACCGTCAGGTCTAGTGTAATTACTTAAATTAAATATATATAATATAAAAATAGCCCCTATAAAGAATTTGAGTTAGGTTTACAGAAATGGCTTCTCAGAATCGACCTTAATATCTGAATAGGTGCTTAATATTCGTAATGTGATTTTAATTTAAATCCTCACTGCTGCAAATTGTTTTCTTATGTCTTATTATGAATTTATATATAGGTAGTTATCACCTAGATCTCTTATCTTTTTAATTGTTACAACCAAGGTGATTTTACAAAGCGATGTTGATGATAGAATCAGATCAAGTCAGGCCGGACTGGTCAAGGTTGACTTGCCCTGCAGTTGAGTACCACTGCGAAGCTTCCTTATCCACAACACCGTACTATATTTGAGCATTACGTGCGATTTACCATTTCAAGCCTTATCTGATGACCTGTACCCATACTAACAAAGGAGCTTTTTTTTTTTTTTTTTTTTTTACAACACAGGGGGCAAACGAGCATGCGGCTCACCTGATGGTAAGTGACTACCGCCGCCCATGATCACCCACAACACCAGCGGCATTGCAGGTGTGCTGCCGGCCTTTTAAAAAGGAATATACTCTTTTCTTGAAGGTTATGTTGTCGTATCGGTTCGGAAATACTGCTGCTGGAAGTTGATTCCAAAGAATGGTTGTGCGTGGAAGAAAGTGCCTTGAAAAACGCACGGTGGAAGACCGCCACTCGTCCAGATGATTGGGATGAAACTTTAGTTTGTGGCGGGTTGTACGGTGGTGAAAATCAGCAGCAGGTATCAATCCGAACAATTCCTCAGAACACTCCCCATGATAAATTCGGTAGAAGATGCACAGAGATGCAACATCTCTGCGCAGTTTCAGTGGGTCGAGTCGGACAGTAAGGCGTTGACTATCGATAATTCGAGCCGCCCGACTTTGAATGCGGTCTAACGGAAGGAGTTGGTACTGTGGCGCTCCTGCCCACAGGTGAGAACAGTATTCCATATGCGGCCTGACTTGGGCTTTATATAATTTCAGGCGGTGTTCTGGCATGAAATATCGTCTCACCCTATTGAGTACTCCTAACTTTTTGGAAGCTATCTTAGCCTTCTCCTCCAGATGACCGCAAAACTGGACGTCGCAAGATATATCAACGCCCAGAATTCCTAGACTCGACTTTTTATCAAGGGAAGTGCCCTGAAAGTGAGGAGATACGACAAACGGCGTCTTTTTTGCGGTAAACGCGCAGACTAATAAATAATACTGGAATAGCGCTTTGAATAATACTGGACTTAGATCGATACACTCGACCCGTCGAGTCTTCAAATTGCAAAACTAAGCCGTGTGAACAGTTTTTAAATATATAGCAATCGAAGAAGAACATGACTTATTTTCAAAATAATGTTGTAAAGTACCTACGACTTTTTTCTTTCATAAACAATGCTTCAGAAAATAGACGTCACCAGACATCAAAAGTTAATTATCATTTTCATTATCATAAGAGTAACCTAGTCCTTATTGTTATGTCATTATTATCAACATCTGAAATGTCTATTAACCAAACCGAATGCATTCGTAATTAAATTGTAGAAGGAATTTTATTATAGATAACAAATTTTTAACCTCCCATTGAAGACTATTATAAATAACCGAAAAGTGCGGATTTGAATCCAATTAGTTCGAGTTGTCAGAAGGTAAAATTTTTCAACCTAATACATATTAATTTTGTCACAATTGATGCCGAAGCTATTTTTGCAGAATAAAAACCAATAGTTATTTAAAATTTATACGTAGTTGTTTCTAGACTAGACGAGTAGTTCAATGTGAGCATGCATGCAAGATGCTCGGAATAATACATGATTCAAGCGGCCTTGGTCACGCTGTTCTATGTAAGTAATAATTAATGTATCACATTTCTGTGTGCATATAGTAGAAGGGGAGGCTGCAGGTTCTGGCGTCTGCGGCTGCAAGGTCCCTCGCCGGCGGCGTCACACGCCACGCGCTGGATTCTTGCCAGCCGCTAATCGTCACGCAGTTTATTCAATCCGAGGGGTCCGCTTTCACCATTTTTGAATTCATACATATAATTTATTATTAATACTTTCAAAAATCGGTGAAATTTTGTAAAATTATAGAGTATATTGTTATTTAGATTTTCTATGGTAGTTTTTGACTATGAAAGTTGACTTCAAATAACAGAAAAAGTCAAGGTCAAATAAAAGACTTCTCCTTTCACATTATTGTTAATAGTAATATTAATATAATAAAAGAAAAAATAAAATTAATGTAATTATAATTTTAAAATCTAAAATGCTATAGATGTATCTTTAATATTTTCCTTTTATAAATTTTTGATTTTGAAATAAAGGCTTTTTGTATTTGAAATGAAAAATTATAGCCGATTTTTGCATCACGCAACGGTACGCTAAGTATCTATTTTGCTACCTGAATGCTTAGCTACGACGACTAAAATTTGTACGGATGTTATTTTTAGATACACATTCTTTAGTAGGTACAATGACACAGGTCCCCAGTACAGTGTCATAATTTTGTTTGAACCCTTTTTATTTAAATCTATAATCATTACATATATATTAAGATAATCATGATTGATTAAGATTTTGGTTCCATAAAAAACGCCGAGTTCGATTACGGCAAAAGCAGGTATTTTGTTTTAAAAAGTAAACTAGTGAACCGATTTTAATAATATTTGTAAGCTTACTAATTTGAAAGTACATCCTTTCAGATAAAAAGATTTTTTCAAATCCGTTTATAAATGACAGAGGTATGAGGTAACAAACATAAAAAAACAACCGAATTTGAAGTTGTTTGAAAAACGGTTCAAATAAAATTATAACGTGGTATGGGAGGTTTATAATTTTCATCATTATCTGTGATGAGTTTATCTGATTTTAATGCTATTTACATTGAATGAGTAGTTTAATGGACGACAGATTGGTTCTTAAGTATTTTAATAAAAACATTTTCAGTATTTCTTGGAGTTTTAATGCTTATATTCATAGTTTTTTAAAATAGGAATAGCATTATTACATTAATATAAAGCCATGTTTCATGTCATTTTCTTCTTTAGTTCCATCTTTGTCAAAAAATATTTATTAAGTAGATCTAACTTACTAAGTAGATATATGTATTCAGGCAAGTGAGTACCATGCAGACACATAAAGTTTTTTTTTATAGTACAACAGCCAAAATGTCAACTGTCACCCGCCCAATGCTACGATGTGCAGAATATAGTACTTGTGCATTTTTGGAATACCAGACTGTGTACCTGACTGGAATGCATGAAGCTGGATGCTACACAACATATTCTATAAGTACATTAGTAAATCGATAGTTATACTAGTAAATTTATCTTTGAGAGGATAGAAAAAAAATGTTAATTAATGAGAATGAAGTCGCGAGTACTACTAGTAATATAAAATACTCGTAATATGAACGTGCTCTAGTAACTTACCTTTTCCTTTGACGTTTTACTTGTTTCATTACCGATATGGCTCTATGTACATTTCTCTCAGCGAAGCATTTAAGTTCAATAAATAATTCTTTATTCATGTGATGTTAAAATAAAATAATTAAAAAATATCTATATTTTTGTTTTAGAGAAAGTTCGATATAACTCAGCGAAAGGAACATTGTTTTAAACAAAATAGCTACATATTTTATCAATATTTTCATAAAATAAATTTAAATTAATAACGACGATTATTTTCTGTATAAATAACTCGATTTCATGGTCGATAAGCGAAACATTTGACTGGTTGCAGCTATCGGACGAGTTCATGTCGTACAATAATTTTATTGATAATATCTAAGTAGGTAGTAGCGAGATGGGAGTAAGGGTAGGTGAGGGGCGTCGGAGGCGGCATGAGGGGAGCGCGCGTGCGTGTGGTGCCGCCGCGCCCGTCTCGCAGGAGAGCGGAGAGCAGCGGGCGAGCGGACAGTCAGTAGTGCCGCGCGGCGTCGCGCTCCACCGCCGCCCAGCGCCGCTTGCGCCTCCGACACACGCCGCCCGCCTTTTACTATGCAACTCGCGTGCCGCGCTCACTCGTGTTGTGGTGCTTTATGATGGTACGGTATGAGAGTGCAAGATATGCGGACGTTCCGTGAGCGACGAGCTGTCGAACTCGCCACCGCCACCGCCACAAGTGGGCGGAGAGACGGGACGCGTCCTCGACTACTCAGGTGAGCAGCCCTTCACATCTCACACCGCTGCACGTTGGGCAAAAATTCTACGATCTCGAGGTCGATGTAAAAATCTCACCTACCAAATATCGCAGTAAATAAGTACAAAAATTGTAATAGCACTGCTACGAAATGCGTAGCAAGTATTACGTGCCAATTTATTCATTGTCACATTTCTATATTTTTCCATTTAACAAAAAAATATCTTGTATAATACAATACAGATGTGGGTAAATTTTATTAGATCCTATCAGCTATTGTGCTACCCTTGGCCAGTTTGGCGTAGTTTACCTGGAGATTACTATCTCCAAAAGATCAACAGATGAGATTTCTTGCCTGAATGCGGCATGAAGTATCCTACAAAGTGAACTGTCATTATAAATGTACTAAATGGAAATTATAGTAACTGAAAGCCAAGAACTTTAGCATGGAGAGTAGTACTCATCTTTTTTTTAATTTTTTGATACCACATCGTAATACTATTTTAAATATTTATAGGATGTTACGTAAAAGAAAACATCTTTAAAATGTGTTATTCATAAAAAAAAGTGAGAATGGCTGAATACATACTCGAACATAAAATTTGTATATGTAAAAGAATTTTTTTTAATTATATTTTTAGATCGTTACTATTGTAGGTACCTATTAGGTATTCATATTATTCAGCATACAAAGTTACTATGGTATTGACATAAGTATTTATTTTTAATATAGTAAGGATAATAGTTATTTGAATATTTTGAATAATTGCAACTATTACAAGGATAACTAAACCAATTTTATTGTTAAATTCAATAGTCAAATTAATAATATTTCTTTCTGCTTTGTTACTATGTTATTTATATACCATCTACTATCATAATAATCCATTTAAACATCCCGTTACAAGACACGAAGTAAGTTATACCTAAAACTATTATTTACTATATATTTACCCTTTACAACAATATTCCATATAGCGGCCTGAGTGAAATCAGCGTGTTTATGTCAATAAAATTTGAAAGCATATTTGTAAAAGTGCTTTGAATCGTGACTTGTGAACCGTCACGCAATATCGGGAATACAGGTTATCTTTGAGTCGGAAAGCTTTCATTCCATCGCCATCAATCTTAGGTCTCCCGAACGTGACAGGATTGATAGTGCACTACCAGTATATTATTATGTATGTACTTTGTATACAGGTATGTAGGTCTATTTTACATAATATTATTTTATACTGATGTACATAACTAGGGATAAATATATTGATAAATAGCATCATAATCTGTCATTGAGACCAAAAAAATAAAGAAAAATGTTATTAATGAAACATTAATAACATTTTTCTGTTTTAACCTGTGAAAAAGTGGTTTAGTAATAATTTAATGATTAGCTATTTGTAATATTATTTAAAGTCTTAAAATGGAAAGTTCAAAATACCTGTAATTTAAATAAAATTAATCTTAATAATATATTTTCATATATTTTTTAAAAGTTATAATTATTTATATTCAAACTTTATTTATTTTCAAACTTGTATACTAACAGGTCATGACAACATTACAGATAATTAATAATAAAAGTAGTAATATGACTTAAAGGATCTTAACACAAATTATTAAAGTTTAAAAGTAGTTACTATACATTTAATTCATTTAAAATTGGTAGTACATTTATTTTTCCAGCGCCCGCCAAGTATCTAGACTCGTAGGCACGTGCCTAGAAACCAGTAAATAATCTATGCTCTAGGTATAATCTCGAAGTTGGGGTGTAATTCAGGAAGTGCTTACAGGACAAACATCCCATTTAGTATACTGTACTAATGACACTACTAACGTACCTGCCTCTGCGAGTCAGTAATTAATTATATTATTTCAGTCATTCATTGTCCATTCCTAAATATACAAAGGCTTCCTTATAGTTTATTTCAAAGAATACTCTTAAGTAACTAGATTTAGAATTATATATATATATTAAATTAAATATATATAATATATATATATATATATATATATATATATATATATATATATATATATATATATATATATAATATAGGTAGTTTTTTTTTATAAAAATAATAATGATATATAAGCAAGTTTGTAGCACTATAAATATATATATGAAACGGTTAGTTGGTTAGCATTTACAGTTTGTAATAACTCTATCGTTTACATTAAACCGCTGAACCTATAAATATAAAATGTTTTGAGAAGTTATTAAAAACAGTCAGTGCATGTCGGAACGCGCGAATAGGTTTTTCTGACCAGCATAAAAACTTGTTCAATTTCACTGTTCTGCATGACCTATTCTGCATAGCTACTCCATTATAAGTTGAACCCTATTTACTACAGACGCATATTTATTGAGAATCATCCCGTGGTAGGTGAATTCATTGATTTTTCACTAGAGGGACACAACGTACAAAAGGCGTTTGCTTGGTTACCTCTGTCCCATTCATGTTTCTATCGTGAAACTGTTGTGTTTGCATGGCTGTGTTTCGGTTTGAAGGGTGGGATATATCAGTGAATTTACAAGGTACAGAAATATAATCTCTTAGTCATCAGGAATGGTAACGTATGCGGCTACCATGGGCGAAACAGCATACTCTGTTATGTCCATGATACTGCTCATGTCTATAGGCAACTGTTACCACTTTCCATTAGGTGAACCGTCAGCTTTTTTGCCTTGCTAAGTTGCATAAAAAAATTGCGTAAGAGCAAAGGGTAAGAGGTAAGAGTAAAGGTAAAATATTGATTCATTCCTAAAATTCTTTCAGCAACAGAAAAAATGCTAATAAATAATAGTATTATATCTCTAAAATAATTTATATCACGTAGTGTAGGGTCTATTTTATTTTATACAAATGGTTAAGCACGAATAACAGCTTTTTACCGCGATTTTACACACGTGTACTTGTTTAGAATATAATTAATAATATTTATTGTATTTTCTTTTAGTAATTTAATACGTGTATTTCACGAACGGCATACCTTATTTGATGAGATACTGAGTATTTGAACTATCTACGTGGCGGGAAAATATTTTAAAAATATATTTATAATAATTTCTTTAAATCCTCTTTCTTATCTTGTAAATCGTTAATAAAATCAAAGGTAAACTATAAATATTATCATTTGTCACTACGTCTCAACAATTCTTCAAATTCTTTTTTTTTATTGTACTCACTATTCTACCATCAAGCATCCAAGCTGTGCTTGCCCAGCTCTGTTTCGGCTTAAAGGGTGGCATATGGTAGAGAAATTATGGGGCACGGAGAGAACTCATGAAGGATACCATAATCAGCCTAGGGTATTCTTTAGTATCCATGGCGCTGTTCATATGTATAGAAGACGGGTACCGCTTATCACTAGGTTGGTAGTTAACTTGTATGTGATTCCAGTTTTAAGAAATAAAATTAGTTAACTATAATAGTAATAACTAACAACTATTAATAAATAAATATTAATATTTAATAACTATTAATTTTAATTATCGTAACCGATTTTACTATGTAACTTATTCGTGTTGTTTTTTCAATAAAATAAAATTCCAAATTGCATTTCTACTATACTAGCCCTATTATTATCGTCTTCCATGCCACTACATTCTTATTGATCCGCCACAAAGCTAACCAGCTGCCAAACTAGGTTTCCTCTTTGGAGTTGAATAAGGAGATTGCAATCTCTTCTCAGTATATCTCATGATTTTATTTTTATGTTGAAACATTTGTTAAACTACATATTTATATATTAATTATTTATTTTTTGTAAATTTATATGGAATCTAATATTTGTCTCTTATGTTTTTATAAAAAAAAATTTGGAGTTTCTCCGAATTTTTTCAAGCATTTTGATTTTGATGTGAAAATGTGTGTGTGTATGTGCATGTAAATCACCAATATTTAATTTTGTTTATATTTACTTTTATTAAAATAAATATAAAAAGGAGTTTCTCACTCATTGCACTTATTTATTCTATGTTGCATAATAATAATTGCTTGATTATTGTATTATTAATTATAGCTTTCTGTGAAAATTTTAAATTATTATTAGCATTATTCTTAGCACTACAACAGAGAAAAGTCTTCCTGCTCGTATATTCAAGAGACGAGATTTAAAAATGAATAAAACTAGATATGTGTGTAATAGAGGATAGAGACATTTGAAGATAGACAGGTAGATAGGATGTTGCATAAAAAAGCAGAAACAATTTAATAAATATGCTCACGACTCTACTAAATAAATATTCATGTAAATAGTTTACTGAACATAATTCCACTATTACTATTGAATACCATATATTTTGATATAAGTAATCAGTGTTATGGAAAATGCCCTCCGCTATGGGGAGAGGTTGTTATGGTACGGTACGTTATGGCATATAATTCTGAGTCTAATTACGTATAAGTGATTCTCACATTGTGCAGTTAAGTAATTAACTAAATTGTATGCGACTTAATGAATGTAAATAAGTTATGTATATGCAGTAAAAGCAGACTTGAAATTAAATTACAATTTCATTAAATATATTTGTATTTATTTATTTACGATATGTATATTTTTTTAAAAAATCGTTAGATAATAAATTCTTTTGAATGTTTACCTATTAATTATTTGGAACAATTCCATGAAAACTTTTGCAATACGAAAGTGCATACCGAATTGCCGTATTTGATTAAAGTGAAGTAGTATTTGATGAGTAAGAAAATACGGGAGGGTGGAGACAGTTAGACGGCCGCGACATTCTGTCGCCATAGTTGGGTTCAGTGCCAACCCACTCACCCCGGGGCATTCTATAATAAATTCTATTTATTATTATACACATGGACCTTAATAATAACTTACCATTATTGTTATTTTACAAAGAACAACTAAATTAGATTAAAAAAAAAACAAATAGATTAGATATAATATTTACAAACTTTTATGGTTGGTAGACTATTGTACGTTGTGGCTCTTGTTCTGTGTTCATTGTTTTTTTAGCAATTATACCTAGGAATACAATTTTATTAAAATTTC